CGCGCGGTGACTTCATCATAGGACACCGGCGTAGTCACTTCCACGAGCTGCATGGTGTGTGCGGTCAATGTCCGGAGGACAGGATTTTGGGTGGGCGAAGTTGGAGCAGCGTCCGTCTGCAAAAAAAAACAAATCAGTGAGCATCGCAGTACGGGTTGACCCGCAACGACACTCACAACGGCGAGAACGGTGACGGAACAGAAAGCAAAGACGACGGCAAGGCGAGTGAAGATTGAGAGGCTGTTGAGCATTTTAATTTGAGGGGCTGGCTTGGAGATGCTCGCTCGTCAGACGCGCCTTTTATATTCGTTTTGACCGAAGAATCCTTTTTTTCTGCGGCAATGGACTCGGTGATAAGTCAGCCTAGCCGGGACAACCATAGTTTCACTCGCGATCGGTGATCTGCCTAACTGCGGTAAGCCATGAACTTGCTCGCTTGATGGCAGTCCAGTCGCGACAACGCTGTAATCTCCTCGAAAGGGTGGGCTTACAGATATATTGGAGACACAAACAGGTCTTTACCATGGTGGCAAGAATTCACCCGCGCCCCAAACCTGCCACTGTAAGCACAATCGACAGATTTTCGATATAAAAGACCACAGGTGTCAAAATCGCACGAGTAACTGTGAACACTGAGTAGCGAACAGTCGGTGATCGATTCATCCGGACCTTCTTTTCCATGCGGTGGTCGTTGTCCTTTTTTCCCGTACTGTAAGAACCAGTACAGGCGAACATCGAAGTGGACGGATGAGACCACAATCAAACTTTTTTCGCGCGACAATGTGACATTCTTGATTCCTGATTCTGCAATCAGGTATTCCAAAAGTCTAGACCGTAAACCTCGAGTCCCATTCCCAGACCACGCGCTAGATCGGCACAGGCAACGGGACACACGGGTCGCCATGACAGATTAGGAAGAGGCGAAAGTTTGAGGCAATGGTTAAGCGGGCCTACTGACCTTCGGGGAAGCGGCTTCGCGGCTGAATTTTGCAGGAGAAAAGAAATTTGAGGCCTAGTCATCTCGACACCGCTTTGCTGCGCTAGCGATCCCCACGCAAATCTCCCCAGGATATTACCTCCAACATGATCTGTTCTTGCGTAGATCGGCGTATTGCAATCATGGGTTTTCACATGACACAGCTCGCTTTGAACCACTTGTGAACTTTATCTGAACCCGGCATTCCGCGCCAGCGTCCGGTTTGTCAACGAGACGGACGTGCAGCAATAGCATTGACACCCGTCGCTGGCGCACATTTCTCTATTGAGCATGGATAAATTAGAGGGGCTATGCATGGCTCTCAATCCCTTGCATAACGCTTCACTGAGAATGCCAATGATGTCGAACGTCAGAATTCGGCACAAGCCGACGGTCGGCTGAACGTTGGCTGACTCCTGATGCGGGATAGTGTGGGCGTGAGCAGAGTTGAGAGTCAGAGCTCGCAGGTTTTGTCAGCCAGATCGGTAGATCCGGATGATCAGGCCCGACGGGAGCGGGACTAGCAAATTGGCTGCAGTTGCTGACGCATCTTGTCGTCCACATCAAAAGAAAGGCTCGTCACTCCTCCATGCACCTCTTTGCTCGTCAGGTAACGCAGAGTCATTCAGCCCGATGTCTGGAATTCCGTCCTCGTCTCCTTCATTGTGTCTATTTCCGACGCTACGGTTCCAGATGATCCCATTCCAATCAGCAAGAATTAGGAAGTGTCGCTAAAGCAAAAGGCGAGACTTGATTAGATGCAAGACACTTAGCGGGGAGATAAAGCCCCCCGATCACTGGGTAAGCAGTTTTCTCGGTAGAATTGACCGGGTTATTCGTTCTCTCGCCATCAAAGTTAGCTCAGAGGCGTAGTGCTGTGCGGGAAACTCGGGACCAAATAGCGTATGATTATACATGTCAATGAAACTTCATTCTAACAACTGAGCCACAAAATGGCTATGAAACGCTCTTGAAGACCCATCATGCGTTGCCCTCATCCTGACCCTTCGTACGTCGCAACGGTCTGGAGAACATCTGGACCACCCTGAAGCACGACGTGGAGCACATGAAATTCACTGCAGTGTCTTTCTCGACTGAATTAGCCCGATTGGTTTTAAATGCCATTACCATGGCCATGTATCTGACCAGGAGGTGTTTACCCTCACTTTTTGGAAGGCCGACCTCAAGCAATTTGAAACCCTTGAGCGGTCTGAAGTCCACACTTTTACCCGGCACGGAGCACATCATATTAATGACAGAAAATGTGCACAGTCGGTGCGGAGACTCGATCTACGCACAGCCATTGGATCGAGGAGATACCAAGAAGCTAATTGGACAAAGTTGTAGAAAAGACAACGACCCACATTCATTCCAATCCCCGATTTTTCACCCGAGGAAGAAGCAGAAGCTTCGTCAATGATCCAATCGCATGCCTTTCTGTCATTTTGAGTTCAAACATTGACCCATGACCCGCTAGGCTGCCTAATGTGCGTTGCGAGAATCGTAATAAAATGCTCAAGAGTCGGCTGTCGGGAAGGAGTATGACAGTCATCAACCGGCTCGCCGTATGACCTAGCGTCCGAATTACGCGCGGTCGAACGGAACATGATGACGCACGGTTTTCGCTGTGAAATTTCGCCGGCTCTGCGATTCTCACCACATAACGGAAGGATTAGAGACAGAGGACCACCAAACACGGCTTCCCACTTACCCACCGCATGAAATTGAGCCACCGGCGATGCATAGACGTCGTTGTTCCCACGTGGCGTTGTGACTGCCTTTCATCTCTCGAATTTTGAGACACTTCAGAACTTGTCTATTAGAGCTAATTATGTGACATCAACGCCGGAGTATGGTTTGCCAGCAACAGAGAAGAAAAGAAGTGGGAAGAGATTCGGTCTTGTACAGTGAGCCTCGGCGAAAAACATCTAGCGCTGTTGACACTCGATACCGCGAGGACGTTACTAGAACAGAACGCAAAGAAGAGGGCAAGGCGAGCTAAGATCGACAGGAGGTTGAACATCCTGTTCAAGGGGCCAACCATTAAAAAAAATGTTTGGATGTGCATTCTCAGATCCGTTTTGGAGCGGAAAGCAGACTTCGTCAGAAGCATGACATGAGAAATTTTGGTTGGTAAATGCATGTATCAAGACGCCGGACTTGCCGGCTCTGCTATTAGCTGCAATGAGCGCACATTTGATGATATCTCGTGCTCGGCAGACGTGGTTTCTTGTAGATTTTCATTGACCGGGCTCACTGCAAGTGCTGTACATGATTTACCTGTGTGTTAGAGAGAACAACACCGTGCATCAAGCCGGATCAAATTTCTCGGATGAGCATCCGCGGGTGCTTATCCGGCCTGTTTCATCTCCGAGCAGTCCTTCGTACTGCCAGGTGCTCTCCAATGACAGCTGGTGGCGTCGGGACCTCTTGACTCTTCTTTTTCGGGGATCACGGCCACTATCGGACTACATTACGCCCTCCTATAAATTTGCTGCCCAGCACAGTATGCTATCCCATCCGTCCCTCCACATCTACACTCCCCCGACTCTCAACAATGACTACTCCTTATCCGGGCCAAAAAACCGCTGTCAATGTGGTCTTGGTGCGCAGCATTGAGACTGTGGTCCAACCCCATCTCTGATCTACTTCACGCAGGGCACCATGTCATTTGCGGCGCCGGGGACGCCCATGGCGCGTGTCTCAGATCCCAAAGATATCGAGGCGATCGTCGATGTTTTTCTCAGCCATGGCCATCGCGAGGTGCGTTCTCCAGACTAGCTTTTCGTTGTTTTCTAACGAGTATGCGCGCAGCTGGACGCCGCACGCGGATACGGCAGTGGCACGAACGAGGAATGTCTCGGGCAGATCGACTGGAAGAGCAAGGGGGTGCTGATGGAGACGAAGCTCTACCCCGTTTCAGTTCGTCAAAATATCGTCCTATGCATGAATTCAATGCTGACAGGACCAGCCTGAGCAGAGCTTCATCGGTGATCATTCGCCGGCGAGCATTCGAAAGTTCTGTCAGATGTCCCTCGACGCTCTCAAGACAGAGTAAGCGCTCTTTTCTGAGACTCTATAGCTTTCACTCACTCCGAATAGTACGCTTGAGATGTGGTACCTCCACGGTCCCGACCGCAAGAACCCATTCGAAGATACATTGCGCACTGTCAACGAGCTCTACAAGGAGGGCAAGTTCAAGCGGTTCGGTATCAGCAACTACATGTCATGGGAGGTGGCTGAAATCTGTGCCATCTGTGAGCGGAATGGCTGGATCAAGCCCTCTGTGTATCAGGGCCTGTACAACGCGGTCCACCGCGCCGTGGAGCCCGAGCTGTTCCCGTGCCTGCGTAAGTTCGGGATGGCATTCTATGGATTCAATCCGGTCGCCGGCGGATTCTTCACCGGCGGCTTCTCAAAAATCACCGACGAAGCGGGGAGTGACTCCCGCTTTCAGGATACAGGCCGTGCCAACGTTGTAAGTCTCATCTATCAAACTGGCCATGTATTCCGTGCTTGACCCTAGCAGCTCCGCAAGCGATACTGGCAGCAGGCTTACTTCGATGGCTTGAACAAAGTCTCTGCGGCTGCCGACAAACACGGCCTGACGATGATTGAAGTCGCTTTGCGCTGGACGATGCATCATTCTCTGATGAAGCGTGAATTTGGCGATGCAGTCCTGATTGGGGCTTCAAGCGTCGCCCACATCGAACAGGTGCCCATCCCACGAAGATTATCTGAATCCTATCTCTGACTTTCAAACGCGCCATAGAATCTGAACGAGTTTGAAAAAGGACCCCTGCGTACGTGGCTCGGATGGCTGTGAAAGCACATTTTGATGTATTTTTCAGCTGAAGAAGTTGTCGATGCTTTGGACGAGGCTTGGGCTGGTGTGAAGGGCATCGCGACCAACTACTATCATTAGGCACAGAAGTTGAACCGCAGTTGGTTCCGAAAATCACCGGATCACGATCACAGATAGATAGATCATCATCTATATGTATTACCGACAGACGCAATAGATCAAATCTTTAGGAAAACTTGAGACGAATCCAATCCCCAACTTGCCCAGTTGAGTACAAAGTAGAATCGCGGCCATTCCCTTGACATGCACAGCTTAAGAATTTCGAGAAAGCAAGAGCAGCGATTGTTGTTGCAGCTGCGCACCATGCTCACGGCCCGCTGCCTCACATTTGGGAATGATATCGGCTTGGGAACACAGCTGTCGGAATCTTCAAGTTGTCGATCGTGGCATTCAGACCCCGCCCGAGCACATGCATAGGGCTTCAGATTGCCGATCTCCAGCTGTGAGAAGAGGGAAGATACGAAATATCAATGTGTTGAATTAGAGCGCGACTGGAATGTGCGGTAGATAGCGGGAACACATCAGGATTCCTGATACCAGGACCGACATCCAGGAAAAAGAATCTCTAACCGAAAGAACCACCATCGGCGCCCTGTTATATCACAGGGCAGCTGTTATGTTGTTCACGACCGCCTCGAACTTTGCGTCCAAAACCATTGCGGCAGTCATCAGGCTGGCCGGCCCCGACATATCAATGACGGAGGACAGGAGGTGGTGCACGATCTTCGTGCCGTTGCCGTCCTCCAAGATCATCAGGCGCGGCGGCACATTATAGCCTGCACGGAGATCATATTGGACCATCGTTTCGGCGATGAACGGATTCCCGATGACGTAGATCTTGAATCGCGGGGTAGGGGTCGAGTAGAAAAGCTGATGCCACGCGCCGTGGTCGAATTCGATGAAGTGCCTGGACCGCGCGCGGTTCAGCGACAGCCCCTTCGTCCGAAGGAAAGATGAAACCCGTACATGAAACCACTGGAGCCGAGCACGGCCCCGACTCTTGCCTGTAGATCGGCCACAGACGTTGCGCCCAGAAGAACGTCGGCGGAGTTCAAAGGGCCCAGAAGCGCGTACAGACGCGAGGTGACTTCATCGTAAGGCACCGGCGTCGTAACTTGAACCAGCTGCATCGTGTGCGGCGTGATTGTCCTGTGGACAACGTTATGTGACAGCGATGTCGGAGCACCCTTTCCCTGCAGCGGAAAACAAACGAAAGTGAGCGTAGCGACCTCAGCTGCAGCGGAACGTTACCGACGATCGCGCAGGCGGTTAAAGAACAGAAAGTGAAGATGACAGCAAGGCGAGCTGGGATCGAGAGGAGCTTAAACATCCTGGGTTCGATGGGCCGGCTTGGAGATGCCCCCCTCCTCAGACGCGCTTGCCTTTATTCGTTACGACCAGGGAAAACAGCTTCTGCGGCAATGCACTATCCCGGTGAGAAGTCAGTCTAGCCTTGGCTGGCAGAGTCTAGGAGTCCTGTATCCGCCAATCGGTGCTGAAGGCAGCAGCCTTGGCAAAGCACATGGCTTCGGCAATCATGTACTGTACTTGCTCGCCAAACGGCAGACCAGTCGACGACGCTCGACCGTGATTCCACTCGATTGGTGCTGGCTGGTAGATGAATTGAGACGTAAACAAGTCTTCGCGATAGTTTGGAGAGGGCTCGTACCGGTTTTGAAGCCATGCATAATCCAAAGAGTGCAAAAAGAGACGTGGGACATAGGGAATGCCGTCTCGAAACGCACGCGAGTGTCTGTGGGTATTGAGCAGCAAACGATCAAGGATCTATCCACTCGAACCTTCTCTTCCATGTGGCAGCTATTCTACCTTTCTTGTTTCTAGCTTCGCGCTGCAAGAACTGGTGCAGAAGCACATCGCAGTGGTGGAGAAGAGCGCGATCGGCCTGCGTCGTAAGATAGTGTGTCGGTTTCACTCCCTGATTCTGTCGCGATACGGTCCAGAGGCTGAAACTGAAACGTGGAGCTTCTAGGAACAGCAGAATCTCCATGAACCGGTGGCGGGCGGTGTTCCCTAAGAATCAACCATGACAAGTATGCAGAACGGATCTGGAGGGAGAGTTCTATCGAAGCGGCATGACAACCAAGTTTCCCTGTGCATCATGATGAGTGATTGTGTTCCAGAGTCTTCGTCGTGAGATGGAAGTCTGCAACATATTGGCTGCCGCATCTCGAAGTCCTTCGCGTGAAGGAAGAGGGAGGTATTCAGGCTGGAAACGGTCCCACTGAGAAATTTTCAGCCCACTTTTGAAATTGACGTACGAAGTAGCCTCGGCGCAGTGCGCTGCAGACCCAGCAGTCGGTACTATGAGGAAATACGGTTGGCCAATGTCCCACGACTCACATCCGGCACGGGGGACGAGTTAGCCGCCACAAGCCGAAGACGCACAGACTGTTCATCCTTGCGCATTCGCTGCAGTGAAATTTGTATCAGCGAGATCGTCCGCGTGCCGAAACCTGGAGCTGCGACATACGGGCTCATACCAGACCGGGGTGCTCTCAGATGACAGATCAACAGTGATTGCCGATCACGTGCGTCACACGGGTGCGCTTCGGATCGCTCAGCGAACGATAACCGAAAAGCTTGCAGGCCTATGACTCTGGAGGCGTTATTGAGATGAAAACATTACAAAGACGACGAAAAAATCGGGCAAATGGCGTCACCTCGCGTAAAACGAGCTTCACCTTCTAGACTCGGATGGAGAGAAATGGCTCAGCAGCTCATCACTTGCCGTCCCTCTTGGTCATCTCTGACTTGGTGGGAAATCTCACAGAGTACGCTAGCCCTTTGCTAGCAGGGGGAGTCTCGAACAAAGAACGCAGCTCTAAATCCATGTGAAACGCAAGAACAACCTGTAATCGAAGCTGTTGTAGAATTGTAAGCAGTGCCAAGCTCGATATTTCAACAGCTTGTCGAGTTACTCATGCACGATCAAAAATACGATACCACAGCCAACATGAGAAAGAACCACAAAGGCATCGCCGCGGTACATCTATCATCCAATCACACGACGGCCGCCATTTTATCCACGAGCGCCTCCAGTTTCTGGTCCAGACTTGCAGCCGCAGACCGCATGTCCTCCGGCCCGGACAGATCGATGACGGAAGAAGGAAGCTGGTGCACAATCTTTGTTGCGTTTCCGTTCTCCAGAATCATGAGGCGGAACGGTACGTTGTATGCCGCACGGAGGTCGAATTTGACCATCGTTTCAGCGACGAGAGGATTGCCGATGACATAGACCTTGAACCGTGGGGTGGGGTTTGCGTTGTACAGCTGGAACCAGCTGCCGTGGTTGTACTCGACGAAATGCCTGTAGGGTGGTGGAACGCGGTTCAGCAGCCCCGCGCGGTTTCCGGTGGAGAGAAACCCAATCGCACATGAAGTCACTGGAACCGACGACTGACGCCACTCTTGCTTCGAGATCTGCCACAGATGTCGCACCAGGAAGAACTTTTCCTGAATTCAACGGGCCCAGAAGCCCGTACAGCCGCGCGGTGACTTCGTCATAGGGCACCGGGGTGGTGACTTGCACCAGCTGCATCGTGTGCGGTGTGGTCGTCCTGTGGACCGGATTATGCGACCGCGCCGTGGGAGCATCGTTCGTCTTCAGTGGAGCCATGGTCAACTGGAGCGCGGAAGCTGGAAAGCACGACTTACGGCTGCGAACACGATTCCGGAAGAGAAAGCCAAGAAGAGAGCGAGAATGGGCAGCAGCCTAAGCATTTTGATTCGGGGGGCCAGCGTGGAGATGCCATCTCACAGACACGTTGTTTTATGCTTTTGGATATGTTGCCAGCCATGATTTCTCACAGTGATAAGTCGGCGTAGTAACCAAGTAGGCATTGTAGCAAGCAGGCTTGGCAATTGACGCTCGATTGCCTTTTCCGAGTCAGGTGGTTGTAGAATGTGGCGATCGTGGCCTTGTTCGCCAGACGAGAAAAGCCTGGAACTGTGCGAGCTCAAACCCACCTTTTCCCCGTCGATTTTCATCGGTCTGCGATCGACAGAGCACAAAGGGAGGATTAGCATTGAGGTAGAACGAGGAAATACAGTTTCCCACGTGCCCTATCAGACGGCATTGAACGATCCGCGATCTATCCACTGCTTCTTTTCCGCATGGAATTTTTCTCCCTAGTTCGTGTTGCTGTCTTCACACTGCAGAAGTCGATCAGCCACCTGGGCGGACGGATGAGACCCAGATCGGCCCTTGCACCGTTCTCATATCCCGGAGCATGCAGAGTATCAGAGCGCTAAGATCCAGTAATCTTTGGTAACATAGCGGCAACTGCCAGTGGTTGGTGTCGGAGAAGGTGCCGCATAGATTGACATGTCGGAGAAGATCGAGGATCCGAAGGGACCTGGAAAAGATGGAATTCGGACTGCGCGGGGTAAGCTGGGGTAAGTTCCCCGAGAAGCAGGACTAGTAAGAGATGTCCCTTGTCCAGCCCTGTGCAGGGGTGATTTCATTCGGCCTTCGGTGCGGGATGGAGGCCCGCACCTGCAAGACCTTCCCTTGATGTCAGCTGAACGACTGGGAGACTCTCCATGACCGCTTGCTTTCCTCATAACCCTGTCACAGCCAGCAGCTCCACGGAGAACGGAGCCAAGATGCTTCGGCCGAAACCATCACTCCTTTTCGGGCATCCTCCGACCGGCACGGAGGGAGGGACTTTGGCCATGAATGTGGAAAAGTGCGAGTTTGGCCGATCGGCAGACACAGCAAGAATGCTGCGTGTGGCTAAAATGGTGTGCAAGGCGCGCGAGGCTGCGCAAAGCGACGAAATGAACGGCACGCGACCATTTTGAGCCAATAGGGAGTGCGGGGCGGATCAAGTCGGGTGTCCGCGATCACAACCACCCCCCAGAAAAATGCAGGCACATACGTAAAGAGCTCGCTAGACGGAACTTGACTCATCTCTTCCACCCTCCACCATCTCACTCGCCGTCGTCGTCTCATCGCCGGAGACGCCAGACTCGGTCTCGAACGACAAGCTTGCAACCGGCTTGCTGTCCGTCCCGTCTTAACCCGTTCTTGCAGCTCGGCTTGGGCGTGTGCTCTAGCCCCAGACTCCAAGGACCGCGACTGGATCCCAGGGACAGCCAGGCCCTCACATCTTCAAATACCAGGGACCGCGACCGCATCTATCAACCTTCCCCATCATGAAAAGCTGTCTACGAGCCCCTTCTCAGCCGGGATCACCCGTACCCGGCTATCGCAAATGTGTCGCATTCGGTGGTGAAGGTTCAGAGGAGATACATTGGGCCGATGAGTGGGACAGAACGCCCACGGCACCGGCGAAGAAACTCACATTCCAGTGCGTTTGCCACTCGCACCTGATCATCCTTTGATTTGACCTGAGCCTCGCAGAGAATTAATGGAGCTTGAGGAAATCCGTTCCTCGCTGCCCACCGCTATGAATCCCTTCGGCATACGCAAGAGAGAGCTCTTATCTCATGTCCCTATCGGACTGCTCCCACTCGCATCGCCCGACAACACTCCCATGTCACCGCCCTCCACACCAGTGGCCTCGCCGCCACCTCAATCTTTCCCTCCAGGGCCAGCACCCCCACCATTTTTCATGCCTCCCGGCCGCGCACGCTCGCCCTCCGTGACACGTCTCGCCTCTCCCGCGCTCTCTCATCTCCGACCACCCGCCCCCGTTCCCGTGCGCCCGATTAAGAACTTTACGTTCCTCCCCGTTTTGGGACCGGCTTCGCCGACGTTCGAGCCTCCCTCTCCGTACAACTATCCACCGTCAGTCCCGTCGTCCCCGTCGTACACGCCCGCCCGCTCCGCCGCCGACGGCGAGCCAGATCGTGTCTTTCCATCCCCCGCCTCACGCCAGCTGATCCCCAATTCGGGGACTGCCGTGCACGGCAATTACAACTATGAGTCTGCCTACCGCGCCGCAGAGTCCGCTGCGTACTCTCCGCCGTTCGGATCCAGTGCGTACGACTACAAAAAGGACCACAAGGGCATGCTGGAGAACGGCAGAAAAGAGGCACTGGTGGGCGCTGCCAGTGCCGGTGCCGTCGCCGGTCCCTCGAAGACGAAGGGACGGAGAAAGAAGACGAGCGTCATGGTCATTAATGACATGGAGATCGAGATTGAGGAGGACGAAAGCGAGACGGATTCGGAGGCCGAGCTGAGCGTGTCGCCGCCGGCTATGACACCCCTGCCACCCCCGACAATACCTATCGCCTCGAAGCCGCCCCCTCCGATATCGATAGCCAAGACCAGTCTGCCTCAGGAGCCGCCAACGTCTCCCCGTCTGGCGCTTATCAACCGCCCGTTATCGCCCATCCTGACCCGTCCCGGCTCTCCGTCGTGCCGGCCTGTTTCTCCCCTGACGGCCACCGGAGGCCGGGCGATGTCCCCCGTCCAGGCGCGGGCCAGCTCTCGGCTGGTGCGCGCGTGACAGCCTGCCACGTTGACCCCTCATACTGACTGTTATCTATAATGCTAGAGCCTTGGTTTCCCACTAGATCTCTTGACACTGGATGTGACTTAGATCAATATATACGTATTATCCAAGCATACAGCTCGCCAGTAATGTCTATCTCTCCTCGTCTCTGTTTTGGGCTTCTGGGACTCGGGCACTGTAATTTAACTGCATCCCACTTCAGCGTCCTGTTTTCGGAATCAGTCCCTGCGTCGAAGCAGCGCCGTCCTTTCGTTTCCGGACGCAAAGTTTGTCAGGCGCGCAGAAATGCCGCAGGAACCAAGCCCAGAACCGCAGAACATCCTGCACTTGGGAGTGTGATTACGTGCTCAAGCGTTTTAGTGTTTGGGTTGGGGATTCGCGAACCGCGCCTTCCCTGAAATTTAGTACATATACTTACTTCCAGCTGCTCGCAGGGCTTGCACAGCATGGGCCTGTTCTCGCTCCTCGTACTAGTCGCCGCCGCCGCTGCACCAGCGGCCAAAGCATCGTGCGCGGATAGTGCATTCTGCCTGAGCCGAGATCTGACACTCCGGATACCATAGAGATCCGTGCACGCTGGCCACCACGGCGACCTGGGTGTCGAGCAGCATCGCCCATGCCTGCGAGCTTAGCGTGCCGTTCAATCAGACCCGCAGTCTGGCGGTCATGGACTCGGTGCTGAAAGCCCTGCCGTACTATTCGCTTGAGACGTGGTTCGAGCGCTCCCCGAATCCGCTCATTCCACATGCCGTGGATCTCCGCTCGTTGTTGCAAGGTCAGCGCGCAATCACATGCATTGGTGCATCGAGTATGACGTTCTGAGAGACGCGCAGACGTCCAGCACACGGCCGCCCAAGGCGGAATGGCTGGATACCAGACAGACTGGGATTTCAACATTGCCGTGGGTCCATCCCACATCACGCCCAGGGAGCCTTTGATGGCTGATTCCAAAATAGGTGTCAGAGGCTTTCAATCGCGAGCAGGACGGACACACGAGTTTCGTGGCTTCGTGCACCCAATCTTTCAGCTGGAACCTGCCCTTCTCGATTGCGTCCCTAGCGGACAGCCCCTCCAACCAGACTACATATCCCGTCTTCCTCGCCAACTACGACTTTCCGAACCAAAACCGGTCGGGGCTGGAGGAGTACTTCCAGGGCCTGAATGTGTCTGTGCGGGAATTCGACGGCGCGCGCATCCTGTCGATTGACGGCGTCGAAGCGGGCCCGTATCTGCTTGATCTCGCGGCGAACTCGAGTATCTACGACGGGCTGCAAGGCGCCTACGAGACGCTGGATCCGAGGTACATGCGCCTGATGTCTCGATACTCGGCGGACACCGATTCTGGACTGTTCACGCAGGAGCTCGGCAAGTTTGCGCAGAGGATGTTCTACCCCGGCTCGGACTCCGTAACCGTGGAGGTCCTGCTGGCCAACGGCACAAGCCAGCTGCTGACAGTGCCTTGGGCTGCGAGTTTCGTTGGCGCAGATCTGTCGTTCTGCAGCGACATCTCGGGAGAAACCCGTCGCCGCGGGCTTTTGCGACAGCCGTCGAGATACCAACGCAGGAAGGCGGTGGTCGCACCAGACACGCAAGCAGAGATCCGCACAAAACAGCACACGCCTGTCCACCCAAACTACGTCCAGCCCAACCGTAAGCTGCAGCGCAGATTGAGGTGCAGGGGGATAGAAGATGCTCACCAGATCTCGCAGTCACATCGTTCGGCCATTTCCTCACGCTCGACATCTACCAATTGCAGGAGCACAAGCATGTGGGTGTTGTCTATCTCGAGCAATTTGAGCCGCCCGCACAGCACGATTACCAAACGTACTCTGATGGGATTTCAAAAACGATCCACAGCGGACTGGTGGAGCTGAAGAAGGCAGGCGTCAGACACATCTTGCTCGACGTGTCTGGCAATCGCGGCGGCTTCATCTCTACGGGCGCCCTCGCATTGCGGACGCTGTGGCCCAAAGACCGGTACCCGGGATTCCCTGCGGTGTTTCGAGTGAGCGACTTGATCAGGCGGGAGGCAGAGTGTGCTTCGGAGCAGAACAACTCAGATTCGGAGTACTTTTTCGGAAACTACCTGTCGGGGCGAAACGAGCGGCTCACGTCCAATGCGCAGTTCATGGATCCCCCCGTAAAGCAAATCGTCAACGGCATCCCAGACGCATACTCGCACCCCATCTTGGACAACTTCGATTCCATCGCGAAGACGTTTGACGAGCCCCCATTCGCGGACGGCGACTACGTGATCGTCTCAAACGGCATCTGTGCATCGACATGCTCGATCTTCACCAGCTACCTCTTCCAGAAACACGGCGTCCGCTCTGCCGTCTTTGGCGCGCAGGCCGAGAAATTTGAGTTCGACGGAGGCATCAAGGGGTCCGAGATCACGTCGCTGGATGACATCCTCTCCGAGCTAGATACAGCGGATTTAGCAGATGACCCAGCCGCCCCGCAGGCGCTCCCTGTGAGTGCGTCCCTCACCCTCAATTTCCGAAACGCGATCCCGTATGAGGATGAGACCGAGGACAAGATCTTGGAATTTGTGTGGGAGCAAGGGACAAAGGGGTACCAATACACAAAAGAGATGTTCAACAACCCCGAAAGGGTGTGGGAATTCGTCGCGGGCGAGTTCTTTGGGTAGATTATGTTATGTTACACGGACAGACTTTTTAGTTAGGCTTTGACTCACAGCAATTAATGCCTCCACCGGACTTGGTGCCCGCCATCCATCATCGGCTCGACGAATCCACGAAAAATCCAATCCGGATCCGGCTGCGAAGGTCCGGCACCTTCCGAGTCCTCGAGCAGGCTCCGATCCTGCGACCAGCGCATGCCGTACCCCTCCGCGACGCGCACCTCGTACACAAGCACTTGGTGCGGGAGCCAGTGCAGATTGCGCCACGTCGCATTGTCCATGACGCGCCAGAACAGCGTCACGGCCCTCTCGTTCTGCACGGCGACGGGGCCGGCAGCGGTGCCCCACCACCCCGATGGCGGCGGCGCGGATTTCGCCGTTGATGCGCGTTCGGGGCCATTCGAGGGAGTGGGAGACGATGTGGGTGCGGGGCTTGGAGGAGCTGAGGCCCGGTGTGCGTGCTTCGACCATGCGCGAGCACCTGTCGTCAGTCCCACGGAATTGGGGACGGTGAATGCTGCAAGGCAAGCGTCTATGGACGGTGGGGTGGATCCGAGGGCCGAGCCAACCGTGTATGCTAAGCTTTGAGGGTGCAGAAGAGAAGCGAGGCGAAGAAGAAGCGTTCGCATAGGTAAGAAACAGGTATACGGGAGGCGAACCCTAGTGTGAGGTGCGTCGAAAGCGGATCTCCGGGACTATCGATAAGCGAGGAGAGTTTCGACCGCTCAAGAGAAGCTTCTGGGTGCTCCTGCATTCCAAAGCAGTGCGGTATTGGTGGCAACGACGAGCTCATGGCCCAGATGAAGGAGTAAGCAAGAGGGAGAGATGATGGACGATGAACAGCCACATGATGTCATCAAAATAGCCAGTTCAACGATTTGCTGCCCGCGCTTTGTTTGCGCTCTGACCAAAGCAAGCGTGGTTGCCTGCATGATCAAGCCCCGAGTGATATCAAAGCCATTTCCCAAGCGCACGACGCTTGGACACAGTATAGCACGCTTTGACTGAACAAAAATTCACTATAAGTATTTACCACTGCCGTGCATGTGAACCAAGGAAACACCCGTCTATCGTTGCAGTCGAGCCATGATCACCACTGCACTCATTCTTTCTCTCATCCTATTCACTTTTTTTGCTGCCTACCTGAGAATGGCCGCGCTCGAGGAGGAGATCCGGATCTTAAAGGGAGACAGCCGCAACCACATGCTGCGCATTCTCGAACTCGTGAGTAACAGCTACCTCATCCTAGTTTCAACCAGCTGATTGCCCCTTTCTTGCAGGAGAGTTGGAGCTATCATTCGAAATATGATGAGCAAGCACACCTCGAAATCCAGTCAAGCGAAAGCTTTGCTTACACACTGAAGGCAGACTACTAGTCCCTTGGATGTTCAAGCTTGGATGTTCAAGATGTCCAGCAGATGCACAATACAGATCGACTACATTTTTCCCGATTCATTTATAATTCAAATACGTGATCCAAATTGGATACAGCAAGCCAGTAATTGAGATGAGACACAAAGCGATGTGCCCACGTGACGCACTACTGCTTACAGGCCATCGTTGACACACCTTCTTGATCAGGCGTGTAAGAGTTGTTGCTCAAAAAGGCAAGTCCGGGTATCGCTGACTCCCTTTAAAAAACGCTCATTACGATGCCTTCGTCATGCTGCCCAAACCCAGTCTCTCCATTCTCATCGCCCTCATCCCAATCTATATAAGCCTCGCGCTCTATCTCAACCTCATTCCAATCCCCACCCTCGCCGACTCAGACACACTGTCTTCACTCTTGAAGCTTGCCAACGCCAATTTCCGCCGTCTGTCGACGCAAACAACTGTCACAGAAACCGTCATTTCGACTCCTGTTTTCGATACTGAAATGGGCATCAAGATCGTCCCTCGTCCCAGTCAAGAGCGCGGCCATGCTGATCACGGCTGGCTGAAGACTTTCCACACATTCTCCTTTGCCTCGTGAGTTGCTCCGCGATAGTCGTGTGCATTCTCACTCACTTACTGGGGCGTCCGACAGCTATCAGGACCAATCGCACTCCCAGTTTGGTGCTCTTCGCGTCATCAACGAGGACCGCGTCGCCCCTCGCCAGGGGTTCGGCACACACTCGCACCGGGAGTTCGAGATCTTCTCATATCTGGTGGCTGGGCAGCTCGAGCAGTACGTCATCCCGCCCCCTCCGTATCTTGATGACGAGAACCGACCGGCACTCAGCAAAGACTCGATGGGCAACACCGAGATCCTCAAACGCGGCGACCTGCAGCTGACGTCCGCAGGAACGGGCATCTCCCACTCCGAGAAGACGTACGGTTCCAAGCCCGTCCACTTCCTCCAAATCTGGTCCCTGCCCACTGTGTCGCGGCTCACGCCCAAGTACTTCACGCGCCACTTCTCCGACGCTGACAAACGCGACCAGTGGGCGCGCATCGTCGCTCCCGTTGATGCGGAGGGGGTGCTGAAGGACAGCCGGGAGGGCGCCGGGCCTGCCCCCGTGCAGAGTGCGCTGACGTTATATGCGACGCTGCTCTCCGACCAGAAGAGCTTGAAGCTGGCCGTGGCGGGGTCGAAAGGGTACATCCATGTCGTGCAGACGAGTGGATACAATACCGGGGTCTCGAAGGGGTCTGCCATCCGGATTGTGACCACGCCAGGTAAAGAGGTCGATCTGAGGGAAGGCGATGGCGCGTACCTGTACATCGACAAACCAGGCACGGAGGTGCTGGTCGAGAACATTGGCGAAAAGACAGCGGAAGTTCTGTTCTTCGATATCGATTAGATCCTGTCGTACTGTTGATGCAATCTCTTATAATGTAATGCTAACTTAGAACTGAGGCGAGCCGCGGATGATCCACGTGACCCCAAGTAAGATAGGACAAGGGAAGAAGACTTGAACACTCGAAGACCGAGTTGCTGCCTCATTTTCCCCGGATGAACTTGATCCCTCTAGTACCACCGAAGCAGAGACGAAAGTTGAGCACAATGAGAGAAATGGATCCCAGCGAAGGCACAAGATTGGATTGATTAGTGCTAAAGCTTCAGTGACAACCATACTAAGCCCAGCGTATGGACTGGCTCCCAAGCCCAAGCCCAAGTCATTCACTTCCTCATTCATCTTGTGTCGCCTCCAAGTCTTTCACCTTAAAGTTCCGCGACAGACTGACATGTGCGCGCCATCAAGGTCCAGGGCAAATCTTTTCACCCAGCCAAATCCATCATAGCTCGTGATCTGTCCTTAGCTGCTGCGGGGATACCTAGGGAGATCACCAACAGCGCCCAGGCCAAGAGCGTGGGGAGTGGGAACAACAATAAAAACAGAAAAACACAAGCTACGCAGAAAATCGCACGGCATGGCTGCTAATCGCGTTTATCGGGTCTGCTGATATGGCGTGCAGGGTCCGAAGCTATTAAGAGGAAGAAAAACACTCGGGCCGGCGGACGGGGAGATGGCCTATGCAGGGCTGATGTCAGAAGTTGAAGTTGAATCATGTGATGCGAGTTGAAATTACCAGATACGCTCAGCCGTCGGCACTTGGGAGGAACAGCGCGCTCGATAGTCATCAGGCAAGTTATTTTTCACCTCAGCGAGCCCGTTTCGTACTATCCGGTCCAAGATCTGTCTGTCCCGTCCGAAACAGGCAACGTACAAGAATGCCGGTAGATGGCAGAAGCAGTGGGTGGTAAAAATGAGACTGGCGACGAGTGCGGGCCTAGACTTGTGCTATTCTGGGTTTTCTGGGCAACAGGCTTGGAGAGAAACAAGAGAATCAGGTTGTCATCTACAGAGCCAAGTGAGCGGAGACAGACAGACAGACATGCTTGTGATGAGTTCTCCGACCTCCGGGTGTAGTGCCAGATGGCGAGATTCTTTGGCTCCAGGAGCTATTTGCCCCCGGTCCGCGTCCATAAATGTGTCCGGATCACATCCCCCCTCTAATCATTCTTCTCCTGTCAGCGAGGGAGAACCACTGAATGACATAGGACGCGAGCATGCCTTGAATGACGGACTTGGCCAGCGAACACGGGGTCGTTTCGGGACCGGACACAGGGTGAATCGTGCGTTGATTCGACCTGAGTTCTTAATTGAGCCTCATCCGGCCGCTGAGAGCATAGTAAAGATCAAGTGACATAGCGAAAACCCACGGTCAGATAGATGGTACCACGAACTATCCTTAGGTCGCAATGAATGAACGCAGCCTTGAAACACGTCACATCTGCTGATAGATAAAACTCGGCTTGGGCTCGCTACATACTTTATTCGCACACTCTGCGAGTCTCTTGGCCAATGCAAGGCTCGTCCCAGGAGCATGCGAAACCGCGTCGCCACTTACGCCGGCCCGGCGCGCGTTCCCTCGACATTCAGCCGCCAATTCTCCGCTTGAATGCGAGCCGAATGCGAGCGCAGTCAGGCGCAGTCGCACACACCCACGTCCGTTACGACGGTTGGTGGGAGATCATTTGCGTGGAAGATCCGGCCAGCCATGCCTGTTCTCAGCGCCGTCCATATGCATCCAGAATGATGCTGTCCTGGAACGTGTACCAGCTCTCAGTCCGGCTGTATAAGAATCCCCGTGCGCCAAGAGTGGGAAGTGAAGAGGGGGCGTTAGGACTTTAGAGCCAACTGGTCAGTGGGCACTGTGAGTGCGACACTCTCAATGGTCCGATGTGATCGTGGCCCAGTGAGTCAGCGCATGTGGACACGTCTAGCTTGTCGGTATACTTTCCTTGTGGTGCGAGCAAGGGTAAGAGTCTCAGACCATCGCTTGTCTCGGAATCTCGGTCATCCCTCTGAAAATGATCGGTAATCACTGAGTGATTGACTTTGACACCCCGATGATGCTCATTGGAAGTGCATCGCACCTGAGATGACGGCGGTCGCTGAACTCTCAGTGCTTAGGGTGCGGTCGCTCAAGTCTCAACGGAAATGCATTTCCTTTTTGTGGCCTGCGAAAAGCTGGCCCTTCAACGCGGAGATGAGAATCAGAAACCGTGGTGCAACCAGTGCGCACGCTCTCCGAGCACAGTTGTATTCAATGAGCCACGCAAAGCGAGCGTGAAATGCTTCGCAATTGGCTCCAATCTGCCTCCCACAAGGGCCACAGGTGAAAATTCAAGCCGCCAGAAGGGCTCCAGGCTCTAGCCACGGCGGAGCTTCAATATGAGTGGCTATCGGACGTTCTCACGGGCGGAATCGTTCCGCGAACCTTCTCCCAGTAAGTAGGTCGAACTTCCGTGGCGTCGGCGTCGTGCCGGGTTCCAGATTGGAGCGCACATATGTACTGCACTTGTGCTTGATCGCCCCCGTTTTATCATGAATTAGTGCCTCTGCATCAGAGCCCAAGCCAGTCCCACACAACTCTAATTCCCTGGAAATCAGAACTCTGTCACCCAGTATCCGAGCCTCCCAAGATCATGCGGGCCAAGGCCCAACAAGGTGGTGTTCGTGCTCCTCCTCTTTTCGCAATTACCTATCTACCGCCATCTGCGTGGGAAACCCAGATCAGACTCCCCATTTGCACGCAACGCGTCAGCTTATCTGGGTCGCGAGAAGGCATCTCGGTCTGTTTACTCGCTCGAATGCCGACGCTGACCAGCCGCACTCGAGAAGAACGCCCGGTCCGCAAGCTTCTTTTGCTCGTATTCCTCTGGGCGCATGCTCTCGGGTGGGAAACCTCGGAGGTTCAGCGGTGCGGCGTGGGCGGTCACGGGGAGAGGGGCAGCGGACCGAGGGTGCGATGACGGCCTGCATTTCGCACATCGTTGGCGCTGTTCGCTGGAGAACAGACCATGTCCTCGGGGAGCACACGCTCGTCGATTGCCATTCTGGACATTACAGTAGCTATTAAAATTACAGGTAGTAAGAAGTATGCGTATGCGATGCTCGATTATGTAGACGGCAGATACTCTACGATCCAATGCAATGCGCGGTCAGTGTGTAATACAAGATGCGGTGGGAATAACCAAATGTATGCGTCAAAGACACGAAGCGAAAAGAAAAGGACAAAGACAAGAACGTGAAAGCGCAACGAAAACAGGCGTTCAAGGCACGCGCGATATCGCGCTCAGGTTCGGGACACCGGCCCAGGGACCCAGCGCTAGCCGACGCACGGACGCCTAGCTCAGCAGCAAGTATGTAGACCAAATTTCCCACCGCGAAGGGGGGGCCCCATCGGAAACCCAAGCCGGGCCCCATCGCAATGTGGCGCTCTCCCCATCATGATCGCAGAGAACTTGTAGAATGACTTTTCCGGGAGACATCAGCCCCCCTAAGATATACGTTCCGACGCCCCCAAGGCGGTACAAAGAGACGATACCATGTCGTCGTCATTGTCGTGGTCGTCGTGGTCGCCGTGGTCGGAGACGGTCACGCGGGCAACGGAGAGGATATATCCATGGCGGCGGGTTCTTGCGCGTAGGCCACGGCGGCCCCGCAGGCTTCGGCCCCATAGTTGTCCATTCGTAGCGAAGCATGCAGCTCAAACGCCTCCCGACTGCTGAACCATCGGTCGCATGCGGGGCATGTCGTCTCTGACCCTACCAACGACTGCGCGCGTTGGTGCACGTGGCCCGCTGCCGGTGAGCCCGGCGGAGAATTGACGACATGGGCTGTCAATGAGAATGCCAGTGGCGACGGCTTAGCCTGTCGCGGAGACGAGTGGCGGCGCGCGAGGGGTGATGGCGGTGCAAGGAACCGTGATGACGAGGGCGATGCGGCTGATGGTGTACATGCGTTGACGGCGGAAGCCGCAGGCGAGACCGAAACCGAAACCGACGGCGACATGGATGTTCGCGACCGCTTGGAGGGAACCGAAGACGAGGACGAACACACGGAGGATGCCGGACGTTTGAGTCGTCCTCCTGTAGTAGACGCGTACGTTTAGTATCCGAACCACAAAGCAGTGGTGAACACATACCCGTTGAACGCCCGCTCGACGATGACCGCGTATCATCCTTCTCAAACCGAGCACGCCATGCAAGAATACGAGTCTGCATAGTCAGCTCCTCCTGCCGTTCCTCCTCCATAGCCTCCGCGTCTTCCTCATCACCAGGGGAGGAAGAGCAATACGATTCCTCGTCGACAGAGTCTTCCTCGTCTTCGTCATCGTCTGAATCCTCACTAGAGTAGACGGACGAATCAGTCGTTGGAGGGACCAGGCTGCGCGGTGGGGCAGCAATCTCGACGAGCTGAATGACTCTTATGGGGTTGTTGTTGGTGAAGGGCGTGGGGAGGAGCGCTTGCGGGTTGGCCTTGACGACAACGTCTAAGAGCATGGCGCCCATGTCGGACGACGAGCGGGATGTGGATGCGAGAGCGTTCATATGTGGGTGCTTCGTATGCGGCATGCGAGTTGAGGGGGGGAGGGGAAACTAGGACGTCGACAGCCTGAGAGCAGCACCGACAACGGAGAAGAGGGGCGGGAGGTGGCACAGTGACGGGCAAGGAGCCGCAGAACCGAGAAATCAATCGTCTGCGCATGCGCACATCCTGGCTTATATATGTAACACGGTCGCGAGTGTGGTGGTGGCAGCAAAGCAACAAACGCTCCCTACGTCCCGAGATCGATAGTCCGATCCGGAGCCCGATCCCGCCACCCCAAAAAGGGAAGGGAAAGTCCTGAGAAGGAATGTTCCAAATAGGAAGGTATACGTTCCCACGCGGTCCTAAGCTGGACAATTCTCCATTGGGTCGTGCGACGCTCCGTATGGCCCGCAGATATCCCACGCTGTGACACAAGGGGATGGCCAGTCGATGGATTGGATTAGATTCGAGACACCTGGCTTGTCGTAGCGTTAATCACGGGCCCAGGATAGCGCCCGCAAGCTCCGGTGGTGAGTATGTGGTTACCCGTTGCTCAGCCGCATGATGAGAACATGGCGCATGGGGCGTGACATTTTCTCAAAAAAGCTACATAAAAGCGAACGCGTAATGTGAAGGAGGAAGATTTTATCCCACGGACAGCCGGCCCTCATTCAAGGACGCATCGGCGCCAACCAGGCTTCGGCAGCCTCAAATTGGTCAATCAGCTCGCGAAGCACGGCACCTTCAGAGTGCAATTGGCGCATAGCAGTCAATGCCTGGAACATGCAAGTTAGCCACAGTAATCGATCCCTTTGAATGAAAAGACGGGAAACAACAGCCACAGACAACGAGGCCCGATAGCAAGCAAGTTATAGCCTCGAACTCTATCGCGCCCATCGAAGAAAAGTAGCCTCTACAGCACTATGCAATCAGCCGCCCACAATGGACGACTGATGGCTGCCATCTACACATCTCACAGCCTCGCTGACGGCCAGACACAGTGCGGGAAACCCCCTCAGCCGACATCGCACCGTCGTCAGATACTAGTCACCGCAGAACGCCGATGCCAATGAATCATTGAGAAACAGCGCGCATGCGATCACGACGAATCTCCGCCTGAGAACTCGCCCACGCCTCAGACAGCACAGCCCAGAAGACAACCCCATCCAGACGAAAAATGAACAGGCCGACTCACCACGTCCCAGAAGCGGAACCCACGCTCTACTTCCAACTTGGGGTTTTTCACACCCGGGAACGTTTCCTCGCAGATTTCCAAGGCCATCGCCTAGGCGAGCACCCGTGAGTCCTCCATCAAAGTACCAAGCACACAACAAGCGCACCTTGGCCTCTTTGACGCCGGGCGCATTTGGATCCCGAACGCGTGTCCGATTGTTGATGTGCGTCAGCGCATCCAGATAAACTTTCCCAAGCACTCCAAAGCCCGTGTTCGCCTCCGTCTGGAATGGCAAGCTAAGCGAAATGTCTAGCAGATCGTCACGACCTCGCCGTGCGTCGTGGCGCAGAAGCATGTTCAACGAAGTCACCTGCATCTGAGTCAGTACTCAAGGAAGCATAAACGCAAACAAGCACCCGCCTCGATCAATGTGCGAAGGGCCCGGGTCAGGCTGCGCACGAAGGAATTGAAGACAAGCAGCTCGCGCGACAGAGGCGCTGACCACGGCACAGGCTAACGAAATCGTGAGTCTGTTCGCTGCCGAAAACGTCTCACCCACCTTGAATGTCATCGGAACGATGCTCATCACCCGCATAACCAACAGCATGGCAGACTTTTCCTCATCTGTGCAGATGACTCGATGAGCTGGATATCCTGTGAGGAAACAAACAGAGCTACACACCAGTGCCGAAGCTGGGTCCACCACTGAACGCCCGGCCGCTCCACAAGTGGCCGTGCATAACCCCTGCACGCACGAGTTCCAAAAAGAGATACAGCGGGTCTTGAAACTTGTCGTTTAGCTTCGAACTCTTGTTGGCCACGTACATGGCCCGAGCTAGCGGGGAATGAGTGTGCGTATTGAGCAGGAATCCCCGAAGCTCGAGGAACCGCCATATCACATTAGCCACGACTTCGTCCTTCTTCTCGAATGGAGTCGTTGAGGAGGCTTTCACCCGGGTCCTCGCTGCATGACGTTCCGTAGCAGTTGCCCCGAGGCAGAGCGCGAAGTCAATCGTGGCAGACTGGGTATCGAGTTAGATTCAGAAGCGCCAGATGCTCGACACGCACATTCTGCCGCCGAAGTTCTTCTTCGACTACCGCATATGATACATTCCACCCAGACACCCGTTCTGCCAGTTGGGTCGTCTGCGGTGCCCCATGCTGAACTTGCTTCTGCGCATGAGGGCCAGGCTGCTCGAACCAGAAATATCCCGTAACCTTCCGATTGCCCCAGAACGAGTGGCAAACGGACGAAAGGAGCGCAAGGGCCTGGAATTGTGAATTAGTTACTGGACGGTTACTTCATGAGCATTCATTAGCCAACGATTCACGCACCGTAGCCCTCGGACCAGTCTGCCCGTCAGTCACCACTTCCTTCACAAATCGTTTATACTCGGTCGTCTCCCCATTGTCCAAGGGCGGGCTCTCGGCGATCTGTCCGCTCGTGAGCCAGACCAGAGCTTGCGGCCCGAGGAGGCCACGGGAAAGATAAAAGAAGATCTATAGTCGGGAAATACGTCAATGCGTGGGTACAACCTCGGGTAGGAAAACCGCGCAGCCTACCTCATCAGGTAATCGATGCGTAAACACGTCGTTCAGGTCCGTCGGAACCTCGGCCGCGCTAACAACATTTCCTGTGGGAGAATGAAATGTGAATCATGTGGAATCAGATGCACCGCCTACCGCCATTGGGAGCAGGCCCAGACCCAGACGGTGAGTTGGCCGTGCTAGAGAGAGCAACGGGTAACGGAAGCACTACTCCCTCAGCCGAGAAGATAAGCGAGTACCGAACCTGGCAGTGGGAAATCAGCTTTCGGACAACGGAGACACGGAACCACGCGCCATGGTTCTCGTCCTTGCATAATGTTCGGGATATCCCAGACTTTTAACGGCCGGGTGTTCTGCATATGCGGTCACTGCAGCAAAGCCCGACTTGTAGTATTTAACCATGTCCACAGTGGCCTGCTGCCGTCAGTATCTTCTCTGAGGAGGGACAGGGTACTGACTTTCAAGGCCTGTTCGTGAACAGTTGGTGGGAACGGCATGGTCCCACCCATTCCTCCGCCACCATAGCCTCCACCTCCAGCACCATAACCCCCAGCGTAAGAAACTGCAGCCGGATTGGTGTTCCAGCCGAAGCCTACCAGTATTCCAACGTCAAGGAAGAGGTCTTCAGAAAGGCCGAGCTCGGTGATGATGGAACGCTTGGAGATGTAAGTGAACGTTGCCGGAGTAGCATTAGCTGCAAAAGAACGAGGTCAACAACGGTCATCCATCAACAAAGAGAAGGGGACGAACAGGCTGTCGCTGGGGATGGAGGAGGGGGTCCGAATGCGGACGAAAAGGAAGCCAAGGATGATGAGGGACCGAGTGCATTGGCTGCAGCGACGAGATCGATATGAGTGATGAGGCGGTCGACGCCCGGATACAACAGAGTGTCCGTAGACCCAAATATGGCATGAATGTATTGCTTCGGATGGCGTTGCAGATAAATGAGCTGTCGAGAAAAAGTCAAAACCGCATTCATCCCCATCTCCAGTGGGCCGCTGGACGAATTGACGAGGAAATCGCACCTGGGCCCACGCACAGTAAGGCGCGACGATGAACTCCACGTTCCGATGTCTGAAGATGCGCAACACCATCCTCCAGAGATCCCACTGCTGGAACGCACTGCGCCCCTCGAACAACTTCGTCGCAGCGTCCTCCTGCCCCGCTTCGTACTTGGCCCACGCGTCCCGCCTATCGCGGCACGCCTCGACCTGCTCCAGCCCGCCACCAGGCGCCAGCGGCCCCATCCCCGCCGGCCCCATATTCATGTGCATGCCGTTGCTGCTGCTACTGTTGTTCGCGTTCCCCGAGCCGCCCTGATTCTTGCTGCGTCTGTTAGGCACGAGCCCAGGGAACACGAACACGGGCTTGATCCGAAGTCGGTCGAGCGCGCGCAAATCCGACTCGATACGCTGGGTGAGGCCGAGCGGGAGCCCGCCCGTCGCGGCAAGGAGCGGCTCGCGCGAGCCGGGGGTGTCCAGGAGCTGTTGGAGGTAGTACGCGGCATCGATCCCCAAGCGCGAATCCGAGAGCGTCGAGAGGGGGAGGGTGTGGACGTGTTTGCGCTCCGTCGCGTACGCTGTCAGTTTTTTTGAGTCGGAGTTGGGACTGGGGCGTCATCGGTGGGAAGGATTAAGGCATTTTGACGCACCTTCTAGATGCTTTATGCCCATGATGAACGATCCGGCCGTTGTGGAGGTCGTCTTTTGTCGCTGTGCGGTTGTCAACACGTTGTACAAACGATCAAAAACAACGGCCAGCGCACACCGCCACACGCTGTCAGACTCTGCTTCCATGGTTCATCGCCCGTTCCTTTGCTCAAAAGACGATTATGTGGGCTACAAGTATCTGAATGGAATCCAGACTCGCTGAGACTGATTCTTAACGAAACAATTTTCTCAGATCTGATAATTGTAGCACCCTCATGTGATGGGCAAAGCAATCATTACACAGAGCATGACAAACTGGATCCTCCAAATTAGTCTGGAAGGCTCCCGAACCCACTTCTCTGGTGCATCAGCTCTATCCTTTTCTCTAGCGCCTGCAGATCATTCTTCCATATATATTCTGTGGGTATGCGCAGTTCTTGAACCTTATCGTACATGGTTAAAATTCGTCACAGGATCCCGGCTCTTCAGCCAACCTAGTGCACTCTGAAGACCGGTACCAATCAAATCGACAATCTTCCTTTGTACTGGGGCTCTCCATCCGTCTGGTTTAGACCGACATTCAATGTGAATGCCGGAATGCAAGTGACCGATGTCCCTGGTCTTCCCCGAAACATCTCGTGTGAGTGAGCAGAGCTTCATTCACGCTGCATTCTCACTCCGTCGGCGTCGCCCAACGGTTTGGCAGAGTACGCATTGACATGTGTCTCTAATCCATCTGTGTCTCCCCGCCGAGTTCATCCTGCGATGCCATGTAGGTCATTCGTACCCACGGACCATTGGTTGATCTCATCAGTCACCGGTGCCGATGGGTGGGAGCGATCTTTCCACTTTCGACTCGAGACGAAGCCGCAGGTCTTTCTCCCACTGTTTCTCACCAGAGGACATGATCGTCGAAACTAAGGGCTTGGATCTCTCACACCACGTTTTCGGGACCGACGAACCGCTGCGCGAATGTTGCCGACCGGCGGATAAATCTAGGCTCATGCATAACTTGGCGACCCCAGCGTTCGCAGCAGGCGCGCCGTGCCGGTGCTGATCGCTTCCCAGCGATTGAAAACACACGACGGGAACGCGTGAGGCAGTCGGATCTTCACAACAACAGTGCGATGTCAGTGACGTTGGACTCGGTACCTCAGGTATCTCGGGTCGCACTACTCGGACTAACTGATGATCTTTCTGTCTTTCTCTGGGCGGCAAGTTTGAATTTTGAGTTCTCGACAGTGGTGCTCTCAGCGGTCCTGCTTTGGTCGATGCACCTCGTGCCCGCGCTAGAACCCTTCTGAGGATAGTGCCTACTTTTGTACCGATAGGCGAACAACCTTTTTTTATCGGCCGCAACGCTATTTCTAGAAAAGATTCTACGAGACCGACTGCGCAATTGCGTCTCGGCAAGGATCTGGGACTCAGACCTCATCCTAAATAGTTCTACCTAACGTGTCATCAAGGATTCTTACCGCGTACATAAGCCACTGTGCGCCATACCAGAGATGGTAAACATTCGACTGATGCATGTTTACATGATTGCATTCTTCACCATGCAATTCGCAAACATACTGCTTGCTCTCCATGTATCACCGATGTCTGATCAAGTGATAGGCAGGTTGATTACCGGCCGATCCCCCAACAACCCAGCGTTCTCTTCGGCATGTTCCAACTGCCCGTTAGCTAGCTGAACATTGTTGGGCGAATGATATCACAACGCTGCCTCGAGTAACCATGCCGCATGAGAGAATTCCGCGCCCGAGCTCGTGTTTTTCGCTCCCCTTGTTCGTGCGACGTTCCGCATTTCTGATGGACAAGCTGTTATGATTATGTGGAGCACGCAAATAGTGCTTGGCCAATGGCCGCTCAGCCCCGGTGTCCAGACTCGAGAAAACTCGCTCACCAGGTAGGTAGGTAGGCTCATTGAATGATAGCCGAACCGAGCCAAGATTCAGATGTGTATGCACCATCGGGAAATCACAGGCCCAGCCAAGCATTCCCTGGCGCCTCCCGGCGCCCTGGCTCTGTCGATGCATGCCAGGTCACAGCTTGGGAGCCGCCGCCACAAATACCCACCGGAATTTGCCATGCTCAATACAATCCATAGCAGCCTAGCCCGACAGGTTAGATTCCCCGCTCAAGCCGTTCGGGAAATCTCCGAGATCGATCATGCTCGACTCAGATCCGAGATCCGGCGCTGCCAAAAGCTGCTACGTTCAGCTCCAAATAAGGCTATTCCGTCCGCCCCTAGGGCCATCTTCCAAGCCCGGAACGCCGCGCCCAGTCGGCCACTTGCCGAACAACAGTCTGATCTGTGGCATGGCAGTGCCACAAGGCCCTCATCAGATTCGGCGATTCAGAAGTGCCTTGCCCTGCCAGATAAGATGGTGATTCAGCCAATCAGATAAGATGCGATGGAGGGGAAGATGGCTTCACATGGCGACTCACATACATATTGAAGGACCGAGACAGCCCTGCTGAAACCTGCACAACAGACGGTCCCACGCTGTTCACGGGAGAGGTCAGCCCAACACCTGATACGTCCCGTTCAGGGCATAGCAGCAGTTGAGATCACGGCAGGATCGATGGGCGTGGGGAAACTGGATGTTATTGCCTGGTAAAAATGGATTCACTCAAAGGAGGAAGTTCGGCCCGCGGAAGTGTTCATATGCTCTTACCCGATTGGGACGTGAGAAGAAAAAGAGACGATTTTGCACCCCCGAGGCGCGCACATTTTGCACTCTTCTCGAGATGCACGGTCCGCGGAGCTGGAGAAACGGACGGGCTGAGATCTCGTAAGGTTGGCTGTTGCCAGAGGGCTGCGGGCGCTCATGTCATACTCGATGATAATCCTGTCCAGGTTTGGATCAGCCCAAGCAAGGATGATGCAAGAGTCCCGGGACCGATAGGACGGTATCAAAGCGACGGAGTTGCTGGTAACCTGCCGTCATCAGAACGGACATATGCAGCTGCTTGAGCCGTCGATCTCTCATTAGCGGTCGTGCTTCCAATCTCTGCCCCCATCTGACATCGTGAGCACATATTGCGCCACTTGGATGTCGAGATCAAAAACATCCGTGGTCTGATCTGTCTTCCCCGGACCCGCGAGTCACCGCGCAGAAATGATGCTTGAGGAAGCGTGCTGCACGAGCGCGATGTAAGAGACGCGCAAGCGAACGCGGTCTAGAGCTCCTCCGTCAGCCCCAGGGTGAAGCATGGAACCGAGAATAGAAAGGCTTCGAGTCCGGAGAGGCGCACCGAGTCTCCAGACAACATCACTGATCGACTCCAGGTGCAACGCGAGCCATGCAATGATGGGAGTAGCATCCTGATGCGACAAATGATTAGCTATTACTCACCGAGGTCGACGTGCTGCCAGATTGGAGAAGGCGCTCAAAGAAAAGCTGGAGATGATTGTCCCATTGTTTCCCACTCAAATCAGTACGGGGCTTTGGTCCTCGGAGCAAGAGGTTGTCGGTCTATCTGTCTGCTGTTGCATCTGTCCGCCAGTCGGAGGTAGCGGTAGGGTCTTCGTCCAAAGAAGCGCCCAGTGAGAGTATCCGAGGATGAAATCAAGTCAGAACGCTGGCCCATTGGTCTGGGGCAACCGAAGTCGACCGTCGCCTACACATTGTCAGCACATGTCATGGAATCGATAACGGCGCCCCGTAATGTGGTCTCTACTGCAAAGCATCCGCTGCCAGTGCGTGCCCGTCCTATCCATGCCCACCTCACTGACAGACACCCAATCATGATGAATCTCATGCGCTGCTCAGCCGAAACCTGAAAATCTCACACCCGTGCCAAACCCCAAGTGCGCGCCGGAGATTACATGAACCATACGCATGTCTGGCGTCCAATCTTTCTTCTCTCGCTCCGACTCCCGAGTGTTGCGAACGCGCTTCGAGTGCCACAAGGGGCCGTCCGCGGAAGTATGCACAGGAGGCATCCACGCGCTTACAGTACATAGCACGTCATTGGTCAGGAATCGTCCAGCGACAGAACGTGCGAGCGCCCACTCAGCAAGCGCCATATGCACCAGGCTATCGCCTCGTCCGCAAGCTCCGCCGGTGGTGGAAGCAGAACTCGCGATATCAATCAAGCGTCGTGCTACTTAGTAGGCCAATTTGCAGCACAAGTTCCTGAAAGCTTTGATGACCCACGTGCATTCTTCTCGAGATGCGCCATCTGCTCGCTTCGTCTGCCTCCTCCAGTTCCACGTTCGGTATCCGCCGGAATACGACGCAGATAGATGCATTATTTTTGTACACGTATATTTCAGCTCGCTCAACTTGAGGCTACTAAGAATGAACGCCGGTCCATCAAACCGCGCATAAATTTCGCATGTATTTTGAGACATCGGCTTCAAGTGGCCCTCCTTGAGTGGCTCTCATCCATGCGGTAGGTCGGATGACAATGTAGTACGTTCTGAGCATGCATAAAGAGCTCGTGGTCTTTCTGTCTCTTGTCAAGACATTGCGTATCTGCTCTTCAACTATTTATAGTACAGTGTCGGGCTCCTTGGTATCGGAGATTCACTCAACCAGACGGAGTAGCCAGAGAATACACCTTATGTCGTACATAGTTCTGCGCGTCTCCAGGAAGAATTGATTGCGTTGTGAACCCAATGCTGATACCGAACTGAAGATGCGTCGAAGTGCATGTTATTGGTCTAACTGCGTAGAAGTAACATGACAAAGCTAAAGCCAGACGAGGAAGCAGCCACAGGCATATCGTGTCATGCAAGAACGGTTCTGACACGACAGTGGTCTAGCGTACGTACTCTTCCAGACAGAGAACATCGCTCCAATGCTCCTCCTGACGCAACCACGCCCCGACCTGTGCCGGCTCCCAGTGCCGAGTAGTCGAGAGGAAGCCTTGCTCGCCAGTGAGAAAGTCTTTGTAGAATACGGCCCGTGAGGACGACGAAGTCTCGGATGCACAATCTGGGCGTGCTGGCGGCGAGAACGAGCGCACTGCCGAGGTCGGCCAGGGACGGCGACCCTGGCTCGCCGCGCACATATACGCCAACTCGGTCGACGCCCGTGAGACAGGGGAGCCGAGCGTCGAAGACGAAGGAGAACTTGATGAGGAACAGGAAGAAGAGCTGGTCGGAGAATAGCCGGATCGCGGAGTAAGGGGCGAGCCGTGCGCGTTGGCTGCATCGTCGTCGGCGTTATCGGGTACAACATCCAGATTCTTCACCATCTGACTGAGGACCGACATCTCACTTCCCAGCGAGTCGCGGGAGAACACATCTCGCGCGCAGTCGGTTTCCTGCTCAGATGCCCCGTCTCGGTGCTTGTAGAAGATGCTCCATACCCGGGCAGCCAGGTCGGGCGATCGGTCAGCGGGACCGAGGGTACCAACGACCCGTCTTGGCGTCAGCATCCCAGCAGGCTTCCAGCCGTACTGAAATTTGAGCGGAGAGTTGGAGTCCGGCGAGGCATTGACACGCCACAAAGTCTTCGTCTTTGTCGGGGTCTTGTATTCCATCCCAGGCAGGATCGTAGCACGTCGGGACTTGACGTCGGACTGGGAATGCTGGCGAATAACTACAGTCTGAGAAAAGTTCTTGGTGGCCAGCTTTGAGGGCGAGCTTCCGGCAAGATTGAGGTACCGCGGCATACGACGAAGAGGCGTTGGCTTGCGTTTCGAGCTCTGTTCGGAAGCACCATCCCTGTTTTCCTTTCCAGCCGGCGATACAGAGACTGTGCACGTTACAAGAGAGATTGAAGATTGCTTCGAGACCGGTGAAGGATGAGCGAGTTTTGCGTGGAACGGGTTGGGCACATAAGCCCCAGAGACAACCTTGAAGCTCGACACAGTTTTGGGCGGCCACTCAAGAGGAAGTAAAGGTTGCTGGGCTTGATGCATGACGAAGGGAGAGAAGGGGATAGTCACCGTATACCGCCTCCGCGCGGGCCCGAGAGCAACAGGATCTGCGTGCACAGCACTACGTCAGTATGCATCTCCGCTCGTGCGATTTCACGCCAACACGCACAGCACGCATTCACGTTGCAACTCGCGTTGCCGAGCGGCCCGAGCACGTCTGTTGACGCGCGTTTCCGGGAAACTGCCTTGGGCGCGCTAATGTCGATGACGCGATTTTCGAGATCGGGCACCAGCGGGTACGGGGTAATGATGGCATGGTCATGAGAGGCGTCAAAAGGCCGTAAAAAGAGCGTGAGGATAGAAAAGAACGTGGTTTGAAGGAGCGTGAACAGCGAGTCGAGGATGGCCATCGTAGTAGGAATGAGGAAAGAGGGGATAAGGATCAGCGGGATCAGCTGCAAATTCGGTAATGGCCGGTTGAAGATGTTGTGTCCATCTACTGTTGATACTTCGTACTTTCTGCAGCTAGATAGTACACAATGGGTATTGAAATCCTCCAGGTAAGTAGGAATCAATACGTCTAAGTGGTAAATATGCTTCTGCTGGATCATACTGTCTGTGCCAACCGTTGTCCCAACTGCTGCTTCAGATGCTCGATCATAAGGTCCTCATTTGCAGCATTCACGACAGAGATCCCAGCCGTCATAGTTTTGCGTTCCGGCCTATGCACGGACTCGTATGGTTGCATACGTTTCATGTGGCCCATCCGCCATAACTAGGAGCCGATGAGCAAGGCGCATCCGAGTCAGGAACGCGGAGAAATCTTACCCGCAATTGTTTGACCAGAGACTCCAGCTCAGTAACGATCCCAGCAGCCTCGTCTCCTTTCGCTTTGGCGCGGTCCCGGATATCGTAATCTCGCAGGAAGTTCAGCCAGTCGCGCTGAACTGTCGGAAGGTGGAGCGACTCTTTCCTAGGCTCAGGAAACGGTCTAATGCCCAGAAACGAATCGAGCGTGCGGAAGGCGAAGCTCTGGCCGCCAGATATCCCATCAATACCGCCCAGTGTCCATCCCTGATAGCCCTGGACGTATGCCAACCAGAGCTTCTGATTGAGGTTGCTGTGCACCATCCCACCGAAGAAGAATTTGAACGCGTCACGGAGTATCTCGTTCGCAGCGTGTAATGCTGATTGTGCAGCCCCGAACTCCCCTGTATCCAGATAGATCATGGCATGCGTGAACAGATGGTACATGCGCAGAAGCTGATCCATTTCATTATTCAGAAGGAAAAGGCGGGAGAGTGAGCAGACGCACTCGTTCCTCCATCCCACACACAAGCTTCGCGTTCCATAGCTCCGTTTTGCGATGTTCGTCAGACAGCCCGACGGTAACACTGTATTCCAGTGTGCTGTCCTCACGTAGATTGGCGTACATGAGGGAAGTCATGCAACCGCCTGGAGACGTCGTGCCGAAATGTTTTTGAATGTAGCTCCACGGCTCATCCAGCTCCTCTGGAAAGTCCAACGAGTACTCGTTCTGAGCCTCGCTCACTATAGGAGTCACTCCCCACCTTAGAGCCGACCGGTGTAAGTGGCCGGTGGAGACTAGAACGCAAAACCCAGGCGTACCGGTAAGAATGCCTCAGGAAAGAGAGCACGAGCCATATTCCAAGCCACGCCCTCTGTGAACACGACTCCGGGTCAGATTCGGCGCGGTCAAGGGCAGAGCAAACGTCCCCAAAAACCACATGCTCTGCCAGCAGCTCGCGCATCCGTCCCCTGTACGCGTCGATCAACACCCGGTTGTGTGCGTCGTCCGTTGACGACTCGGGCGTCGGAAACAACGGTGCCATGGTCCGGTATATTGTGTCGTACGCGCGGAGCGGTTCGGGCCAAGTGTCGCGGGGGGACGAGCGGGGTGGCCAGGCCCCGCCGCCGCCGATTGTGACTAGATTACGTAGGCATGTGAGGACGGGATGGTGGAGGGCGTCATTGAGGATGTCCTCGGAAGGTGTGGGACCGGGAAGGACGTCCGAGCTGGGCCCGGGTGTGAATGCCGTGGAGGAAGCGGGGGCAGCCCAAAGAGGAAAGATCCAAGAAAGCGCCTGCATCAGTAACGGCTTGTTGCTGAGAATATGAGTGGCGAGGAGAGTCTCTGCAGTATTGGAGCACACAAAACCATTTTAAACACATGAGCTTCGACAGCGACTCCGGACGGACCTCGATCGAAGTAAGCGCAATTTTTTATGGCAAGCGCGCATCCGGGGCGGGTCCGCGGCCGAAAGATCCGGCCGACGCGATCATTGCCTTATTGCCTTCGTTACGCCTTTCCGCAAATCTACATAAGTACTGGAGCAGTTCTGGCCTTGTTCTAGCTTGAGACCATGACTTCATTTCGTCCATATCGACAAGGAACTAGCCAAAAGCATTGCTTTAGTCCCTGCGACGGCGAAGGAAGTTGCCGGCTCAAAACTACCCCTCCCCGCGACGCGCTTGTGTTTGCAATATTGGAGTATCGCATTGGAAACAGAGCTGGCAACGGTCTTGGTCTATTATGATGTCGTTCCTGACTCTCCTTGAAAATGCCGGGGCTAAGCCATTATGAGAAGAACTCGCCAACAACACGGTCATTTGCATTCGACTGGGGACCCGGCGCTCAGCCTTCCGCAACATTCGCCGAAGCGTGGTATGTTTGTCCTCAGATGGACTAGCAAATTACACTACTTGTGACGTTTCTCGCTTTGATACGGTCGCCGCGCGTCAAGATGCATGTTCCTCGAGGCTTTAGTAACTGGCATTGCCAAGATTGGCTCAGGAGTTTGAACATCAGAATTGAGTGTTCCGCGAAGGGGTTCTACAAGCAAGGCGCAAGACAAGGAGAGGATCCCGGTTGATTATTCTTCTCATGTTCAAATGCAGTCCTGTCAGTAGGAAGCTATCAACCTTCTGGTTCAAGTTCATGTCACTCATCGTGCAACGTTTGTCGTCAATCAGCTGTGAACATTTTCAACCTTCAGTTGTGAGTTTTCAACTTCACATATCATTTTTTTTGCAAGAAAGTGAAGCATATAGCATTTGTACATCTACAAGGCTGAACAGTTATGCGCGTTGATTCGAGGGACTCGCTGAATATATCAAGCTCTCAGCGCGAGGTGAAAACGACAGGCAACCGGCCCCGCCAAACAATGAAATAATCCATCATATCTCGCTCCCAAGTGATCAGGTCGAATCCCTCCTCGAATTGCATATCAAACTTGCTGATCAAAGCACAGACCAGCATCCTCATTTCCTGCGAGGGTGTAAAATCTGAGAATCGAAACACACACGAAAAGCATGCATTCGACGGACCTGATATGCCAAGTTCCGACCGACACAGTTCGCCGGCCCGATGGAGAACGGAATAAACGCCGCAGTGTTGTGGATCACTTCATGGCTCCCGAACAGAACAGGCTCAAGCTTGAGCTGATCTTCGGTCGGCAACCAGCGCTCAGGGATGAACACGTCGGCGAAGGGTGAGAAGTTCCTCGGATCGTGCTGGACTGCATACGTATGAACGGCGGTGGTGGTTCCCTCCGGTATGAAACTGCGAATGCGTCGAAGTTGATCGGGCTTCCATCCGGGATCTGACTCACTGGGACCCCACCGCTTGTCCGCCGCTGCCGATCAGCGGTGCCCGTTGGCTTCCGCTCATGACCGCTGGATAGAGACGAAGGACTTCGTTTCTTCGAAAATTGATGTGAGCCGTCTCTGGAGATGCAGAAAGACAACGGACATCACAGCATTCAGGTAGGGCATCCGCGCTTGAACGGCCGTTTCGGTGATGTTCCACTGTGGGTCATCGATTTCCTCCCGCAGCCGGGCTAAGGTTTGTGGATGCTTGAGCAGCAACCAAAAAATGTTGCACAGGGTGGTCGAGGTCGTCTCCGCCCCAGCAATGATTGCAGGTGATCCGTCGACGATGACTTGGGCAAGCGACACAGGCTTCGTTTCCAGACCTGGCTCGTCGATCTGCAGAGGTAAGTTTCAATAGAATGAGTAGTAAGTAGATAAAGCCGACCAGATGATAGAAAACGTCTTTGCGGATCGACCCATCAAGTTTTCGTTGGGTTGCCCTGTGAACAGCATATTTTCGATATCTCCGCAGTGGTCCACCCACGCCAGGGATCCATCGATAGAATACTGCAGCCCAGGGCAAATGGCTCAGAAACAATGCGGTACTGAGACGGGATGTCGTAAATCAGCAGGGACTTGCAACAGATGAAGATTGGACCGACGGTTGACAGTTGGCTATGATTTCTAGTATTTCATCTTTGTCTTCCGTGGCCAGGGCGTTCCCGCCGGTGCTGAACCTGTGATCGAGCTTCAACCCGGGTGCTATCCAAAGTGGGACCTGATGCACATAACATCGTTCATGACATCGTATGCGAACCAGCCTACATCAGGTTTATCAATCGCATTCCAAGAGAGAGACCAAGCTCACCAAACCATTTGGACAAATCGAGCGGTTGGCCTTTCTTAGTCGCAATCATCTCGACAATCTGTGCCACGCGGCCTTCGACCAGGCTCTCGTACTCTCTGAGCATGGACGTGCTGAGTGCCCGATTCCACGAGCGGCGCCGACGAGCGTGCTCCTCAGGATCCCGCAATCCCGATATCGGCCGAAACTTGGGGTTCTCCGGCATTCGGCCATCCCACCATTCCGCTTCCTCGACGTTTCAGCGCGTTTCTGTCGCATTCACGTGAAATCGACGCACATTTCGGAAGCCCTTCCTGAGTGCCCATCATCGGTTGGATAGCATCGACGTGTCTGAAAGAAAGCTCGTTCGGACCTGATCGTCGAGAATCGTAAATATCGCCACGCAATGTGCAGGAGCGAGCTAAAAGAAGAAGAAAAAACTCACCGACACGGACAATATCCCCATACTTCTGGTGCAAATCAGAGTAGTAGATGTGCTGCTTGCCGCGCATGGACACCGCCGTGAGCCATATCTTGGACATCTTGCAGAGAAGCGGGCCCGGGTAACGTGCCAGTGGATGCAGCGGAGATAGGCGATACGTCAGCAGCGAAGCCAGGAGCGACGCGTAGTAGACGCCGGACGTCGCCGCGACAGCAGCCCACAAGCCTCCTCCCACATGTCGTGGCACCTGAAGCCCATACACCAGCACAACGGGTGGTAGTATCAACAGGGCGAAGAACGAAGCAAGACGCCGCGGCTCCAGGCGATTGAAGAGCAGGTGACACAGCTGAAAGACCATCAGCGGTCTCCAGAGATCGCAAGAAAACGATTGCGGCTCTCAGCTCACCAAGCCAGCGCAAGCCACAGAGGCGATAGTTTGACTGAATGGCAACGAGATCGTAGACATTCTAGAGAAAGCGGGCGAGAAGTCTGGGACCGAGATGTCCCTATATATCTGGGATCTTCTCCGTCAAAGATCCAGGTTATACGAGTGATGGCAATGCAGTGAGGCACGGGCGAAGAGAGTTTATGGCGTAAGCCGGAGATGATCCCAAGGTCAACACATGCGAGGCGTAAAAGAAGTGATTTGCAAAAGCCAATTTCGTAGAATTGAAAATAAAAATATGTGCTCAATGCATGGAAATTTACAGAATACCAGCAGAAAATACCGGAAAGCATCCCCAACATGTTTTTTTAGGCTGGTTCTGAATATGGAAAGTTCATGTGATCGTACTGAGCTCATCAATGCAAAGAATCTTGGATCAAAAGATCATGGCCAACGTTCACACAACACACTGCACCCCCAAATTGGGAAGTTTTTTTTGTGAAATGTTTATTGATGTTGAGTATTTAAATAACATAGCCATATACTCTACACCCATTGAGTTTGAGACCAAGGACTTGGAAGCTACACTGCGGGGGGACTTATTTTTTTTCCGCGGAAAATGCGTGACAATCTAGAAGTCCGATTTTCACCATTCTGTTTTCAGACAAAAAGTATATATTGAAAATAGACGCTGATTTACAGCTTGATTTTCGCCAAGAATAGACATTTCTTCCTTCTGAAAACATGACTTTAAATAGATCATCTGTTTTTATTGATTCTCATTGGGAATAGACATCGATTTTCACTGAAAATAGAAACAAAAAAAGATGATTTCTTTTTCACTGAGAACAGATCAAAACTACTGGAAGAATCTGTTGATTCCGGCCCCAATTTGCATTGCTGGCCTTGCAAAAGGCTACTGAATGCTACTCAAAACATGTTGGAATCATGCTGCAGGACTTATTATGTGGATTGGGGCCGGAATCAACAGATTCTTCCAGTAGTTTTGATCTGTTCTCAGTGAAAAAGAAATCATCTTTTTTTGTTTCTATTTTCAGTGAAAATCGATGTCTATTCCCAATGAGAATCAATAAAAACAGATGATCTATTTACAGTCATGTTTCAGAAGGAAGAGATGTCTATTCATGTCAAAAATCAAACTGTAAATCAGGATCTATTTTCAATATATACTTTTTGTCTGAAAACAGAATGGTGAAAATTGGACTTCTAAATTGTCATGTGTTTTCCACGGGAAAGAAATAAGTCTCCCTGCAGTACTAGCCAGGCAGAGGAAATATCACACAAGGAAATGTACTGAGTGACTGATTGTCACATACGTGGTGAAATGCTGAGGGCATGCTTGTGACTGAATCAACAATGAAATCAATCCAACCACAAAATACGTCACACTCCTCTAATCAGCTTCTTAGATGTGCAAAAGTGTGGGGGCTTCAGTGGGGGCAGAACACCAAACCAAAATCTCTCTCTCAAATTGAAGACTAAATCTGAGCAGTCACAACACAATAGTGTCACACAAAGACTCAAACAAAATCAAAAAATATCAATCCAAGAACCAACAACTCAAATAGGACAAGAGTAAACTCTGGAATGGGTATTGAGAGCTCTTGTTGCAACAGCATCCAAGTGTCAGGGGAACCCACACTTTCATCCGATCATTATGGGATCTTGCATGTGACCATGCACATGCCATCTGTCAAGCATCACATGCTTTGGTATGGACTTCCCTGCCAAGCATGCCCTCATGACCTTCAGACCCAGGTGTGACAATCAACAAGAAATAATGTCAAAAAGGGAAGTGAATTCGAAGACTGGGGAATACAACCAAGTAGCTACAGTATTTATACCCAAATCCAGTCTGAGTCATATCTACAACTATTGAGTCATAAGGCTATGTACCACATGGAGCACTGGTCATGGGTTGTAGTAGAACCTTCCAGAGCATATGTCGCGCAGCCTTGAATCAATAAAGATAATCCTCAGACCCCTAGCCTGGACCGTCAGGTGCCTTGATCCGCGATAAGATAATCCATTCTGAGATAAGATAAGATCGTTGAAGATAAGATGAAAAAGTGGCCGAAGTATGACATTACCCCCTCTCTAGGGTCGATGTCCTCATTGACTGGGCCAATCAGTGTGAAGACGTTTTCTTACAGGTCAAAGAGTTGTCGTTGGGGATATGGAAGGTGCTCATCTCTGGGTTTGCAGCGGTGAATGAGATAATCCCAGTGTCCAGCTTCGAGCGTTGGCAGGAGGCAAATGCATATGTCTGGGTTGGATTGTTTCCTCTGCCAATCTCTCAGGACCTTCTTTGCATGGGTAAGATGACGTGATGGTTCCCAGGTATTTTTGCTATGCAGCCATCCCTTCCATTTGACCAAGTACTGCTTTCCTCAGCCAACGTTCCGTTCTTTCACAATTTCTTCGACTTCCCACTCTTCTGCTCCTCCGATCATCTTGGCTACAGGTCTCTTCTCTTGGCAATGGAGGGGTGGTTCATGATAGGGTGTCAATAGTGACTCGTTGAACACCGGGTGTCTTTGGTCCATGTCCGGCAAGTCCAGCTTCCATGCAGCCGCTCCAACCTTCTCCAGTATCTCGTATGGCCCCAATCTCTTGTTGCTCATCTTCTTCGAAGGCCTGTCCATCTTGATATTCTCCCCTTTAATGTACACCTTCATCCCAACCTTCAACTCCGGAACTTCTTTTCTTTGTTTATCATAGTATTTTTTCATTTTTTCATTTTTTCATTTGCTTTTTCTAGTGCTGCTTTTGCTTTGTCTTGTATTTCTTTGATTCTTTTAACAAACTCCTCCGCCAACTTGTTCCTTGATTCCATCCGCTGCTCCACTCCCTTCCATGGGTAATATCCATGATTCGCATAGAACAGCAATATTTTGGTAGACGTGTTCATTTTATTGTTATATGTGAACTCCGCCATTCCCAGCCACTCCGACCAGTCTGTCTGATGGTAATTGTTGTAGATGCGGAGATAGCGTTTGATCTCCTGATTTATGTGCTCTGTCTGCCCATCCGTTGATAGGCTGGCTACCAGACGCGCTCTGCACCAGCTCTATAAGGGCGTATTTTTGTGCTTTTACAGAGTTTACTCTCGAACCATTTGGTGTACCGTGTCACAGTTGGCAGTGTTGCGCTCAGTAGGACTTAAGGGTCTACTGCCCAGTCAACAACTGCAGATAGTGTTGACGATAGCAAGGCAGTCAGACCACTACTGTGGAATTGGTCTTATGAGTCTACACCAGGCTCAGGGCTATTAGTGACAGACACTCAGACCGCGACAATTCCCCAAAAGGGATACTTTGTTGCGGCAACTCCTCAAAAGGGTCATTCTGTCATAGTTCGGCCACTTTTTCATCTTATCATCAATGATCTTATCTTATCTTGGCATGACTTATCTTATCACGGATCACGGCATCTGATGGTCCGGGCTAGGGGTTCCAGGGATTATCTCTATTGATTTGAGGCTGCACGACACATGCTCCGGAAGGTTCCACTACAACCCATGACCAGTGCTCCATGCGGTACATAGCCTTATGACTCATTAGTTGTAGATATGACTCAGACAGAATTTGGGTATAAATACCGTAGCTACTTGGTTGTATTCTCCAGTCTTCAAATTCACTTCTCTTTTTGACTATTGTTTTTGGTTGATTGTCACATAATTCGAAGACTCCCCTCATACCCTCCTACCTCCTACCTCTTACCCCTGCATCCCTCACTGCTATGCCTGCTATATCCTCTTCACCCTTATCATCTCAGTTACCCTTCTACCAAATCATCTAGTCGTCCTCTGTGATCGCAGTGAAGGGTTCATCTCAAGCAAACACCACTAGGCCATGGGTAACGTTGAGCCCAACCCAAGCCTTACAGTAGCTACAAGGAGTGCTGCGGAGACCTTCGGGAAAACGCACCTCGGGATCATTGGGCACATGAAGAGCTAGGCCCGGGATCTTTTTGCTAGCAAAAGAACCTCTCCTCGAGTGCTTGTACAGCACACAAATTCACCATTTCGTTCCGATTCCCATTGTCGTCCGGGAGTCCGTCTCCTCCCCCCATCCTACCATCGTTGCCCAATCTGGCGCATCAAAACCGACCCGGGTCCTCCAATCCCTACCTTGCCCTCCCCCTGCCTGAAGACAAGATCCCTGACCTCGACGAACTGCCCTCCAAACAACCACCTTCACCCCTACCTACCACACCTGCTCGTACCATGTCAGGACATCACCGCATCACCCTCGCCGCCAACCTGTGACAATCAACCCAAAAATAAAGTCGAAAAGAGAAGTGAATTCGAAGACTGGAGAATACAACCAAGTAGCTACAGTATTTATACCCAAATCCAGTCTGAGTCATATCTACAACTAACGAGTCATAGGGCTATGTACCGCATGGAGCACTGGTCATGGGTTGTAGTAGAACCTTCCGGAGCATATGTCGCGCAGCCTCGAATCGATGGAGATAACCCCTGGAACCCCTAGCCCGGACCGTCTGATGCCGTGATCTGTGATAAGATAAGTCGTGCCAAGATAAGATGAGATCGTCGAAGATAAGATGAAAAAGGGGTCGAATTATGACACAACCCTCCCTATTTCGATGGGGACAAGACCAAGTACATGGGCTTTGTGGACTCATACACCACCTACATCGGTGCATACCAGTCGGAATTCTTGTTGGATGAGACGGAAATCCCTTTTATCCTCTCCTACCTCTGCAACGAGGCTGGCACAAGCTGCGCTGCCTCAAGATGGGCAATGAACTGGAAACAGCGCAACTTCGAAAGCCTCAATGGAGTAAAGGCTGGGGTCACCTCAGCAACCTTCTTGGAGGAGCTTCAGAGGGCCTTTGGGGACACCAACACAGAACAAGTCGCTGCCGCTCGACTCATGGCCCTATGCCAGAACAAACAATCCTTTGCGGATTATATCTCCGACTTCAAGATGCTGGCCACAGACGCAGGGTACAATGTGGTCACCACCACCGACGACAAGGGCGAGTATAAGAAGGGGGACCAAGACAACATCCTCATCAAGTTCCTCGAGCGCGGACTCAGTAGCGAGATCACCAGTCGCCTCTGCAACACGGGTGTCCCTCTGCCCAAGGCGTATGGTGCCTTCAAGGACTGGTGCATCAACATCGAGGCAAACACTCTGCACAATCAGCTGCGCAAAGCGTCGTATGGGCATCCCACGCCACGACCACCTCCCCAATTCCGCCCTCAGGCTGCTCCAACGACGCCTGCACCCGCTCCGGCCTGACCCGCTGCCAATGAACTGGTTCTGATGGAAATCAATTGCACTCATACCTGCGGCCGCAATATCATCTGCTACAACTGTCAACAGCCCGGTGATAGGCTGGCTACCAGACGCGCTCTGCACCAGCTCTATAAGGGCGTATTTTTGTGCTTTTACAGAGTTTACTCTCGAACCATTTGGTGTACCGTGTCACAGTTGGCAGTGTTGCGCTCAGTAGGACTTAAGGGTCTACTGCCCAGTCAACAACTGCAGATAGTGTTGACGATAGCAAGGCAGTCAGACCACTACTGTGGAATTGGTCTTATGAGTCTACACCAGGCTCAGGGCTATTAGTGACGGACACTCAGACCGCGACAATTCCCCAAAAGGGATACTTTGTTGTGGCAACTCCTCAAAAGGGTCATTCTCTGCAGATGGGAACTCAGGCTGAAGGGCTTAGCAATGCACGATGTTCTCAACATTACAACTACTACTGGACAGGACTTGGCGTTACGAGATTGAATCAATCTTGTCGCGGCAACTCCCGGTTTTGAGTTGGACGTTTCCTCAGGTCATGCCACGACAACGACTTGTCACATGTCAGGATCCATTCGATCACGGGACATTGTGGACGCGTCGCGGTGACACTTCCAAGTGTCACGGCGAGTCGCGTCCATACCCAAACACATCAAAAGCAACACGGGCTAGATCCGTGAACCGAACCATGGAAGGAACGTCTGGCGTGCCAAGGGCCATACAGCTTCTTGGGACGCCCACATTGGACTCACTTGCCAAGACATACCAGTTGGCCAATCCAGCACGTCGTATTCCAAAGGTATGACACGGTGGGTTGACCCACATCAAAAGCACCATATTGACAATGGGGCGGGGTCCTGATCAGTCAGGACCTGTCTGATCATTCAACTTTTTCATTACCATAAAAAGCAACTGATCTTAGATAGCGTAGCTGCTATGCAGTTGTACAGGACTTTACTAAGCACCATCATAGACAGTATAAGTAGCATGTTGTTTCTTTGTATTTGGGAGCTTTCCCCCAGACTGTGAATCATACCCATATCAGATTGTTTTGTACAATTTGCGTGTTGCGTGATTCCGCCCTAAGAAGTTCTATTATCCCTGCCTGGTTGCGACGAGTTGCTCCCTGAGCACTTGTAGCTACTGTGATTTGAGTTTTGAGACATCAGAAAGTTGGATTCGCCGCATCTGGTTTAGTCGCGGCATTTAGTGTCGTCGCCCTTCGGGCTTTGTTGAGATTGTTCCACACCTCTAGCTTGGCAGTGCGTCGACTAGTTGTGCTTGGGTTGTTTTGGTCAGTTGGCAGTGCGTCGACTTGAGAACTTTGGTTCCACACTTCTTGCTTGGCAGTGCGTCGACAAGTTGTGCTCGGGTTTTGGACATCTGGATATTGGCTGTTAGTTGGCAGTGCGTCAACGTGGCATTTTGATTTTACTAGTTGGCAGTGCATCGACTCAGTACTTTGGTTGTGTCAGTTGGCAGTGCATCGACTCGATATTTTGGGCTTTGCATCACCACCTGGACACTGTTGCTACAAGGGATCTTAATACTTCGTATTCAGTTCTGACTTGTGATATTGTTGGTTGTGGTTGGATTAGTGTTGGTTTTGTTTGTATAGAAGATATTGGTTGAGACACCACTGTTTGCTATATATATATTCTTGTCGTCGACTTCGTCTTCCGCGACTATTGGATCTGCGTCTATTGAGAGTTGTGATACTGGTGCTCTGTCCACCCCGAAGCCCTTGCATCTTCACACACTGAGAAGCTGATTACAAGGAGTGTGAACGTGTTTATATTTGGGTTTACTTTCATAGTAGATTCACCTGTGAGCACGCCCTCAGCATTTCACCGCGACACAATACACCGAATGGTTCGAGAGTAAACTCTGTAAAAAGCGCAAAATACGCCCTTACAGAGCTGGTGCAGAGCGTGTCTGGTAGCCAGCCTCTCAACGGAAATCGAATATTGGGGTGTAAATATTGGACACAATTTGATGCGGATGGACCCAGTCAAAATCAAGGGCATGATAGAATGGCTGGAACCAAAGAGCATCAAACAAGTCCAAGCTTTCCTAGGGTTCACCAACTTCTATCGGCACTTTGTCCAGGGATATGCAGAGGTTGCCAAGCCGTTGACATGACTGACAGGGAAGGCAGGATGGTCATGGGGTACGGATGAGCTTGCGGCATTTGATGGATTGAAGAAGAGAATCGCGGAGGATGTGGTCTTAGCACTGCCAAATGACACTGGCCAATATTGTCTGGAAGCTGATGCTTTGGAAGGGGCAACAGGATCTGTTTTGAGCCAAAACCAAGACGGCATTTGGCGCCCAATCGCATTTATTTTGCATGCATTGACCAAAACCAAGCAAAATTACAAGATCTATGACAAGGAAATGCTTGCAATCATGCTATCATTGGACAAATGGAGGCAGTTACTCCTGGGAGCCACGGAAACGTTTGAGATCTTCACCGATCATCAGAATCTTGAGTACTTCCGGAAGCCGCAGAAGCTCAATTGACGGCAAGCATAATGGATCACAGAGCTGGCAGAGTTTGATTTCACCTTACAACACCGACCCGGCGCACTCAACCGCAAGGCAGATCTCTTATCACGATGAGCAGATCACGATCAGGGCAAGAACAACAACAAGGACGTCATGTTACTGAAGCCCAAGTTCTTCCAATCACAAGAAGTCACATTCAAAGAGCAAGATCAGCAGCTGATCGATGAGATCAAGGCCATTTGATTGATTGATGGAAGCGTCAAGGCGGCCTTAGAGAAGTCACTCGTTGGATGGAAAAAGGAAGATGGACTCATCACGTATCATGGAAAGCTCTATGTACCGAGGGACAAGGAGCTGCAGGACAAGATCATTGGGCTACACCACAACACACCTTTGGTTGGACATGCTGGGATCAACCAAATGCAGGAAATGGTGAAAAGGAATTACTGGTGGCCAAGGATGGGGAACCAAATTCAGAAATACATCCAGACGTGCGAGGCATGCCCACGGACCAAGACCAGGAGAGCAAGGATGGGGACTCTGCACCTGCATGCAGTTCCAAATGCGCCGTGGGAAATCATCTCCGTGGACTCAATTGGACCCTTGCTGGTTAGTAACGGGTATGACGCAATTCATGTGTGGTGTGACACCTTCACCAAAATGATCCATGTTGAACCAATTAGTACTGACATCACCAGTGAAGGAGTAGCACGGTTAACCAGGGACTGGGTCTTCCGCTATCCTGGGATCCCTCGCAAGATCATCACCAACAGGGACTCACAATATATCAAGGGCTTCATGAAGGAAACAAATCGGATGTTGGGCGTGGAAATGAATCTAGGGACCGCATATCACCCAATCATTGTCAGGGGACACCGCGCTCCTTGGGCATGTGACCACACACGTGACCCACTGCGCCCTCTCTGCTGACCAGTGCCTGCCCACCTTGTCGACCACCGACCCTCCTCCTCCTCCTCCTTTCCCCGGCCATCTCCTTCGAATCCCCGCAAGCGGTCTAGCCAAGCTCGATTCCTTGCACCAGGGAGTGCTCCTGCCGTACACACTCCTCCTCCTCTACTTCGGCCTTCTCCCTGCGGATGTGGTCTACTGCCGTATAGGCTCGCACCAGATGCCCTCGTGCTAATCCGCACCACCCCTCTTCCCAGTTGGGCGTTGGTCCTCGCCTCCAACGTCTCCACTGGCTGGCCCAGCACTGGCCTGGCCACTGGGCTCCTCCAGTGTGGCCCTCCACTGTTGGTGTCCTAAGAGCTGGCCATCACTGGCCCCTCTGAGCCGATCACTATCTTATCTGGGTTTGTCATTATCTATTTGTCATCTGCCATTGTTCCATGGCAGTGATATCCCATCATCATCAGTCACTTGTCACAGCTGACTATATAGTGTGACACCTGGGCACATGGATCCTTGAACCGTTCTCTAAGGATCCCCTTCTGTGCTCAGGTGAGTAGCGTACCTCCCTTGTATTTGATAGTCTCTAAGGATCCCCCTCTGTGCTCAGACTCATGTGAGGTTGTTGTGGCTGTGTGCTCTCTGCCTCTGGGCTGGCAGGAGTTGCCCTTACAATCATGGTGAAATGCTGAGGGCGTGCTCACAGGTGAATCTACTATGAAAGTAAACCCAAATATAAACACGTTCACACTCCTTGTAATCAGCTTCTCAGTGTGTGAAGATGCAAGGGCTTCGGGGTGGACAGAGCACCAGTATCACAACTCTCAATAGACGCAGATCCAATAGTCGCGGAAGACGAAGTCGACGACAAGAATATATATATAGCAAACAGTGGTGTCTCAACCAATATCTTCTATACAAACAAAACCAACACTAATCCAACCACAACCAACAATATCACAAGTCAGAACTGAATACGAAGTATTAAGATCCCTTGTAGCAACAGTGTCCAGGTGGTGATGCAAAGCCCAAAATATCGAGTCGATGCACTGCCAACTGACACAACCAAAGTACTGAGTCGATGCACTGCCAACTAGTAAAATCAAAATGCCACGTTGACGCACTGCCAACTAACAGCCAATATCCAGATGTCCAAAACCCGAGCACAACTTGTCGACGCACTGCCAAGCAAGAAGTGTGGAACCAAAGTTCTCAAGTCGACGCACTGCCAACTGACCAAAACAACCCAAGCACAACTAGTCGACGCACTGCCAAGCTAGAGGTGTGGAACAATCTCAACAAAGCCCGAAGGGCGACGACACTAAATGCCGCGACTAAACCAGATGCGGCGAATCCAACTTTCTGATGTCTCAAAACTCAAATCACAGTAGCTACAAGTGCTCAGGGAGCAACTCGTCGCAACCAGGCAGGGATAATAGAACTTCTTAGGGCGGAATCACGCAACACGCAAATTGTACAAAACAATCTGATATGGGTATGATTCACAGTCTGGGGGAAAGCTCCCAAATACAAAGAAACAACATGCTACTTATACTGTCTATGATGGTGCTTAGTAAAGTCCTGTACAACTGCATAGCAGCTACGCTATCTAAGATCAGTTGCTTTTTATGGTAATGAAAAAGTTGAATGATCAGACAGGTCCTGACTGATCAGGACCCCGCCCCATTGTCAATATGGTGCTTTTGATGTGGGTCAACCCACCGTGTCATACCTTTGGAATACGACGTGCTGGATTGGCCAACTGGTATGTCTTGGCAAGTGAGTCCAATGTGGGCGTCCCAAGAAGCTGTATGGCCCTTGGCACGCCAGACGTTCCTTCCATGGTTCGGTTCACGGATCTAGCCCGTGTTGCTTTTGATGTGTTTGGGTATGGACGCGACTCGCCGTGACACTTGGAAGTGTCACCGCGACGCGTCCACAATGTCCCGTGATCGAATGGATCCTGACATGTGACAAGTCGTTGTCGTGGCATGACCTGAGGAAACGTCCAACTCAAAACCGGGAGTTGCCGCGACAAGATTGATTCAATCTCGTAACGCCAAGTCCTGTCCAGTAGTAGTTGTAATGTTGAGAACATCGTGCATTGCTAAGCCCTTCAGCCTGAGTTCCCATCTGCAGAGAATGACCCTTTTGAGGAGTTGCCACAACAAAGTATCCCTTTTGGGGAATTGTCGCGGTCTGAGTGTCCGTCACTAATAGCCCTGAGCCTGGTGTAGACTCATAAGACCAATTCCACAGTAGTGGTCTGACTGCCTTGCTATCGTCAACACTATCTGCAGTTGTTGACTGGGCAGTAGACCCTTAAGTCCTACTGAGCGCAACACTGCCAACTGTGACACGGTACACCAAATGGTTCGAGAGTAAACTCTGTAAAAGCACAAAAATACGCCCTTATAGAGCTGGTGCAGAGCGCGTCTGGTAGCCAGCCTATCACCGTACAGCACGCTCATTGACTGCAGGCATTGGCTTGTCAAGATTTTTGTTTGAGACCAAATGCTGAACAGATGCATCTTCTGAGTGCTGGCTAGGATCCCCAGAATGATCAGGAAGTGTCTGTGGCGGCTCAGGAGGCTCGGAGAAGTAGGGATTATCCTCTTCTAGTGTCTGGGAAGGGCTGGAAATCAAGGGGAGTGGTTTCCTGGCAAGCAGTGCATTAAGCCGTGCTTGCAGATGCACCGCCTGAGTGCACTTATGTGGGTGTATGTCAACCACCTCCCTAGCAGCCTTCCGTTTCATGGGGCTGGTGCTAGGTACACCAAAGGGCAGCTGAGCAGCGGCACGCTTGCAAGGAGCCATTGAGGTTTTGAAGAGAGGAATATAACAGTAAAATTGATGGCAAGCTACTGGATTAGGAAGGTATTAGAAGCTCATGTCACTATGTTGATTGCAGAAGCGCAGACCCATCCGGACATGATGGGGCCTGTTAGGCCCCGATTTTGACCACTTCCAAGGGCCTTAGAGGGGGGGTGTCATCTGTAACAGATGCACCTGAGATGCGTGTACCCATGATCCACACACTCATTTGGAGATGAAACATATTGCTCTTTGCAAGCATTTTATTTGTGATTGCGTCCTGAAAAAACTAATTGCCGGCAGGTCCAATATTACTGACTTATTCACAAAGCCCCTCAATGCTGTTATGCACCTGCGCTGGGTTATGATGCTTTGACTTGATGCAGGTCAAGGGGGGGTGTTAGCAATCAATGATGCCTCTCTGACCTGATCTTGTATCTTATCCAGATTCAATAAGATGTATTTGATTGATAGCTATGCCCTGGACAATGAGAGCTCCTATTCTCTCTCTCTCATTGTACCAGGTGTGTATTTATTCTAGATCTCATTACAATACTCATCCTATTCTCTCTCTCATCTTACCAGACCAAATACTATATCTTCTCATAGTTGTATTCTCCAGTCTTGGAATTGACTTCTCTTTTCGACTTTATTCTTTGATTGATTGTCACATTACTGAAGCCTGTAGACAATGAAAGGCTATAAGTCCTCAGTTGCGCCCAAGATGATGGTAAGACTGAGCAGACAGAAAACAATCAAGATGGACTGTATAGGTAATTGGGACCAAATATCTCACAATGCTGAACTCCCATCACTAGGTTCACACAGTGTAGCATTTCAAAGCCATCTCATCAGGAAGCTCTTTTTGCAGTCAACATACTCCAGCAGTTTCTTATCAACATGGATTCCTCATTCACATGGGAACTTGAATGCCAACTTGCTAGATTGGGCCAAGAGATTCCACTTGAATGTGTTTCAAAGATGAAGAGCACAGATATCATGCAGTACTTGGCTCCATGGAGTTGTGGAATACTTTGGACATTTTATGCAATTTTAAAATCATTTTACAAGCTGATATGAACCGCTCCCTCTCTGAACCCATACTCTATTGTAACCCATACAATTCTTTGTCCACGAACAGTATGACTTAACAAAGAGTTGACTGTAGATACTGATTGTAAATTGTAGACTTACTGGTGCTATTTGTCTACAGGTACAATACAATATAGAGTCTTACCATCATTTGGGTGCAACTGACAACTTACCAGTGCTATTTTGCTATCTGCTTGAATTCCCTGTTGTTGTTACACACTATGATTTGAAATATATTGGATTCAACCTCAGAGAAAAGAAACACAAAGAGGAAACAGAAGAACTCGTATTGTTCAAAGAGCTATAGAATGGATCAATCAACCCATTGTGCCTGAATTAACCCAATTTGAGCAATAGTACGGCAGATAACCGGTCTCCAAGGTGGTTTGGCTGCTCGGGTGTTGTTCGAACCGACTCCGATTTGTCACGTGCCATGCAACTATCGTTGGACGGATAGCGTCTTGTGTTGGGAGGTCGCTGACAGTCTGAAATCATAACCATGCAAGACGAGTTAATTTATAGATGTAAACTCGGAATTTTCGACTAATTCATTCTATAAAAATCATCTCATCGCATGGCACCGGTCCTCTAATCTACGGAGATCACAAAATATCGTAACTGCGATGCTAAAGGATTGAATGGAATCCATGAAAGCAGCTCGGTGTATGATTACGCTCGTCAGGATCGCTGACTGAGCCGGGCCATATTGGTCAGGGTGAATGACCAACAACACAGTTTATCGCAAAACCACAAGTCACGGCGTCTTGAGAATTACCAGAATGCACCCAGAACTTCTTGTGTTATGATTTCAACGTAAATTGGAATCCATAACGAGGCTTCTCTCTCCAAAGAAAAAAATATAAGAACGCGCATCTGAGCAGTCTCCATCTTCAAGTTGGTCCCCCATACAGGATGTTCAACCTCTTCTTGATCTCAGCTCGCCTTTCCCTCTTCTTCGCGTTCTGTTCCAGCAACGTTCTCGCAGTCGTAAGTGTTGCCAAGTCCAACACCGAGTCCCTACTCACCGTCTTCGCTGCAGGGAAATGATGCATCGGCGTCGGTGTCACACAATGCAGTCCAAAGGACGATTATCCCGCACACAATGCAGCTCGTCCAAGTGTTCACGCCGGTCTCGTACGACGAAGTCACCTCGCGTCTTTACTCGCTTCTTGGCCCGGTGAATTCCGCATATGTTCTTATCGGTGCAACGTCTCTGGCCGAGCTCGAGGCGAGAGTTGGGGCCGTGCTTGGCACCAGTGGCTTCATGTATGTCGCCCATTCATATTTCCTTCGTTCAGAAGTGCCCGCCACTCAACCGCGCTGTTTTCTAGGCACTTTAGCGAAATCGATCACGGCGCCTGGTTCCAACTGTTCAACGCGAATCCGACCCCACGGTTCAAGCTCTATGTTATTGGCAACCCGTTCATCGCCGAAACGATGATCAAATTTGACCTCCGCGCCGGCTACAACGTGCCGCCCCGTCTGCTGGTCGTGCAGAACGGGAATGGGACCAAGATTGTGTATCATCTACCATCCTCCGTTATTGATTTGCACGGACCAGCCAATTTGACCGCTGCCGCGGCAGTCTTGGATCAAAGGTTGGCGGCGCTGGTAAGCAACATTACGGCCGTCGTTTGAAATGGGGTAGGATGAGAAATCGTTTCTTTCCTCGCTCCAAGGATGAGTCTGAATCTCAGCGTCAGCATTTTGGATGTCATCGGCAATTCTATAGAATGTCGAAATTTTAAGTTTGCTGTTGTGTGTACACTTTCCTGGTGTTTCCATCGTTATGTAAATGTGCAAGCGATTTTTATGATCCCGTTAACGTGGTTGGTTATCTTATCAATAATTTTATCAAGTTGCCAAGATCCACATGTTCAACGACACCCCATATCTAATCCTTAGTTCCATGTGCTCCTGCGTGAATTTTGATCCAAACTGAGGATAGTATAGGCAAGCCCATACCGCCCTCGAGCTTTCTTTCATGCGTCAAGTGCGAAATCGATTGAAGCATGCATCAACCTTCCCATTTGAATCAGCTCGGTCTGTTTCCCGTTTAAGACGTGCCCGGCAACTTCGGTATTCTGACCAGTAAAACGTTGTACGTGAATCGTTGGTAATGGACTAGAAGTCTTCAGGTCAAGTCCTCCAAGTGGGCGAAGATATTGGGTCATATGTAACCTCGATACGAGGGCTCTAGTTGTTGCAGCGAGCTTATGCACCTGATGAACATCATGATGCCGTCCGACACGCGCACCTGTTAGTCAAATTTTCACACGTGTTGGTCCGTGATGTCCGGGCCAAGACACACTCAGAGGGCGTCTGACTTGTCAACCCCGCTCGGGGCGCACGGTCCCCACCTGCAGTGGGTGGGAGTGGGGGATACTATCCCGCGCTTAACTGACCAATTTACCCGTGAAGGGGAAGTTGTGTTCAGCTGAAAGGCATCTTTTTGTGGTAAAAAGACTCAGAAGACCACGGTACTAGTAGTGTCGCTGACAGTAGTACTAGATTGCTCCCCATCACCACTGCTCAATACTCTTCCCTCCAGAACCTAGACTTTGTGATCGGCAAATGTCCGTGTTGTGGTCGCACTGCTTTGTTTTGCCGAAATGCCGGAACGTGACTTGTTTTGTTGGGATGATGAGTTTTACAAGACGGACAGGATAGCAATTTGCATCATGTACCTATAAATAAGTAGTGATGTCAACGAAGATTAGGCTGTCATATCCTGATAGCACTTTCCAACGAGCGGTTGCGAGAACCCAGACTTTGTTGCTTGATCATTGCATGTCCATCCCGGATATGACATGCTGTCACCAGGTTGACGAAGAAATACTTCCATCCACATTGGTCACCTAGACGTAGTGTTTTATGTAATCTCAGTTGTTAACCGGCGGATTTAGAGGTCGTACGGTGACTGAAAAGACCTTTTCAACGTGTCTACTTTTCGCAGAATACGCTTCTCTCCGATCAGCGGGCGGGGGTAGGCCAGCGATAAAAGCGATATTATTCTCACATTCGTAATAAAAGTTTCGATAGGCGCAAGATACTCTTGTGCGCCTGGGAGGCTTATGCTCTTCCCGGTAATCGTTCTCCACTGCGGGAGCGATATCTCGCACCGGTGTGATTCACTTGGCCCATTGCCCAGACACCAGAGACTCGAATCCCCCGTCGAGCTTCTTCCGATTGAGTTGCGACCAGTCCCGGAACCGACAAGCCCTGCCAAGTCTCGGGTGGGGGATCGGCCATGCTCATGATCATGCGTGTTCGCTCGCCGGGATGATTCATAGAACGGCTTCGATGTTCACACCGGCGAAACATTCGGGGCCCTGGCACCGCAGGAGTGGATGATAGAAGACCAGTGGAGATTGTCTATCCCGACACGTCACCACAGGGTGCGATTCTACAGCCGTGAGAAGGCTACCAAATCGCAAAATAAAAGAGGATCCACTTTTTGGAAGGGAGAGACAAGCCGAAGTTCACCCCCTCGATACACTCCCTCGATTGGATTGTGGTTCATGTCAATCCCGCGCAAGCTCCTGACTCTATGCTTACTGGCATGTGCGGCAGTCACTGTAGGAAGCCTCAGGCCGTTATCTCACTCCGTCGCCCGTCTGACTCGTCACCTCTTGCATCATTACAGGGGGCCACCACCATCCCAGCCGCGCCACGCTCGCACAATCCAGTCCAGCGCAGCGTGACACCGCACATGATGGAGATCGTCCAGGTCACCACCCCGGTTTCCTACGATGACGTCTCCGCGCGGCTGTATTCCATGGTCGGGTTCCTCGACGGCGACACATACCTGATCGAGTCGCCGACGCTGGCGGTCTTGAAGGAGAGAGTCGCCAGTTCCGTGGGCTCCAGCGGACTGATGTGCGCGCCGAGATGGCTTGGCTTGGCGTAGGACGCTTGCTGACCCGGTTTTTTCAGCCACTTCGCTGAGCACGACCACGGGGCCTGGTTCCAGCTCTTCTTCCAGAATCCGACGTCCAGGTTCAAGCTGTTCGTGATCGGGAACCCCGTAGTGGCCGAAACGATGGTCAAGTACGACTTCCGGGCATCGTACTTCGTGCCCGTCAGGATACTGCTCTTGGAGAACGGGAACGGGACAAAGATCTTCTACCAGCAGCCATCTTCCGTGATGAATTTGATTGGCTCAGAGGACTTGAAAAATGCGACGGAAGCTCTGGATCAGAAGGTAGAGTCCTTCATCGACAGCATCACGGCGATTCTGTAGGCCATCACGTGCTCCAGTCGATCTGACCAATCCCAAAACTCGGAAAACGCTGTTTGATTATATATGATCTTGAGTGTCTATCGTATGCCATGGGATCCAGGATTGAATATCGATGCTATTTTAGGGTGTTTTGAGTTTAGGAGATGAGGGTGACGACAGCAGACATGCGAGGCGAGAGCGAGATGATGTTACAAACACAGCGACTAATCGCGGGCAGCATCTATCCTCTATAGGACATGGCCTCCCGGTCATCCGCCCACAAACGGCCGTACTCAAGAGCTAACCGATATACATATACTGGAAAAAACATGAGCGCTCAGCCATTTCAAGTTGCCAGTGAGATCACACACCCTCCATGTCAATGGTTCGGCCAACAGTCTGCTTCCATTGCTTGCCGGCACGCGCAATCCTCCGCAGTCGTCGATCGCCCTCCTCTTGCGCTGCACTCTTGGGTATAGGCGCCAGTAGCTGAGGTAGGTCCTCCCTCCGTTCGACTGCCGCACGCCGTAAAATTGGGTTCTTGCCAACAGGCGGACTGAGTCTCGGATCACTGGCCCCAATCCGGTGCTCCACTTCGGATTTCGATGTGTTAAACGTGAGAGTATCTTCGTCTTGGACCCCACGGTCACTCAGAACAGCTGGGGCGCCATTCCACTTGAGCTCAGACGAAACATTGGCTGCCTTCAACGCTGCAGGCGGCGGGCCGGAAAAGTACGAGACGATGTTGTAGATCTCGGAATACGTTGAGGACAGGGGAATGAAGTGCACCCTGTCATCATAGTCAGTCTTCCAAGAACATCCGCAAGCGCAAGAACAAACCAGGGCTCTATCCAATCTGAAAAGTACTCGTCGTAAACAGTGACCTTGACGGGGACACTGTCGCTCGCCATGAAGGCCATGAAGCGACCGCTGTAGCCCATGCCATCCATGTCGAGTAAGTATCTATGAGAAACTGGATCAGTCACTGTAGGGCAAGGAAGTTGGACGCAGTTCACTTGTAACCCCAGCTGACGCCAAGTTCTACGCTGTTTCCGAAGCGATGCTCCTTTCCAGTGGGCACAATAGTCTTCACGAATGCCGCGTCCATAATATCCACATTCAGTTCAGACAACGTGGCAGTGGCAGTCGTCCATTCTGATTCCGGGGCTTCATATGTATACCCTGCCTGCTTCGAAGTCGAATCTGCTCATAGTCAGACACATTCGCACAAAATGACGTGGAGAACTTGCCTTTGACTGGCACCTTTAGCGGTGGAAGAGCGAATGTCACCTCAGTGGATCGCTCAGAGTCGACACGATTCCCTGGCACGTAGCCTACAGACGACATCTGTATGAATCTGACGGCGGTCAGCGACGATGGAGATTACCTGGGCACGGCTTACCGGTGTCTTTGGAAGCCATTGCCAAAACCTTCAGGGCTGTTTCCACCTCCAGTGCTGGCGCCTCGCCACCAAACTGCATCCCGCTTCTTCTCCCAAGGAACTTCCATCGGGTCTATCACCCGTTGTTCCAAGTTGATGGGGTCCCATGCATAGGTGTACTGTCTTGTTCCCCCGTAATAGTAGTGACTGGGAATACGGATATCTCCGAAACCTCGAGCTCTAGCCGGCGAAAAGACGGGGGCCAGCGCAGCGATGGTGCGCCAGTCAGAAAAGAAGTGTCCTGGTAATTGTGCATGAGCTCCGAACTAGTAAGCAAAACATGAAAAGCATACCTTGTTCAAAATGCGCTCCTGGGGCCGTGCAGAAGTCGAACTTGGCGTTGGTTCCCTCCATGAACTCGAATCCACTTCCACGATCAGCCGCAGAAGATTCGCCTGCCCAGTTGAGGATGCCTTGCACGCCGTCGCGGCCAAACATCCGGTAGTAAGCTTCAGCAAGACGATCCTTGCCGGCTTGGCCTCCACTCCACCCAGCGCCGATGGACGAATACAGCCTTCGAGCAGGAGATTCTGGCGAACACGTTCGTCTCCAGGCATCCCACACGGATCCAGCGCCTGCCCAGTCGGCCTTGAAGTTCGCTGCAGACAAAAGGTGCGAGGCTGGAAGATCCTGAGCTCCGACGACGTTCGAATACGAAACAGGACATACCGGACTGCAGCGGGTCTGCTGTAAGATTGGGGTACGCGACGTGTTCCCAAGGAACTACAACACGCCCTTCGGCCTTGGCATTTACAGGGAAGTCCATGTCAGGGAGCTGTAGATAGGTCAGGGGACACGCATACACACACGAACCACCCTTAGAGAGCGACAGACCTCGGCCACAAACTTGCTCATCATAGACTTGAGCCCGTTGGCGCGTCCGCTGACCTCACTGTCCTCGAATCCCTTGGCCATATTCACCGTCCTCGCTTTGCCCGATTCCACGCGAACTAGGTCAATGGACGGCAGCGCGCCCACCAGAGATGCGCGCAGGCGCAGCTCCTCGCCCGAGAGAGTCCAGAACGGCTTGAGGTCCTCTTCCACCCCATCAAACTCGTCGATCATCACGAACCCGTGCTCCACCGCGAACGCGTACCACTGGTCGAACCCCCGCGGCGGCGCGCGCCCGTAGCGGCGTTTGTATTCGGCGACTGCTTCAGAGAGTGTGCGGCTCTGGCGCGAGAGCTTGGCGCGATAACGCGCGTCTGCGGCGTCCATGAGCGAGGGTATGGGGTGCTTCATCGACCCGCCCGAAAGCCACGACTTTGCTTTTGACGCAATCGACTTGGAGGACGAGGATGAGGAGGAAGACGCGGGTATCGAAGTCAACGACGAGGCGGGGGCAGCGGCATGCAAGCCAGCTCGCAGGAAGACGAGAAAGACGACGAGGAGGAAGAGATATCCGCTTTGCTGTTGTAGCCAGCTGTTAAACGCCCGCGCACGCAGTCGACCATCAGCACCCATCCTGGTGGTTGAATTGTCCGCCGCAGGACTGGTATCGGGGGGAGTGGAGTGTAGCGAAAGACGGGAAATGCCCCTGGAATGCTGTTTGTCACTGCTTGGTAGGCCGTCCGCTCGCTGTCGAGCTCTCCGATCATGCTCTCCTTCGTTGTCAGTCATATTTCTCTCCAGCTTAAAGCCTTTCTCGACGTCGGGAGATAGCTTACTCATTGGCACGATGGGGAGAGGAGTGGGCAAGATAAGATCTTGTGATGCTTTCTCACAAGAGACACCCGTGGCTTCCTTCCCAGCTAGCAAGAACTCGAGAAAGCTGTGTCTAATCCCAGCTGACCTGGGGCGCTGGTGGTGGCAAAATAGACCGCCGGCTGGTGACTTCATCCTTCTCTAGCCGCGTCCATCGATGCCATGTGCGCTTCGAAGTTCACAGCCCGTACCTAATGAATTCATTTCAAGTGCGGCACGTATCGACCTAGCGGACACTACTCGAACTTGTGCAACTTCTTAACGTCCACGCTCTCCAAAACTCCCTCGGCGATTAGATCTGCTACGCTAGTTGTCGCAACATACTGAGTCCCTTGTCCCGGCTGCTCGAACCACGCCGCGATCGTCCCCGTCAGAACGACGAACTGCTGTTTCACCCGATACACATGATAGTTTGCCCGCGGTCCGCCGGTGGGGTTGTCCAAGCTAGAGGGCGGCAGTGCCCGCTGACCATACGGAGTGAAAGCCGGCGCGAGGAAGATCCCGGTCTCGAATCCGAATCGGTCCAACAACATTCCCGGAACCAGTGTCTGATTGCCCTCGATCGCCATGGCCGTGTTGGAGAGCTGGAACCCATCGTCGGGTGGGAAAACAAAAGCGCCCGTTGAGCTGTTGGTGTATTTGGCGAGCCATGCGTCAGGGCACAGTCCTCCGAAGCGATCGTAGCTCGCTAGCATTGCGTCGAACGGGAAGTGGTGGGGCAGCTTGGCAGGTCCCAGGCGATGGTCGCCGCAGAGAAACTGCGCGCCGTCGGTACCGTTCGTTCCAGCACATGTGCACTTGGTCTGGTATCGAGCGATCAGTTCCAGCCATCCGAGCTCAGCGAGCGGGCGAGACGACGACCGACCGAAAGACCCGTTATATGCGCAGGATTCTCGGCAATTGGAATCGCGAAAACCGCTCTCGACAGCAGGCAGATTATGAACGTGGCCAAGACGAACATTGCAGACCCGGGGCTACTTCACAGTGTGCCTCTGACTCGAGCCTTTATCTTGGTACTGTGCTCCCGCACTTCGCGTCCCAGCCTTCCATTCAAGCTGTCACTGACATATGCTCCAGCACTCAAATTGTCGCGTCTTGCTGGAGCTGCCTGGCGAATTGTACGTGCACGAATCCAAAGACGCCACTTCCTCGATAACACACAAGCTCCAAACAATACGTTTTGACTGCCAGAATACTTAATCGCCATGATAATCATATTTCGCCGTCCGTCCGACAGATTTCAAACTACACGAGGATTCTCGAGAAGGCTTCGCCGATGACATATCTCGAACATCGATGTATCTTTGACAGGCTGGTTTTTCGCTGCGTTTTGATCCTGTAACATCGGCGAGTCTCAGTCTGCGAGCGCATCAGCCTCAGGCGTGCTTATGAGGGAGCGAGTCACGAGATCTTGTGTGTACACCCCCTCGTGCATCTTGCTGGCTGAGCAATTGACGCTTATAAGCTTTCCCGCCGTAAGCCACTTGCCGTAAGTCACCTCCGGCGGCCCTCTCACGCTGGCAGACGTAAACGGAAATAAGACGGGCGATGGAAGTCTAGGAGTTCTCAAGGACCACCGCGAAGATCTCGTCATCAAGTCTATTATGTCACGATACTCACTGCCTCCAGGCAAAACGTTCCTTCGCTCGTGTTCGGAATCGATACGCCATATCCGGAAATCCAAACGCTACTCGAACTTGCGCAGCTTCGCAAAGTCCACACTCTCCAAAAACCCGTCCGCGATCAGACTCGACACGTTTCGCGCCGCCAGATACTGCGTCCCCTGTCCCGGCTGCTCAAACCACGCCGCAATGGTGCCCGTCAACACGATGAACTCTTGCGTCACCCGGTAGACGCGGTAGTTCGCCTGCGGACCGCCCGGCGGGTCGGCCAAGCTGGACGGCGTCAGCGCGCGCTGGCCGTACGGCGTGAACGCCGGCGCGAGGAATCGCCCGCCCTCGAACCCGAACCGATCCAACAGCATCCCCGGCACGAGCGTCTGGCTGCCCTTGATCGCTCTCGCGGTGTCGGAGATCTGGAACCCGTCGTCGGGCGGGAAGACGAGCGCGCCTGTCGAGGGGTGGGTGTACTTGGCGAGCCACGCGTCGGGGCAGAGGTCTCCAAAGCGGCTGTAGGTCGCGAGCATCGCGTCGAATGGGAACTTGTGGGGCAGCTTGGCGGGTCCTAAGCGACGGTCACCGCAATGGAACTGAGCGCCGTCGGTGCCGTTCGTTCCAGCGCAGGTGCACTTGATCTGAGCCCGAAGTCATCTCAGTGCGCGGACGGTGACGGCAACTGAAGCACTGACCGCCAGCCCCTCCACAGGGTTCTCGATGACTGGGAGAGCGACAGCCGAAAGGCAAAGCGTAAAGATGGTCAGCGAGAGAAGCATTGCGATTGGGAAAGCCGGGGCTCTTGCAGACAATTTCTGGGACGCTGGTCTTTTATCCTGACGTAAAGAGCCCCGGATGTTCGCCGTTCCATGGGAACTTCCCTGTCAGCTGTCCGCGTCGCTGCTATTCGCTTTACCTACGGAGCTGCGCTGCAAATCGTCCATTTATCGCATATACTCTACTGACGAACGCCAACGCGGTTTCTCAACGAGAGACAACTTCGTCCCGATGGCCGTTTAGCCTGTACGCTAGTCCAATGGTGCATGGGGAGGATATCCAAGAGATCGTTCGTCCTTGTACGACCGAAGGATATCAACGCTGCAAAGATCCTCGCGAAGGCTTCGCAGACGACATGGATATATGCGAAGACTCATTGTATTTCACTACTCGTTCTGGAATTGGAATTTGGATCCTGTAAATAGCAAATCCATTTCTGATCCTGCAAAGCGATCGACCATCGTCCCCAAGTGGCATGACGAAATTCAGTCGCAAGAAGATAAGAATGTCTAAATGGAAAGCATATACTCAGGACACTCCCAAGTCTACGACCTATAATGATAGAGAGGGACATACATCAGCTGGGATCTACGAGACTCGCTACCAGTTCTGCAAAGTCCAATGATACCAAGTAATCACGCCACGACATCCACACCCAACCTCTCCACATCCCGCAGAACAAACCGATACGTGCTAACCAAGTCGACCATTCCACGCTCATCTGCAATTCTCCCCAGCGCCTTCAGCTCCGTAAACCCGCCGTCGACCAAGAGCTTCACCATCGCGCCCACCGGGTACGGCGGTCCGGTTCAGCAGGACGAGGGCCCCGGATTTGCGCCATGCCCCATCAAGAAGAGCCAGGAGTCGCAGTCGCAGGCGATGGCCTCCAAGTCGACCAGGGGGTTGCCTCAGCCGAGGAAGGGATTGATGATCGATGGCCGCGATGAATGGACGACGGGTGGTTCGGCCGTGCTGGCGTTGATCCACTGCAGCATGTCCCTCCATTCCGGTGCATCCAGAACAACGGCCGACCCGATGACGGATGCTGAGATCGGCACAGAAGAAGACGGCGGAACGGAGACGGCGACTTGATGCTGGGCATACGTCGGTGTGCATTCCACAACCACGCCACCGACGAAAGACGCATTGCTCAGCGTCACGATCGCGAGGACGGTTGTGGAGTTTGAGGCCTTGAGGAGCCAGGGCAGGTGTGGTTGAAGACGCGCCCAACCAAATACGAGTCGGTCATGAGGAGGCCGGTGTTCACGTGATTCAGATCGTACACGGCCTCGCACTGTGCGCCTGCGATAGCGGCCGAGTACACAGTCGTCGGCGATCCCAGTGCGTTGTTGTACGCACTCGGGATTATTGAGCTGCCCGCAAACACCACCGTGGCGGGCGAGCAGACCAGATCCGCGGAATAGCCGCGCGTCGTGGCCCCAAGCGTCCCGCTCGAGCTCGGGGAACCCGCCACAGCCTCAAGGGCGATATCGCCTGCAATCGACCAGCGCGGCCGCGGGAGCCCCAGCACCTGCCGCCCCAGGTAACTTGTCGTGTAGCCCTTGTCAGCAAGCGCGCCTGGATCGAACACCGTGGGTGGCATCAGCGCCGTGGTGCGGTTCAGGGTGCTCGGGGCCGTGTACGCGATGGTCTGAACCCGGAAGAGCGAGGCCGTGACAACTCCCGCTACGGCGGTGCTCCACAGCCCGAGCGTCGTGAGCAGGACCGTCGCGTGCCGGTACTTCGCCGCGTGCCAGAGGTTGGCAAGCATGTTCGCGCCGAGGTAGTCGAGGCTCCAGCCCCGGTGTGCGGGTGTAAAACCGCGACTGAGCTCGGCCCAGGGTACGAGGATCTTGACCTGCAGGTCGTACGCGATCCACATAAACTCGATGACCATGAGCACCGCGACGGGCAGGTACGTCCACACGACGAGCTTCGCACTCGATTGGGCTTTGAAAGGCGACTGCGACGCGTCGATGAGTCCTCCGGCTCACCCAGATCTAGAGACATAAACACACGTGTCGATACAACACGTCCAGCGCCGCGATGAGAGCAACTAAGAGCAGGGCCCATGGGCAACGCACCCAGCAAAAACGGAGACCACGCTTTCCGAGGGCTTTCGAGGTCATGCATGTCGGACCCGGCTTCCTTCATATCTGGACCAGATGAAATCTTCACCACTGTCACATCGTATTCAGTCTGTGCTTGCTGAGACTCCGTCTTTACTCACTTTCGATCCCTCCGTCATGGTCATACAGTCGTTCCGAGTCGGAGGAGAGGCCAGCCTCCTCATGCGCGCTGCTTAGTCCATGGTAAGGACTGCATGTAGATCTGGACATGGGAAGATGTTGCAGTCCAATGCTGATAATGGTCACGAACTGATGGGGGGCCTCTGCGCTAGCCACGCGCGTGGGGGGTAGCCTGTCTCATCCCGTTCACCCGAGATGTGCGAGAGAAAGCCTCTCGAGATGCAATCACAGTCTCCTGGCCATAGCAGACCTCTAGCTACTCGAGTATTGAGACCAGTTTTCAAAGTCGAGTGCAAGAGGGAAGTCCGGATGGCATCAATCATGTGCCATGTTATGTACACACGCCTCCATTTCTAGCAGCTCTTACGTCGACACACTTAGTACGAATCTACACTAGTAAACGCGGTTGCCTCAGGAAACCGGCGCACGGACGGTCTCGATTGTATATCCTCCCACCACCTGGAATAGGTGTCAGAACCCACCGACACCGAGGAAGCGCCAGAACACGGACCTCGAAACGTTCGGTCGCGTCTTGCTCGTCATGATATCACATCCCGCGAGAGACAAGATCCCACCGTACGACAGATGAAACAGGTCGGCCAGCGTGAATGCCTGGAGGTCATCATCAGCTCGCGACTTGAGGCCTTTTGACGTGCGCGCGCACGTCTCCTGCTAGGTACCGCGTCCGTCCCAGTATCTCTTCGTACACATCCAAAGTCGCGGACAGCTGCTGCAGTGCCTCTTCGACGGCACACTCGTCGGGTTCTAGTCCTCGCCTCCTATGCATGATCAGCCCTCAATCATACCAGCGCGCTCAGCTCACACACCTTTTAGCTATCCTCTCCGTATAGACCCGGTGCGCATGCGGATGGAAATTGGACGTCTCCACCGACACCGCTTGCTCGAACACGGCGCGTGCACGCAGTGCTTCGTCACCGGCACCCGCAGCCGGCGGCCCCAGGCTCGTCCCCTGCCCCGCATACTTTTCCTCGAGATAGCGGCAGATCGCGCGCGACTCGTACAACACGAACCCACCGTCGTCCTCCTGTGCACACACACACACGCTCAGCTCGCGCCGCGCTCACGGAGGGAAACCGGGGACCCATACTGCGCACGCACGATGACGGGGAACTGCTTGAACGGCTGCCGCGCCGTGTGGGCGGGCGCGAGGTGCGCGCGGTTCGGCAGGTCGAGCGCGCAGTTCTCGAACGGCACCTGTTTCTCGAGCAGGGTCACGAGCACCGCGTGCGTCGCGCCGGCCGCGCGTGGGGAGCCGTAGAGTTTCAGGACCATTGCTGGGATGGAGGAGAGCGGACAGCGTTTGTGCGAGTTTTATAGCGGAGGGCGGGATTGGCAAGGGCACACCACGATATGCATTACGAGCAGTGCATGTAATGACGCGCGCGTGGTTATTGAATGAAGGCAGGCACAATCGAGTCACTGGCCCACAAAGCCAACACGGAGGCCAAGTTGACCTGAAATGAAGGTCGAAAAGGCCGATCTGATGGCGGATCGAAGTCGCGATCGAGTATCATTGCCTAATCGAACCGATACTGAATTAATCGAGTATATAGCAGCCCTATTACGGATTGCTGTATCAAGTCGAAGGCAGCCTCGATTCGATTCCCAATCAGTATGAGTCGACGCTGGCAATGGGCGTCGCTTGCGGGAATCTCTGCACGGTCGGCCTGGCATGGATCTCGTTCCACCAGCTGCAATGATATCGCACAGCCATTCAGGAAGTTGAAAAAGCGAGATATGAAGCAGCACGAACCGCGCAACATTCGGCCTCGCTTCACTCGACATGATGTCGGATCCGCCGTTCAAGGACAGCAAGCCCCCAAAAGGGAGGTGGAAAAGATCTGCGAGTGTGAATTCCTGGGCGAGGCTCAATACAAGTCACACGAGAGAAGAAAGCGGGTTTGAGACACACATCTCCAGCGAGAAAACGTGTCTTTCCGAGGATGAGATCATACACATCCAGCGTCTTCCCGAGCTTCTGGAGGGCCTCCGAAATAGCGGCCTCATCGGATTGCAAGCCTCGCAAGCTGGTGACATATAAAACGTCAGCCAAATCGCACGCAAGACCATTGCTATAGAACATCACTGCCTCTCACGGTTTGTTGATCCGCTCGAAATAGACGGTGTGCACATGCGGATGGAAGTTGAACGTCTCCACCGACATAGCCTGCTCGAAGCGGGCGCGGGCGCGAAGGTCCCCGCTGGGCGGACCCAGCCTCGTGCCTTGCGCGGGGTACTTGTCTTCCAGATACCGACAGATTGCACGCGACTCGTACACGATAAGCCCGTCGTCGTCCTGTCACACACGGTTGGAAAATATTAAGCAGGGACAGATGCGCATGCGGTCATTGACATCCCACGTACAATAACGGGGTACTGGCTAAATGGCTGCATCGCAATAAATCGGGGCAAGAGAAGCTCGCCGTTCTGGACGTCGACGATGCAGTGCTCGAACGGCACTTGTTTCTCCAGTAGAGTCACGAGAACGGCGCGGGTGGCCCCAGACGCTCGGGGGAAGCCGTACAGCTTGAGAACCATCGTGTGCTCGGAGTGGGTAGAGTGTGGTGGAAGCGCTCGCCCTTATAAAGTCTCATTGTCAAGCTCTAGGCTACGCTGCGGAAGCGAGATGGCGTTTCATCGAAGTTCAGTTCAGGATGATGCGCGGAGTCCGTCGGCTCTCCATGGCGCGTGAACTTCCCGTAGGAAAGTTGCCAGAAGCAGAAACGATTCCTATGGTGAAGCTAGGAATACTCATTCAAAACATCCACACCCGTGATGAAATGGCATAGACAGTTACGGTAGTCGAAGAGACCGATCTGATTCTAGTGATCTTGGTCGGTGATAGCCGAACAAATAGAGGGCCGTGATCTCCCTGTCTCTCCCCTCCAGTGCGCTCTGCAGGCACGAAACACTGGTCTCGTGTCTTGAAGGAGATACCGACGCTCAAAGCTAGCGCCGTTTTTAATTGAAGCATCTTCCGCTCATTTCGCACTTGAACCCAGCAGCAGTTTGCTTTCGGGTCTAAATCGCCCCAAACTCAGCACTCTGCTCGACTGAAATTTGAGCCGCTGTACTGACGATGGGCAATCTGTGGTTACCTATCATCAGGTGCCTTCGCCAGTCTTGTGATCTCGTTGCAAATCCCGCTTCCTCGGGATATGTCTTCTACTGAGATGTCTTCCCGTGCGGAATTTATCTGACGAATCGGCTTTCTACATCGAACCAGCATCATCGATGCAGTATAAGATCTCCTCCCACCACTCAGTACTTCCCCCAAGTCTGAACATCACACGATGGTTCTCAAACTTCACGGTTTCTCGCGCGTGGGGGGAGGCACGCAGTCAGTCCTGGTGACCCTCCTCGAGAAACAGGTGCCGTTCGAGAATTGTACCATCGACACTGCGAACAACGCGCACCGCTCACCTCAATACATGGCGATGCAGCCGTTCGGGCAGTACCCCGTAATTGTACGCCCGTCGACACCCCGTCCGAACTGCCCCCCGCTCATACTGTAGCTCTGCGTGGTATACAGGACGACGACGGGTTCATTCTGTACGAGTCGCGGGCGATCTGCCGGTATCTCGAGGACATGTATCCGGCGCAGGGAACGAGACTGGGGCCGCCCAGCGGGGATGTGCGTGCCCGCGCGCTCTTCGAGCAGGCGATATCGGTCGAGTCATCCAACTTCAACCCGCACGCGCACAGCATATTTGCTGAAAGGGTGATCAATCCGTGAGCCCTAGTGCGCGGCACGCATCCCTCGGCTGACACAGCGCTTTCCCAGCCTGCGAGGCCTGACATGCGATGAATCCGTCGTCGAAGAGGCCCTCCGCAAGCTCTGCGTCACTCTGGATGTGTATGAGTCTGTGCTTGGAAAGACGCGGTATCTCGCTGGCGAGGTCTGTGGGGGTCTCTCTTGATCGCCATTCACTAGCACAGCCGGCTGAGCCCCCTTAACCAGGAATTCACACTCGCAGATCTGTTTCATCTGGCCTTCGGCGCCGCGCTAGCTCAGGCTGGATGCGGAATCATGACGAGTGATGCCAGACCGAATGTGGCTCGGTTCGTCCTCTGTCGTCGTGCTTGCGTTATTCTGACTGTGTGTGGAGATGGTGGAAAGATATCCAGTCCAGACCGGCCGTGCAGAGGTTCCCTCAAGGGACGGTGTTTACCAGTGTAGATTCTTATTGATCGACGAGATTGTACGGGGTCGACGTAGACTGCAATCTGATCCGGATGATCCGAGATCATGAATGAAGCGAAAGATCTTGCTCTTCCAACGCGGAGACCTGAAAAGTTCGAGTGATTTGCAAGCATGAGAATGTCAATCGATTTGACCGTCTCTGCAGGCGATTCCAAATGCCCTAATCCGTTCACTTCCCGATCCCTGGAGCGAGTACTGCATGATATCACGACACCGTGATCGCAGTGCGCCTTCCTTGCTCCCTCCACTAACCTCGATGGCCTCCGACTCACCATACCAGACCGTCCTCGTCGTCGGCGCATCGCGCGGAATCGGGCTCGCGCTCGTCCAGGAGCTCGCCGCGACCCCAAACACCACCGTCCTCGGCACCGTGCGCACGGGATCCCTGCCCATCGCCGGCGCGACGACGCTCACCGCGGACATCACCTCCGACGCGTCGGTCGCCGCCGCCGCCGCGGGCGTCGCGGAGCTCGACACGCTCATCGTCAACGCGGGGATGGGCGACCGCGATCCCGTCACGCGCACCGCGACGGCGCACCTCGGGCAGTACCTCGACACGAACGTGCTCGGGCCGCACCGCGTCATCCGCGCGTTCCTCCCTGCCCTGCGCGCCAGTCCGCGCAAAATAAGGCGCATCGTCCTCATCAGCTCGTCGAGCGGCTCCATCGAGCAGCAGGCGATGCCGAACTCGATCGGCTTGGCGGGGTGCTACGGCGTCTCCAAGGCCGCGCTCAATATGCTTGCCGTGCAGACGAACAACGAACTGAACCGCGCGGGCGAGGAATTCACTGTCATCTCTGTCCACCCGGGCTGGGTCGCGACGGATATGGGAAATCAGCACGGCTCTGGGGGTATGCCACCCGAGGTCTCGGCCAAGGCGATTTTGAAGTTGGTCGCTGGTCTCACCCCCGAGCAAGGCGGCAAGTTCTTCAAATTCGATGGAGAGATCATGCCGTGGTAGATGCAGATTCAGTTACAAGTACAAATGAATGCAGTAAAAAAGATACATGGAAAGCCCGAGCTCTCTCAGCCAGAGCACATCAGACACTCGTCCTTGTTTTCAAGTGCACAGAGCATCTTGGCTTCTTCCAGCTGCCGTTCCTGCAGCTTCCGCAGCGACTCAGCAAACTCCGGGTCCTCAGCAGCCAACTTCTCGAGCATGTCGTTGCTTTCATCTAAGGCCACAATAGGCTCAGCAGTCTTGGTCTGCGTGATGATGGTGACAGAGTCCGCCGGCGTAAGGATGTGATCTCTCGAGACTGTGGAAGATGAAGATGGGGATGGGGAGATGGTTGTGGCAGCCGTGGTGGACCGAGCTGGACTCGCAGGCACCGCCTTGGCTTTGGCAGCCTCCGCATTCTGCGCCTTGACCTTGTCCAGCACAGTCTGGTCGACGGTGAACTGGATCGCGGCAGAGGCCGGCTGGGTCCGGAGATAGTACATCCCAGTCTTCAGACCCCGCTTCCATCCGTAGAAGTGCATGCTGGTCAGTTGGCCCATCGTCGGTGCGGCCAGGTGGACATTGAGACTCTGGCTCTGGCAGATGAACGCGCCTCGGTCGGCGGCAAGCTCGAGGACCTTCTTCTGACTGATTTCCCAAACAGTCTTGTAGATGGCCTTGACGTCGTCAGGAATGCTGGGAATGTTCTGTACCGATCCCCGGTGCGCGATGAGGATGTTCTTCATATCGTCATCCCACAACCCCCGATCGACAAGCTCACGCAGCAGCCAAGGGTTGACAACCTCCCTCAAGTTAGAGTGGCGTTCTAGCATGCAGAATGGCTAACGCTCACCTGGAACTCCCCAGACAGAACACGTCGTGTGTAGATGTTGCTCGTGTACGGCTCAAAGCACTCGTTGTTGCCCAGAATCTGGCTTGTCGAGGCAGTCGGCATCGGCGCGGTCAACAGCGAGTTCCTCAACCCGTGCTTCGCGATCTTCGCCTTAAGCTCGGCCCAGTCCCACAGGGGTGAAGGTGTGACACCCCACATGTCGTACTGCAGCTCGCCATGCGACGCTGGACTGCCTTGGTACGACTCGTAAGGTCCATCCGCCTGGGCCATCTCGCAACTCGCCTCTAGAGCACCGTGATAGATGGTCTCGAAGATCTGCAGATTCAACTCCTTCGCGGCTGGCGAATCGAACGGCATCCTCAAAGCGAGGAAAACATCTGCGAGTCCCTGCACACCAACACCAATCGGCCGGTGACGCATGTTCGATTTCCGCGTCTCGGGAATCGGATAGTAGTTGACATCGATGATACGGTTCAGGTTGAATGCGACGACCTTGGCGATATCGTGCAGCCTCTGGAAGTCGTATTTGCCGTCGATAATGAAGCTCGGCAACGCAATTGACGCCAAGTTGCAGACGGCCGTCTCGTCGGGGGACGAATATTCGATGATCTCCGTGCACAGATTCGAGGATTTGATCGTGCCCAGATTCTTCTGGTTCGACTTGGCTAAAAGACGAGTGAGCCACGGAAGCAGCAGCAGCACTACCCATACCATTGGCATGATCCTTGTAGACCATAAAAGGACCACCCGTTTCAACCTGCGCCTCCAAGATCGCATACCATAGCTTCTGGGCAGAAATCGTTTGCCGCGCCCTCCCTTCCCGCTCATACTGCTCGTACAGCTGCTCAAACTCTTCGCTGTGCACCTCATGAAGCCCCGGAGCTTCGTTCGGGCAGAATAAGGACCACTGGCCGTCGGCTTCGACACGTTTCATGAACAGATTCGGAATCCAGAGAGCGAGGAACAAGTCCCGTGCTCGCATCTGCTCCTTCCCATGATTCTTGCGCAGGTCGATGAACTCGAAGATGTCTGCGTGCCACGGCTCGAGGTAGATCGCAAAAGCGCCCGGACGCTTGTTGCCGCCTTGGTCGACATATCGAGCTGTAGCATCGTAAGCTCGGAGCATGGGCACGATGCCGTTCGAGTAGCCATTCGTTCCGGCAATGTAAGAGCTGAAAACGCAGTTGAGCTGTGCGTGTTGAAAAGATAAGAATGACGCGCACCCGGTAGCTCGGATGTTGTGGATGTTCAGACCGATTCCTCCCGCACTCTTACTGATCATCGCACAGTTCTTAAGCGTGTCATAGATACCCTCGATGGAATCATCTTTCATGCAGACAAGGAAGCACGAGCTAAGTTGCGCTAGAGGTGTTCCAGCATTGAAAAGCGTAGGGGTCGCGTGAGTGAAGTAGCGCTGCGACATGAGGTTGTATGTTTCCAGAACGCGTTCGATGTTCGAGCCATGGATGCCGACGGCAACACGCATGATGAGGTGCTGGGGACGCTCGACGACTTTGCCATCTAGACGAAGCAGGTATGACCGCTCGAGGGTCTTAAATCCGAAACTGAACTAGATAAGCATCGGTCGACAGGAGCTGAGAAAGAGCGCACTAGTTGTAGCTGAAATCCCTGTTGTGGATGATTGCAGCGTCGAGGGTTGCAGCGTGCTCTTGTACAACATCATACGTGTTCTTCGCAATCAGCGAGGCTGCACGCCCAGTCTTCGGATTAACTGCAAGAAGTCAACAAGGTGCAGTTCGATGATGAAGAGCGAGCGAACCATAAGAGTACAGGCGCGAGACGACCTTCGAGAAACTCTTGTCCGTCTCCTTGTGTAAGTTTGAGATCGCGATACGCGCAGCGAGGATGGCATAGTCTGGGTGCTTCGTCGTTAGATACGCGGCGGTCTCAGCCGCGAGGTTCTTCAGCGAAACGTGAGACAGAGACTGCAAGCATTCAACGCGATAGAAGACGCACATCCAGCTCCATCGTTGTAATCCCATTGTACACGCCCGCGACGACTTTCTGGGTGACTCTGCGAAGTAGCTAAGAACGCGTAAATGATTCACGCCGAGGACTCCACGCACTCGATAGGGTTCACATAGTTCTGGTCAAGCCCATAGATGAGTTTCTCGATACGGCTGGTGATCTGGGGTGGGAAGGCACGTGGTAAGTATGCGCTCGCTGGAGATAACGGTCGAGGCCGACCTTGTCGAATAAGACTTTTTCTTTACGTCTGAGGAAAAGAAAGCGTGAATTAGACGTGTTTTGCGCGCGAGCAACGCGACCAGAGCATCACATACCCATCTGAAGCACGCGTAGGTTCGTCAACGACCTGAACGCGACGTGGGACATACTGGACTCACCTCGCTTAAAAACGAAAGCCATAGCGTGAAACGGGATCGAGGGTAGGGGAAGAGGCGGGGGATGCGGCGCTGGAAGTGGTGGAGGATGACAAGGATGAGAAAAAGCGCGTGACGACCAAAGTCTCATCAAACAAAGTCACGCATAAATCACGCGTTTCGGCGATCGACCGCTCACTATTGAATGTCCTCTGATGCGGCCCGTTGTTTCCTATTCATCTCGACCTGGAGCGACGGTGGCAGTCAGAGCGTGCCTAGAACCTCAGGGATCATAGCAAAGACCCGTTTCAACGACGAAACTGCGTGGCTCGAGGAACCCCTCGCAGTCGGACCCCGCCGCGCCAGGATTACCTGTTCGATTTGTCGCCTGTTCTGTCGCACAGCCAACCCTTTAGCAATGCGTGCAGAACCTGCCGCCTTTGACTGTGCTCGCAATCTTTTCCTTTTTCCGCCTTGCTTTATTCCACCTTACCTCCCCGCTTCGTCGAGGGAATTCGGCATTATGCTGCGCGGCCTTACAAGGAGCCTCCTTCTGCCCTGAGACGAAAGTTTAACTCACTACATACACGCTGCCAATGTTTGGCTTCTCTTTCGGCTTGCCTGAACTTCATACCACTATCTCTTTCCGACAGTCGTGCTGCGGTCTCCCTCCTGAACACTCAGGGTCCTGAAACTCTACGGCTCACCGGAGGCCGGCGGTGCGACTCAGACTGCGCTCATCGCTCTCCTCGAGAAGCACGTCTCGTTCGAATTCTGTGCGCTCGACCTGGCCAGCAGTGCTTACTAGTCGCCCACCTATCAAGCTATACAGCCGTTCAAGCCGTTCCCGGCCATCGAAAGCCACTCCTCTAGCGCCTGCAGGTCCCGCTTCTTGAATCCGCAGGGCGACGATCGCTTCATTCGGTATGAGTCCAGGGCCATCTGCCGATACCTCGAGCACAATTACCCAGACCAAGGAACGGGGCTGGAACCCGCGCGGTCTCTCTACGAGCAGGCGTTGACAGTCGAGGCATTCAACTTCCACCCGCACGCACACTGGGTGTATTTGGAGACCATAGCGAAAAGTAACTCGGGTCTGGCGTGTTCGGCTCCCGAGGGCTGATGCTTTGCGTAGAAGGCGAGGCCTTAACAGCGATGAACGCTTCATCCGCGAGGCGCTCAAGAGGCTTTCCGAGATATTGGATGTATGCAACCAAGTATTGGCAAAGACGCGGTACCTTGCGGGAGACGTGAGCGTCCTTCCCAATGCTTGCTCAATGATTGGACCACTTTCTCACAGGAATTCACGCTTGCCGATCTGTTCCATATTGCCTTTGGCGGCACTTTGATTCGAGCCGGGCATGACATAATGACTTGCAGGTGCAGCCAAACGTTGTTCGGTTCGTAAAGACTCGGTTTCTGGTCGCGTTTGCTGTGCAGCTCTCTGACCAGTCCTTGCGTCAGGTGGTGGAATGACATCCAGTCCAGGTCGTCCGTGCGCCGGTTCCCAGAAGCGGGTTTGTTCACCAGCGTAGCCTCGTACCGCTTATGACGAATGATCTCGAGAGCAGCAATTTTCAATTTCGACAGATTGTGTGTTGAAAGGATCTGGACACATTTATAAAAGTTTCGCTTTGTTTTCCCTTCACGCGGTCCCCGACGCAGCCTTCATCGTCTGCGCCTTGGCCTGGGCCGCTTCTTCCACCGTGGCAAGCACAAAATTGTACGTCAGCACCTTGTGGCTCGTCTCGTTCTGGAACCCGCGCGCCCGTGTCAGCTCGGGATCGGTCTCCGTCGTCAGTTCCTGGAGCGATCGTTCTGAAGATGTGCCACGAATCGACTGGAATGGCACGCACCTTGATCAGACTGGTCTTGACACTGAACACAACATCGCTGTAGATGTACGGGTCGCCGTCGGGATACAACGCCGTCACGAGCTTCTCGAATCCGGGCGCCTGCCGATCCTCAGATGTCAAGCATGAGGCTGCACATCGGAAAATGGGACACCCACTTCGAGCACCATGTGCAGATGAGCCGGCCGGAAGCCGTGGCGGCCGAGCGCGTCGAGCAGTCCTTTGGCGGGTCCATCGGCCGGGATGGGATACGACACCGGACTGAGCGAGCGTGGGTATGGGAGGCGAGAAACACGAGAACGAGGGGGGGCAACTCACACGACTGCGCGGTAGAAGAAAGACCCGTCGTCGGTGGTGCGGAGACGACCGCGGCAGTCAGGGCCTCCGCGGTTCGAGTACTGGCCAACCAATATCAAGCCTTCCGACATGCTCGTTATTTTTCACAACGCACCTGAGTGTCGTAGAGCCCGTCGCTGTCCGTTTCCCAGGTGTCGATGACGCAGTTGGGGATCGGATTGCCCTTGGTGTCGAGCACCTTGCCTTGGACCCACATGTACTCTCCCTTGCCTTCCGACGCGATGCTCTCCCCGTTCTCAACTGTGGGGCAGTAAGCTAAGCTGTACATCTCGCTGCAAGCGCGGATTAACTGACAGTCCAACGCATCGGTCGTGAAAAAGGGGCCGAGCACCGTGGACTCGGTCGCGCCGGGCGGCTTGGCGTGGTTCATCGAGTCGACAAGCGCAGAGACGCCGAGGATGTCCGAGAGCAGGATGAACTCCTGCCGGATGTCGGTGCACATCTGTCCAGTCTTGGTCAAGAAAAGGAGCGCGGTCCTTGCGGGGAAAATCTCAGCCATGCATCGCCGGAGAATGCGCACGTCGTACGCACATCCACTCCTCGGTCGTGATCGCGGTCTCGCGCACAAAGTCGTGCAGGTGGGTCACCTGCATCGACGGTTGTTCAGAGAAGACGAAATCAACTGCCGCCACGCACCAAATTGTTCATGATGAACTTGAGCCGCGGATTCTCACCTGAAGATTATTGCAATCGTCAGCATCACACAGCACGATCGCCAACCGCTCTGCGCACTGTTGTTGTTCACTGCAATCACGTTCTGGGTGATGTTGCCCGCCGACATGTCGAGGTTCTTCGGCAGCTTGGACAAGTCGATCGTGTGCTCGTGGGCGCGTCGAGCAGCCAGGACGGCGGGGTCGATGTTAGCAGTGGACATGGTCGATTGGACTGTGGTCTGTGCACAAGAAGAGGCAAGGGCAGCAAATGTAAGATGAGGTCAGAGATGTAGGAGATCCCTCATTATAAGGACTCAAGGAGACTCCGGGCCGGGCAAACCATCGTCGTCGAGAGACGCAGCGAGCCCGTAGCCGGTAGCAGCCCGAGCAGATTATTCAAGTTTGTGGCTCTTGGTCATTGGTTGGGCGTGAGTGACATACACTGGATTATCCACATGTTAGTCAACATTCATTTAGAAGCTAGGTAGAATTATCTAGCGGACGATGTCAATCCTATTGAATTTCACAGTTAATGCAACAATATTCGTTTTCTACGTCAAGTAGCTCCAGGACTCGCACTGGTCGCTTTGATTTTCGATTGAACCATACGGTTTAGCCTGACAGATGCAAGTCACTCGCCTGACTTAATTTCTATCATCTCCTCTTCGGCTTTCACGCCCTTTTGTGGTTGGTTCTTGAGACAGATATTTGCCACAATATTGAAACCGTACAAGCTCACGATTGCTCTCCCATCTTCGTGCTACAAGTCAGCAGACATCGCTACCTACAAGCGCCAACCGGAAACTTCCGCAAAGCTGATGGTTTGCACGGCTTGGTCCGCAGTATTGCCATGGGTTGAAAATCTCAATCTCACTCGACGGAGTCGCGACCTCTCACCTGCGTGTGGATTCGGTACCATTATGGATCTAGATACAAGCCTGCCGTGTCGTTCTACAGGCAAACATCATTTCACCTGTTCATCTGAATCGTGATTTGGGCAACTGTGTCCCGCTTGGTGGCGATAACCGAGTCGTTAATAAGGAAAAAATGGAGCTCGCTGGAATACCTGCAGACAGGCTGCGAATTTAGCACTTGTTCTTTGCCCAAATTTTGGACGAATCTGTGCGATTTTTCATGTGAGTGGAGTCAAGCCTGTTGCAAATGTAGCTGATTTTCCATTTCCTTTGAGAATTATCCGACCGGTTCCGACAACATATGGTTGTTTTCAGACAATTTCCAGTCAGCTGTGCGCGAAACCGATCTCAGCACCGCGACCAGTCCAGATTATCCCTGCGATTACACACTCGTCTTGCCTCTACCTGTGTCGCCAGAAGCAGACGGCCACCTGAGTATCATGTCCTTGAACGGAGTTATGATATTGCTGCAGCCGCGTTCAATCCATGTCTTCCCTTTGAGTCCCCGGCACCAGGCGAGGCTGGCGCGTGTGAGCCCCTCACAGCTCTCCCCGGCCGGCTGCAAGCTTCCATTTGACCTGTGGACTCGTGTGAAGGGCTGCCGTACCATGCAGACCGTGTGATGTACTGTGCGATCTGTCAACTTCACAAAAATAGGCCATTGTTTGGTTGAACAAGTGGTTGCACCTTCAATCAATTTGTTCTTTGCGTTATAATTACCATACACATTGCAGAAACTGACTGAATATCTTCCGCATATCAGTACAGAAGGGTTGTCTTCCTCCGCTAGATAATTCTACCTAGCTTCTAAATGAATGTTGACTAACATGTGGATAATCCAGTGTATGTCACTCACGCCCAACCAATGACCAAGAGCCACAAACTTGAATAATCTGCTCGGGCTGCTACCGGCTACGGGCTCGCTGCGTCTCTCGACGACGATGGTTTGCCCGGCCCGGAGTCTCCTTGAGTCCTTATAATGAGGGATCTCCTACATCTCTGACCTCATCTTACATTTGCTGCCCTTGCCTCTTCTTGTGCACAGACCACAGTCCAATCGACCATGTCCACTGCTAACATCGACCCCGCCGTCCTGGCTGCTCGACGCGCCCACGAGCACACGATCGACTTGTCCAAGCTGCCGAAGAACCTCGACATGTCGGCGGGCAACATCACCCAGAACGTGATTGCAGTGAACAACAACAGTGCGCAGAGCGGTTGGCGATCGTGCTGTGTGATGCTGACGATTGCAATAATCTTCAGGTGAGAATCCGCGGCTCAAGTTCATCATGAACAATTTGGTGCGTGGCGGCAGTTGATTTCGTCTTCTCTGAACAACCGTCGATGCAGGTGACCCACCTGCACGACTTTGTGCGCGAGACCGCGATCACGACCGAGGAGTGGATGTGCGTACGACGTGCGCATTCTCCGGCGATGCATGGCTGAGATTTTCCCCGCAAGGACCGCGCTCCTTTTCTTGACCAAGACTGGACAGATGTGCACCGACATCCGGCAGGAGTTCATCCTGCTCTCGGACATCCTCGGCGTCTCTGCGCTTGTCGACTCGATGAACCACGCCAAGCCGCCCGGCGCGACCGAGTCCACGGTGCTCGGCCCCTTTTTCACGACCGATGCGTTGGACTGTCAGTTAATCCGCGCTTGCAGCGAGATGTACAGCTTAGCTTACTGCCCCACAGTTGAGAACGGGGAGAGCATCGCGTCGGAAGGCAAGGGAGAGTACATGTGGGTCCAAGGCAAGGTCCTCGACACCAAGGGCAATCCGATCCCCAACTGCGTCATCGATACCTGGGAGACGGACAGCGACGGGCTCTACGACACTCAGGTGCGTTGCGAAAAATAACGAGGATGTCGCAAGGCTTGATAATTGGTTGGCAAGTACTCGAACCGCGGAGGCCCTGACTGCCGCGGTCGTCTGCGCACCACCGACGACGGCTCTTTCTTCTACCGCGCGGTTGTGTGAGTGCTCCCGCTCGCTTTCCTTCCTCTCGTCTCTCATACCCACGCTCGCTCAGTCCGGTGTCGTATCCCATCCCGGCCGATGGACCCGCCAAAGGACTGCTCGACGCGCTCGGTCGCCACGGCTTCCGGCCGGCTCATCTGCACATGGTGCTAGAGGTGGGGGTCCCATTTTCGAAGCAATAGCAGCTTCATGGCCAACATCTGAGGATCGGCAGGCGCCCGGGTTCGAGAAGCTCGTGACGGCGTTGTATCCCGACGGCGACCCGTACATCTACAGCGATGTTGTGTTCAGTGTCAAGACCAGTCTGATCAAGGTGCGTGCCAGTCCAGTCGATTCGTGGCACATCTTCAGAACGATCGCTCCAGGAATTGACGACGGAGACCGATCCCGAGCTGACACGGGCGCGCGGGTTCCGGAACGAGACCAGCCACAAGGTGCTGACGTACAATTTTGTGCTTGCCACGGTCGAAGAAGCGGCTCAGGCCAAGGCGCAGACCATGAAGGCTGCGTCGGGGACAGCGTGAAGTAACAACAAGGCGAAACCCCTAGAAATGTGTTCTGATCCGTTTAACACAATCTGTCGAAATTGAAAATTGTTGCTCTCGAGATCATTCCTCATAAGCGGTACGAGGCTACGCTGGTGAACAAACCCGCTTCTGGGAACCGGCGCACGGACGACCTGGACTGGATATCTCCTTATTCGGCCAGCTCCCATGATTTTAATCTGTTACAGCCTGTGTGAAAAAAGCTCAAGCATTGGATTTGTAAGCACTGGCTTGTCCCAACAGTGTTTGAGAGCCTCAAAAAGATGGGGAATGGGAAGAGCTTGACATTGCTCATACAAATGAGCACAAGCCAAAGATGGTTGAGCGATTGGAGGCCGTACGGAAGAAAAAGGGTGGCCACACACAAAATTCTGAGGCAAGTCAGGCAGTAGACACTGAAAGTTCATTTGAAGAAAGAAGAGAATCGCTTTGTTGTCACACGTGACCGTCCGTCACTTGGTGTCATAATCGGTATTGCATAAAGGTCGTGGTTGAAACCCAAGTGCCAGACATACAACACCGCGAACGCGGACCACATTGCCCGTTCATGGCCGCAGATGACAGCATAATCGGCCGCGGGAATGAATAATCGTTCGCGCTATCAATAGATGGATGAGATTTGCAACTTAAATAGTGGCCATCTTCCCAAATCACAGTACCTTACCCCGCCTCTACCACTCACCCACGCCCACCAACCATGAGTATGTGCAGGGACTGCATCAGCGGTGCGTAAAAACCGCCTCCCAAGAGGCGACTGGTGCCCAGCTGCCGTGCGATTTCAGGTGTCACCCATGAAGGAACGCCCGAAGGTTTGATCGCAACTCAACGGGAACGATTCGACCCCTGCTCATCACCGCTCACAAGGCAAGATCGAGACCATCGGCGGGATTGAGACCTACGTCTCCACACCAGCCGTCGACTTCCCCAAGGACAAGGCTATCCTCTACCTGACCGACGGTTTCGGGCTCCCGTTGATCAACAACAAGGTTCGCAGCAACGATCGTCGGCCAAAGATCTGGGGACTGAGGTGGAGAGGCAGCTCTTGGCAGATGACTTCGCGCGCAACGGCTTCAAGGCGAGTCGATTGGACATCGCGCCGTGGCTGCCTGAACAAAAAATTCTGCAGACATACGTGCCGGATCTGTTCTCCGGAGACTGCGTCGAAGCCGATGCCCTGACCGTACGTGCTTCCAATAGTATCCCCGGCGTCAGGTTTATCGACGCAATCACCCGCAGACTGGCAAATTCAACCTCGAGGCGTGGTTCCCCAACCACACCCAGGAGAAAACGCGCCCCATCATCGACAAGTTGATGAGCGCGCTCGAGGCGCAGGGCGTGGCCCAGTTCGCCGCGGTCGGGTACTGCTTCGGCGGGCGGTACGTCTTCGACCTCGCGTTCGACCACAAGATCGTCGCCGCCGCCGTCGCGCACCCGTCGTTTCTGCATGTGCCAGCCGATCTCGAGGTGCGTTTCGTTTGCGCCGATGTGTTTGACCGGTGTCTCATCTGCGCTTGTGGATGTGCAGAAATACGTCATGACCGCGACTGCGCCGTTGCTGGTCAACAGTTGCACGTTCGACGAGCATTACCCGGTCGAGGCCGCGCTCCAGGGCGACGTGATCCTGAAAGACTTCGCGCCGGGCTACAAGCGCGAGCACTTCGAGGGCTGCACGCACGGGTTCGCTGTCCGCGGCGACATGTCGATCCCGGCGGTCAGGGCGGGAAAAGAGGGTGCCTTCAAGTCCACTGTTGACTGGTTCATCAAGCATCTATAAGCGGCAGAGGAAGGAAGGATGAAGAAGGAAGGAAGGAAGAAGAAAGATGCGAATGTCTGTATACATATAAATGTGACCCGTATCTCAACACCACACTGCGCTTGAGAAACAAGCTACTATGTGCAAAAACTGGTGATATATAGATATGATTGCAGCGGAAGACAATACAATGCCAGGGATGGTCCAAGTCAGGCTATTGGAGGGGGCTCCTTCGCCCTGGGTGCCCCTCGACCACGGCTCTTGAAGCCGTCGCTGCTATTCGACGGGGATGGCCCGTGGGGGTTGCGGGTGATATTATTCGCCGCGGGACTAGAGGCGCTGGCTCCTCCACTTGGATCCGGCGATCCGAAGATGCGCTCGCGCGCAGCGTGGTACGCCGCCTCGCGCGCCTTGAAACTGGACTGTGGCGCCGCGGGCGGGGGCTGGGGTGTCACGACAGCGGGCATCGGGCGCTTCAGGATCTTCATCTGAGGCTGAAACGCAGCGGGAGGCGGGGTGGAGCTGGACGACGAGGAACGCGACGAGAGGATCACAGTGGGCATCGGCGCGGGCGGAGCGCGGTTGTTTCTGAAATTAGATGGGTAAGAGCTGGCCGTTGGTTATAGGGGTGAGTGTGCGTACGCATCGTCCCATAGCCAACGATTGGAGTCTTCTCCCGATCCCTGTGCGCCCTGAGGCGAGCGTTTGTCAGCCCTCCTCTGATCCTCTTCTCCCTCCTGCTCTGGAGAGCACGCGACATCTTCCAAATCCTCGTCGTCCTCCCAATCATCTACGACTTCGTCCGAAACCTGTGGCTTCCTCATGCGACCGGAGTTCGACTGGGTGCGCAAAACGACCGGGGAGGTGTCAGGAACCGAGAGCTATCGCGACTTCGTTTATCCACATACAGAAACACCTGATAAATTGGATCCCCAGACAGAGTTCGACGCAGATGGTGGCGGAATTTTCGAGGAAGATGCTGGTGTGGATAGGGTATTGAGCATCGGTGAACGGAGGAGCTTATTTGATCATGATGCGTACATACTCGGCTGCTGGCTCCCTCCGGGCCGGGCTTCGCCACTCTCTTTCCTCCACACATCCATTCTCCGTACGAACACTGCAATGAACCTCTAACAGAACATCATGTCATCAAAGGGAATACCCACCACAGTGCCGCCATGGCCTTCGCTATACTCCCCCGGCATCGAACTCCTCAGAATCGCCCACCATATGCCCGCCCAGCCGGATGGCGCATACCTAACACATCCTGACGGTATGCCCGTCCTGCTTGCTAGCATCTCTAAGCTTCACTGCTCGCAGACATATTTCGTTTCACACTCTACTGGACTCTCATCTTCTATACCCCGATCTTCCTCCTCTGCGGGCTCTTCGCGTTTCTGAACATCACGTTCCCGCCGACACCGCGCAGCGCCGTGCATCGACTGGAGGCTCCAGAGCATTCCGCATACCCTCTCACGCTGCTCCCGTACTCCACGAGAGAAAGTACAGCCCCGAAGCCGCGCCATAACGTGCGGCGCTCGAGGACTACGTTTGCCTTACTTGTACTCCTGGCGTTCATCGCGCTGAGTCTGGCCGGGGCCCTGCTTGTTTCGTCTATCGTCGGATTTTTTCTGACGGGGCTCTACAAGCTGGCCAAGTTCAATATGTCTACGTGCGTGCTGCTGCTGCTGCTCGTTTCTCTGTCAATGGGAAGCCGCTGATCCGCACGCACAGATGGATCCCCTTCTTATGGTCCGTCATCTCAGTCCTCGTTGGGCTACTAAGGTGTGTGTGTCTATGTCCTCTTTCTTTTGACAGTGCGTATAATGACGCATGTGTTACAGCATATGGCCCTCTGTCATCGACATCATCTAGCTGTATTAGTCCTACTGCACACTTTGTACCCTAGTAGTCTTGCGCGACAAGCGGAAACCCACAGACATCTGAGATATTCGAACGGACGGTGTCGACGCCAAACGGGGGATTCATCGTCACGCTGGTGAAGATGGGGGGCAGACAGAGCGGGGCATTGGCGAAGATACTCGTGCGCATGTCCTCGAGCGACGCAACCATGTGTTTGCTCGGGATGAGGTCGACCTTGGTGACGACGGCTTGGACGGTGAAAGGCTGGATTCCGCGGGCGTCGACGAGTTTTGTAGACAGGTATTCCAGCATTTGCACGTCCGACTCTTTGACCCCGTGGACCCCATTGATCAGGATGTAGATCCGCTTCAGTCTGCGGATATGAGAGTCTGTGGGGAGGATCGACAGCGAAAGAAACCGACTGGGGGCGCGTTGTGATGTATTGCGTGAAGAGATCCCCCCACTGCGACCGTGCCGACCGGCCATACCCAGGCGCGTCTACGAAGATCGCCGAGGCTTTCCCTTCCCCGACCTGATAAAAGTCCAAGGAACGAGTGCTGCCCTGCAAAGATGTATCATTCAGCGGACGTTCCTGGACGCGGGTGAGGCCGCCTACAGCATGTTTGCTTTTGCTTAATAGATACTTCCTCCCCAATACTGCATTGAGAAGCGACGACTTCCCACAGTTGGCCCGTCCTGAAAGCAGTCAATACGCGCGGAGGTCAGCGGTCGGGATGCTCACCCGTGACTATCACCTGAAATCAGCTTCAGCAAGGAACGGCTCGACGCGTAAAAGGACGTGGCTTGACTTCGGGGAGTACTGGTTTTCCAAAATCGGGTATCGTGGTGTCGGACTTGGCAGATGCAAGGAAGCGCGCGAGGTTGAAGTCTATGCCTTGATGGTACGCTCGCAGAGTTGTGCGTTGTTTCACTGCAATGGCATAGCGGTTCAAAAGCATATCCTTAGTCACACGTGACCGTTACTCTGTCCTTGCACCATGACCAGCGTGAGCAACTTGAAAGCCTGATCACTAGCTTCCCGCTTGTGTGGGCGCTTCTCTGCAATCTCACGACGCGTCTCATGACTTTGCACGTGAATATTGTGCTGCATGCCTATCTTGACGAAATCTCGCTGGCTCCACTGCCGTATCAACCTTCCATGAGTCTATGCATTCCGATTGGGCTTCAGCAACACTTCGGGGACTGATTCGAAACCAAGGAGTCCGAAAGGAACATGTTCAAGAGCTCTGCAGATGCTTCCTCTGCAGTCGTCCTATTAAACACCTCACTTGATTCCCCCCTGGCTGTTTGTGTGAGTAACAAAAAACTCGTGGTCTCGCAGGCGTCATAATCAGAAGCAGGCGAACACACAGTTCATAGCGAGTGCCGATCGCGTGTGAGCAGCCCCTGATGACGTCCTTGAATTCGATCCTCCAACTTGTTCATCTAGTTATCCAGTACCCTCGACTTGATTGAGACCGGAATCCGGTGACAGACAAATATCTTCCGTTGAACCACTGAATGTATCGAAATTCTCTCTCGGCCTCTTTCTTACACGTGTCGGTCAGAAGATAGGTCAAAGCAGAGCTAGTTGTTAGCGCCGGATTCTTATCGACTTCCCTCATATCCCCGGTGACTTCCCACCCTCATAACCACTGCCTCTGCCAAATAGCCAATTCATATCAAGTTTCCCGCGGACCGCCAATAGAGTTCATCACAATGTGGTTTGCAAGAACAAAAAAACACCGTCCCAGATGGGGATGCGCTTAGATAAGCACAATCACAAGAAAGAAATCAAGGGGAGGACCCGGTTCATAAACGAGATTGTTCTTGTCTACACCCTCTTCCTCGACCGCGCTGGTGCAGATGAGGGGCCATGCTCTGAAACCGCGTGGCCTGCTCGGTGTACCCCAAGAACTGTTGGATGAGATTCTCTCTGACCTGGAGCACAGCGACCTGGTTTCCTTCGCTCTGGTGTCGCACGCCTGCGCCGCGCTCGTCGTCCCCCGACACACGCAATATCGCACGATACGCACGCGTCATCAGCGCCATGACGAATGGCGCCATCTCTCCCGGCGTGTGGATCTGACGCGCAACATCCGCGAGGTGCATATCTGCGAGCCGGGGAACAAGACGGCGTCCGACCGGGTCCCGACGACGCTCGTGGAGAATTGCGGTGCGGAGGCCAGCATGAGTGAAGTTCAGAGAGAGAATCGACGGATACGAGACATGTGCATCGCATTGAAGCACATGCGCCGCTTGCACACGTTTACCTGGACGTGGAACGTCACTCCCGCCGCGGCACCTACGATCAGCCCTGTCCATGAAAACGCGGTGCTCGAGGTTCTGTCGAGGAAAGCAAGGCTGAGGCATCTGGGGCTCATGGGTTTATTTGGAATGCACGCTTCGGGAATCTTGCTCGACCCAAATAGCGCCGGATACCCCGTTTGTGCTAACTTGCCTTCCGCGTGTATGCGACGGCGCTGATGCATTTCTTGATCAGCTCTGGAGATTCTCTAATCTAACCTCTATCTGTCTTCGCGGTGATGCCTGGATCAAGTCGACCAATGCAGCGCATCTCAAGCAGATGTTGGAGCGCTGTCCGAATCTGGAGGTGCGCGCTGAACTAGAACATTGGATCGGGTCTCATTCTTTTGTCCAGTACATTGAGATGCCAATGGAGTTCTCAGCTTTGTCCGAGTGCACGTTCCCAGAGCTTAGGAAGCTGAACCTCTATCTTCAGTCCGGAGGCATGCGTTCGATCGATCCCTGTTTTGTGCGATTCCTGAATAACCACCCGTCCATCGAGGATCTTTCCTGGCTTCCGCTGGGACCAGTTTACCTGTCCCCGCAGACATTGCCCGCTCTACGGCGGCTGCGGACAAACATCCATGTGGTCGGTCTGCTGGAAAGCCGGCTTCTCGAGAGTCTAGACGTGTACCAGCTCGACCCTGCGACGTTGCTCGGCCTTGGAAACCTGCCGGTTACGAACATCAAGCAGCTGACGTTGCACGAGTTTGGGGACCTGGAGACGATGCGTGAGCTCGCTGCGCTGTTTCCGAATCTGGTCTGGCTCTCGATGCCGTCTCGATACGGGCATTTCACCGTGGTGGGTCGGTCGGAAGTCTTCGTCCCGATGATCGCTGTTTTTTATGAAGAATCCTTTGTTGGCAGGAGGATTGGCTTGATTTGCTGCCGCGCTTTACCCAGCTGCAAGTGTTCCGTGGACAAGGCCTTTGGGCTGCGGTGACCTTGAATATGCAGAAGATGCACGGCGTCATATTGCAGCTCGTGCAGGCGTGTCCAAACCTCCGACAGCTTGATCACTCTGCATACAACCACAACCGACTCGACTCGAATCGTATTACGATCATCCGCGAGGGGTTTATGGGAGAGAATGTACGCTATACGGTCAGCCTGCTCAGTCTCAGTCGCATGTCATCGGATCGCGCTAAGCAAACCAATTCTACAGATTGATAGACCACCCCCGCAGTATGTGTTTACCTTTTGTTGTCACAAATAACGCTTCTCTTACTTGATCTCACAGTCGATGGTTTGATGCCTTGCAGGGTATATTTGATTGAAGCTTATCTTATCTGTGGCGGAATAGAATCTCAGAGGACGTATCTCTTCCCTCATCTGTATCAAAGCCAACTGTAGCCTACAAACCCCCGATTGTGTATCTCGGTCTGAGCTCTATTTAAATAGCTTCGCTTCGCCATCATCCGGAATCATTAGTTACGAAATTTGCATATGTTTATTTGAGCCGCTGCTAACACCTCCGCACATACCTGCTCATCCTCACCGCATATTCATAGCACGGGCGCTGGCGCTGGAGCACTCTCAGACCGCATTCTAGTAGCCCCCCATGTCTACCATCTCCACCGCGCTGCGCAACTTCAAGGAGCCCACCAAGGAGGAGCTAAATCAGATCTTCTTCTCTCTTCCCGCGTCGGGCTTAGTCGATGGCGTTGTTGGAGGTGGATCGGAGAAGACGTCCAGCACGGAGGTCGAGAAGATGGAGATCAATGCGGTTCTGAGTCTGGGTATCCAGGGTGAAGAGGATGCCTATGTGAGTGCGCGGGCTGCGGGGCCGTCTCACCGCATGTCTGCACCCGAGACTAACGGTTTGCTGTGCAGGCAGGGAAGCTATACATTCTGGCGCCCTATCTCGCCTTCGCCTCCATCGACCGTAAATCAGTCCGGTTCACTGTTCCGCTGTCGACTATCCGACGTGTCGAGCGGCTGAATGCGCGTGCGGAGATATACGCATTGAGTCTCTCGACGTGGCATGGATCCAAAATTGTACGTGTCGGACTTGTTCCGTGTCTCTAGGGCTGCCAGATGGCCTAGGACGCGTTACTTCGCTGTCGAGACTGGTGGTCCGCCTCGATTCCATTCACTTGCCCTACACTTCTCGTCTTGCTACGATCATTCCATTGACGACTTGCACAGATCGTTCAGCTCACGTCTTTACGACCAACCGCAGATCTGTTCTGCTCCCTCCTCCGCGATGCGCTCAAGATCGAGTTGCAGCGCGGACAGATGCGGGCCGTGAAGGGATTCGTGAAAACATGCTATTCAGAGGCGCTTATAGCGTCTGGATCCCAGCTCGCTGAGAATGAACGAGAGGACGGCAGTTTGATCAGCGAGGAGAAGGACGACGCGGCCCCTCGCGATTCGACGTATCATGGAGGCCTTGGACTCAAGTACAAGTTCCCCGGCGATGCGAAGAAGTGACTATTTGCTGTGCTTGCTCGAAAACCCACTCGGCTAATTTCTCTTGCTTTTCAGACTACGCGAGACCTCGAAGATCAAGCTCTGGACACAGTACCTGAAAGGTATACAGTCTATTCGGATCGTCCTGGTGTGCTATCAGTTGAATCCATCCAGTCCATGGACGTAATCTGACGCTCTTGCGATATCCTCAATGCACTAGACTCGTCCAAGTCGGTCTACCGAATCGCCTCCGTGGCGAAATGTGGGAAACACTCTCGGGCTCAGTCTTCCTTCGATTCTCAAACCCCGGATTCTACGAAACGCTGTTGGAGCGGAACAAGGGCCGAAACACGACCAGCACCGAAGATATCGAGAAGGATCTCCACCGAAGTTTACCTGAATATGCTGGCTATCAATCGGAGGAAGGTATTAGCGCACTGCGCCGGGTTTTGCAGGCGTATTCGTTCAAGAACCCTGAGTTGGGCTATTGCCAAGCTATGAACATTCTTGCTGCGGCGATTCTTATGTATGAACGACGTCCCTTGGCTATCCGATGCTCACATCGAATATGTCTAGATACATGTCCGAAGAACAAGCTTTCTGGTTGCTGGAGGTTCTCTGCGACCGATTACTGCCAGGCTATTATGCGTGCGAACTGGCTTTATTCTCTGAACGCTCCTGCTCATGATCTCACAGACCTTCGATGCATGGCACTCTGCTCGATCAACGAGTATTCGAGTCTCTCGTGCAACGCTGTCTTCCGATAATCCACGAACACTTCCATAATGTGGATGTCCAGCTTTCCGTCGCGTCCCTACCGTGGTTCTTGAGTTTGTAAGTCAATGCTTTGTTTGCGCCGAAACTTCCATCGCGCTCATCAGTGTGACAGGTACATCAATAGTATGCCTATGATCTTTGCTTTCCGGATAGTGGATTGTTTCTTCTGCATGGGACCCAAGGTTCTCTTCCAAGTTGGGTGAGTTCGACGTTCGCTCTGTCCCTGCTCTCGTGCTTACTGTCTGTGCCACAGCCTGGGTTAGCCCGTCTCTGCTCAGAATATGTTTCTTCTGACCCTGCATTGCAGCTATCTTGAAGATCAATGGCGAAAAGTTGTTGCAGATCCAGGATGACGGAGGCTTCCTCAAGTATGTTCGCCTTGAACGCTGGGATACACCTCATCTAATCATCTTCTAGTCTGATGCGAGATTACTTTGCGTCTCTCGGGGACTCTGCTCACCCAGACTCTCCCGACCCCCGAGCTCGGGCGATCACGCGTTTCCAGGAATTGCTTCTGGTCTCATTCCGCGAGTTTTCTGTGATCACGGACGATATGATCTTGTCCGAACGCCGCCGGTTCCGGTCCGAAATCATCCACTCTATCGAGTCCTTCTCGAAGCGTTCGGCGATCCGGAACCTGAAAAGTCTTGGCCGGTTCTCCAAGGAACAAGCCGGGTTGGTGTATGATGCGCTGTACAAGGCGATGTGGATTGTTCCGCCGCCGCCAGACATGCCGCCGCCGCCGTCACTGGTGACGACAGCCGAAGCGACGGAGGAGAAGCCGGAGACCAGGATCGGCTTGAAGACGTTCCAGTTCTTCATGAGTGAAATCGCGACTTGGGCTAGGGATGAACGTATCGTGTCGAATGGGTTCCAGGTGCGTGTGCATGGTATTGCCCTGTGGTCCCTGGTGCTCATGGGTCGTTGCTACAGAGGAGAATAGACCGAGAGATTGCAGAGCATGAATTCATTGACCGGCTGTTCTTCTTCTGGGACACATCGTGTCGTGGAGCGCTGTCGTTCCAGGACCTCATCTCTGGATTGGACGGAGTGATGTTCAACGACCTGATGGAGAACATCGAATGGTTCTTCAATATCCACGACAAAAACAAGGACGGATATCTGACCAAAGACGAAGTGCTGACGCTGTCTGAGACTCTTCTGTTCATCTTCCGATATGAAGTGGGGGACGCGTACTTGGGCGCTGTCAGCCGATTCATGACGAATGCGTTTGAGTACGGGGATGCCTTGATGCCGGAACCCGAGGGCGAACCAATCATCAATGAGCAGGGCGGAGAGACGCCGCCTGCGATGCCAACGAACCAGCCGTACTTGAATCTTGCAACGTGAGTGGCCGGATGGGATACATAGTGTGTTGTCCCTGACCTTCTTACAGGTTCCGTATGGTTGTATTGGCAGACGAAGTGCTCGAGTCGTTCTTCGAAACAGATCTGTCGGGTTCATTCAAGCTAGAGCCTTTACCCGAGATGGAGCTACCGGTGTCAAGCGGCGGACTGCTGGGTGATATCTGGTCGACCATTGCGACAGACAACAACAAGAAGATGTTCCACATGGTCACAGATGAGATTGGGAAGACAATCGGGAAGCATCAGGTGCGTGGGTTTTTTCTGCGCTATGACTGGCTGTCCAAGTCCTCGAAATAGGTCATTCACAGACCGTCGATCGGACGATTTAGGAACATGGAAGAACCCAAAGCCCGCGAATCGCTTCTGACGCCCGGGATGCGGCATTCTGCGAGCAAGACAAGTTTGCGGAATGGGGGCGGTAGTCAGCCCGTGTCGCCCAGCCAGCCGTCGGTGTCGGGAGCAGAGGCAGCAGGATCTTCCCCGCCGACGCCGACGCCGACGGCCAAGCCACTCCCGTCATCCTCCGCGGCATTGACGGTCGATGTCGATGCTCTGCAGGCAAGCCCAGCCCCGGAATCTGCGTTCTCGCCGTATCCGTTGATGCACGCTGCTGCCCTGATGGAACGGACGCCGTTTGCCATCGACGATGCGAACGAGGACGACGAAGACGACGAAGACCTCGAGGACGATGGGGACAACGACGACCAGGTGATGGACGAGGTCGATGCGTTCCTGGAAGCACACGACTCGGGGCTTACAGACGCGGACAAGGCTGTGGCGAATGGCGAGTGGCTCCAGTTGTTTGAGGTGTGACGCTGACGTTTTCTCAGATCTTATCAACGCGAAGCCGGTCAAGTAGGCAAGTACCACATGCATGCACGCTTTCACGCTCTGTTTCAACGCATACGCTATCCGAATTTACCCTTAGATTAGTTTCTGTAGTAAGTAGTCATCGAATTTCTGCAGTTTGGTGTTTCCGGAGACGTGCTTGGATGATTCTAAATCGAAGAGAAAAAGATCTCCCAATCGATGAACTGATCTCGCCTAGCGAACCCTCTTGGAAAACATTAATTGATATATCACAGCAGATGGATGCGCCGTAATACAGAAGTCATAGCAGAGATGGTGCAGATACAGTGCAGATTGGGACTCGTTATCTGGTTGGATCGGGTACCCAAAGTCGACTTCCCCAACCGCAGCACTCTCGTCACTCGTGGCGCAGTTCCGGCCCGGATCTCACGACATTGAGGGGTCTTCCCCATGGCACACTTGCCAACCTCGGCAGCGACCGCCGATGGCCAAGACAAACGGAGGCGGAGGGATGGATATTCCTGTCCCTCTCCTTTTTTACAAACCGCTTTCCCTGTATCCTTACTCCTTATCTCTCTCTCCCTCTCTTCACTCCTCGCCCGTAACAAACACAAATGTCTGCTCCGTTAGGAAACCAGTTCTACCTGTGCGGGTTCCCCATCGCCCATTCGCATGCGCCCAACCTCCACAACCACGTCTTCAAGGCGTTGGGGACGGACAAGCAGTTCGGGCTGTGGTCGACGAGCAAGGTCACGGAGGAGATGCTGCAGCTCGTGCGGAGCGGTGAGCTCGGCGGTGCCGCGTGAGTCGTCCGTCTGCCAGCAACCCCTCCCCGGGATAGACGCGGACGCCGCCACTGACGCCTGCTATCCATCGCACAGGGTGACGATGCCGATCAAGACCGCGATCATCCCCTTCCTCGACGAGCTGTCGCCGGAGAGCCAGGTGACGAACGCGTGCAACACGATCGTGAAGGTGAAGACCGCGGACGGCGGCGTCAAGCTTGTTGGCCAGAACACCGACAGTGCGTGGCTGCTCCTCGCCCCCAGACTGATCGCGACCAGGCTCTGACTTCACTCCCCCCCCTCCCTCCCTCCCTGCAGTCCTAGGCGTGCGCAATGCGCTCCTGACCGCCCTGCGGGAGCAGTTCCCCGCCAAGCCGATCCCCTCCGATGCATCGGCCGCGTACCAGAAATCGCAGGGCGCGTTCGCCGGCCTGGTGATCGGGGGCGGTGCGACGACGCGCTCAGCGGCGCACGCGCTGACGCTGCTGGGTCTGTCGCCGATCTACCTCATCAACCGGGACGTCGAGGAAGTCAAGGCGGTCGTGGACGCGATGCCGCACCTGACTTTCGTCCACCTGCAGACACCGGACCACGTCGAGGAGCATCTTGTCGGGGAGGGGAAGCCCAAGATCCTCATGATCGTGGGGTGTATCCGTGCGTGCATTCCGGGATAGGCGGTACAACGCGCTTGCTGAATGACCTGCCAGCGAGCTTCGCGCCACAGACGTATGCCGAGCGCATGGTCTATACGACTGCATCGGCGGTGCTGACTGTTCCGTATGTGGTGCCGACGGCCGAGTCGCCTGTGCTGCCGTACCCGACGCAGCGATTGTTCCTGGAGATGCCGGTGGGTGGATCTGCTCACCCGTCTTCGAGTCGAGGCTGACTGGGTTGCTTGCTACAGTACAAGCCGCTGCACACGACGATGTTTAAAGTTGCCGAGGCGCATGGGTGGTGCGTTATCGACGGCATCCAGGTGCGTATTTCAAACTCCACGCGGACTGCACAGACTGACCTTCTTCTTTTAGGCGATGATCGAGCAGGGCCTCGCACAACAGCGGATGTGGTTCCGCGGTGTTGCCACGGTCGAGGTCGGGTCAGATTCGAATGTTCTTGGGGCTGAACTAGAGGGGCTGGCACGAGCCGCTGTGCGAGAGAAGATCTTGGCCCCGATGAACATGACTGCGATCCACGCTGAGGTCGATCATGCACAGGGCAAGGAGAGCGCTGTCCCGCCGAAGAAAGCATAGAGAACGAAATGTATACATACAATTGTAACTAGACACATAGAACCGCGAGCAGCTTGTGCATCCTCACACATTCCCATTGAGCTCCTGGACCCACACATCCCAGGCCCTCGTAATCTGACCCTCATTGCTCCTCGTCGCAGCACGGCATTCCTCAGCGTTCAGAAACCGCGCGCCGTCGGCCACCCGATCGACGCCGCCGGCGAGTGCGCTCAGACTCGTCAAGATGCGCGCGTTGTGCTGCGTATAGACGGCACGGTAGACGACAAGCTTCAGCGAGCTGGCGACGAGCGTCGCCCCATGCCCGCGCATCAGCACCAGCGGACGCGGCTCCGCATCCGCATCCGCATCCGCCGCCTCGGAGGCGCGGAAGTGCCCCGCCAGCGCGGCGCCCATCGCGGTGTCCCGGATGAGCATGTCCGTCGCGGGCCCGAAGGCGTCGCGGATCTCGAACACGGGCGGGGACGCGGGGCCGAGGAACGACGCCATGTGGTACACGGGCTTGAAGGGGATCGGGAGGAGGCCGAAGGGGAGGATGTCGGGCGAGTGGAAGTGCACGACGGCGGCGACCGCGGGATACAGCCTGTCCAACGCGCGTGTGAGAGATCCGTGCTCTGCAGGGAGGACAGACCAAACGAGGATCATGAGGGGGATGTACTGTACTTGTAGATCTCGCTGTGGATGCAGCGCTCCAGGAACCCCCGCGGCGAGTCCGGGACCGTGGGCTCCGAGTTGTCGATCCGCCAGGCCACGATGTCGTGCGGTTCGACGAGGGCCGGGGCGAGGTTGCGCGAGAGGAGGAAGTGGTCGTGCGGCTGACGCGGGTCGCGGCATGAGACGTGGCCGAAGCCGTCCACTGTCCTGTAAGTATGAGGCTGGCGGGTATGGCAGGGGGGCGCGGGCAGACGCACCGACGCCGTGGTGGGCGAGGATCTTGGAGGCTAGAGAGAGATTCTTGATCGCTTCGAGATACTCGGGGGTTTCGTGCGTAGCCATATCGGGCAAGAGAGAGAGTGAGAGAGAAAGCAAGGGCGGCTGCCATCGGGCCGAGCGGCAAGGAGTAATACGTGACACATCGACGTTACTAACCAAATAGCTTGCATTTTGGCTGGGAGTGACGTTGTGAGTCTGATTTTATAGAAGGTGATGGAACGGGTGTACATACGACAAAAACGTTCTGAAGCTCAGGACGAAGACGACCGTCAAAAGGACGATAGATTGTGACGTCATTGGCATCAATGGAAGCGTGATATTCACGTGGGCGCGTCGCACAGACGCCACCACCATCCCATCAAACGCGTTCAGATTGTAGGTTCAGGGGGTCGTAAAGCGAATACAGATGGATGATGCTCTGATCGTACAATACATATGATGGATGTCGGCGTATGTCTCTACGTGTCTAGATGCCATTCCACTCCTCAAGCGTGCTCCTCCTGGAACACCGTCGGCTTGTCGTCGTCGATCGAGGCTGCGTCGTCTCCAGTTCGAGCGGCGTGGCTTTCGTGGACACGGGCAATGACGGTGCTGTGCGCGCGCCAGGGCTTGAGATCCGGTGCGAACAGCTCCTCCATGCGCTCGAGCGGGATCTGCTTCGTCTCGGGGATGAGGCCCTGCGAGGATGTCAGCAAAGAACGCCCACCGAGCGCGCAAAATAATAAAATAAAAAACGCACGACGACAAAGGGGATGGAGAGAACCATGAGCGAGGCAAAAAAGAGATACGCGCCGTAGCCCATCGTCTGGAACATCTGCGGCGTGAAGCGCGTGATGAGGAAGACGCAGAGCCACAGGCAGCCTGCGATGCACGCCTGCGTGAACGTGCGGAGGTGCTGCGGGAAGATCTCCGCGCCAAACACGAACGGGGTGCCGTTCCACGTCGGCCCGTAGAACACGGTCCACAGGTAGAAGAACGCGATCGCGCTGCGGCCGCCCGGCGTGATCGTCGCGGTGACGTGGTCCTGCGGCTTGGCAATTGCGATGTACGCGCCGATGTAGAACATGCTGATCGCGCCCCCGACGGAGCCGACGAGGAGGACGGCGCGACGCCCGAAGCTGTCGACGAGGTACAGCAGCCAGACGAGCGCGCCGGTGAGCTTGATGATGCCGTACACGCCGGTCGTGAGCAGCGGCGTGCTGCTGCCCGTGATGCCGATGGACTTGAAGATCGTCGGTCTGCAAAGCGGTTGGAACTGCGCACAGGTATCGGGACTTGTGCTTACGAGTAGTAGTTGATGGCATTGATGCCTGTAGCGTTTTGCCAAACAAACAGGGAACATCCCAGGAAGAGCCGGTATGTCAGCGCAGGGCTGCGGAAGACCGACAGCATAGGCCCGAAAAAGCCAGCGCCGGCGAGACTGCGTTCGTGGATGATGCCGGCCTCGATCTCCGCGAGCTCCTCGACGACGTACGGCGCATCCGCAGGGAGGTTGCGTAAAATGCACAAGTTGCGCAGTGCTTGGCCGCTGCGGTCCTTGATGGCGAGCCACCGGGGGGACTCCACCAAAAACAGAGCGCCGAGGAAGAGGATGCCGCCGGGCTGGAGGCGTGTGAAAAGAATATTGATGCGCTTAGGCCACTGCACTTACGACGAGCTGAACGGCGAACGCGATCAGCCACTGCTTGCGACTGGGCGGAATGTGCTGCGTAACACCGTAGTTGATCCAGAACCCAATCACACCACCCGCCTGCCAACACAGTTCGTAAAGGCCAATCAGCCGACCACGGATCGCAGGGGGCGAAATCTCAGCGATGTAGATCGGCTGCCGCGGCGGGATCAGACAAGTCAACGAGCAGAGGCGAGTCATTTCGGACGCACGGCGAGGTTGGACGCAATGCCGACACCGACGCCGACGATGACGCGGCCGGCGTACATGATGCCGAGACCGGTCGAGGAAGACGCGGCGCATTGCAGGGCGGCGCCGATGACGAAGATACCGCTGGCGATGACGAGTCCCAGCTTGCGTCCGAAGAAATACCCGAGGCCGTAGCCAGCGAAGGCGCCAAAGAATGCGCTGTATGTGATATTGGCATCCCCGTGCAGCTGAGGAGGGCTGTGCGCGCACGCACCCGACTTGGAAGACAGAGACGATGTTTCCGGTGATGATGTTGAGCTCGTTCGTGGACAATTCCAGCATGCCAAACTCGGACTTGAAGCTCGTCAGACTGATCGACGTCCCGATGAAGGCAGAATCATATCTGAGCAGGGCTGCGAATCAGCTTCCGTGCATGCTGCATCATCATATGTACGCCGACTTACCCGGCCCTGGAAGACGCGTCGAAGAAGAAGAAGAAACAGCAGATCAGAAAAATGGTCGCCAGAATATTTTTTTATCAAATTCTCACAGGCTGCGAGCGAGTCCATGTCAGTCAGCCGGTAGACTCGAGCGGGCAGAACTCAACACGACTCACACAGCACCCCACGCAGCAACAATGGCATTGACATACACCCTCCAGTTGTACACCGCCTCCGGCGTCGGGCGGTCTTCGATGCGGCGGAGATTGACCATGGTGTGGGAGGGAGCACGGGGACAAGGTCGATACACCACCCACCGCACCCACCCGCGCTACTTATATGTATGGTTTTCCTCCGAAATCTCCCATCAGCGGCTGTGCTGCTCGACATGGGGTTCCGTGGGGCAGGTCGACGACGGCGCAACGCGATTGGTCGCGAGACTTGGCGACGCCAAGGCCCCAGGCGGCTTCTACGCGAGTTGCAGCTCCCTGCTTCCTGATAGGCCAACCCCGCTTCCGTGAATTGGGAGCTAATCAGAGCGTGTGGGGCGGGCGAATACCTATCGCCGGACGGGCAGCGAACCTCGGTCAGCTGCGAGCAGCAGCCTTCGGTGATCGGCCCGCTCCGAGTACCGTCGTCCATAAGGGTCAAGGTCTATCTTGATGATGGAAATTTACTAAGTGCTGGGGGTCCTGGCACTCCGTGACCCTATGCCTCATATCTGCTTAGTGAGGTGATATCGGGAGACATTTTTCGGTACAGTGAGCGCCGTCGTCGTCGATGGCAACGACGGCTTCTAGTAATTTCGCGCTGCAGAGTGATTTTTTTTTTCATTGTACAGTAAATATTAGTATGTTGAGAGATCCTAGGACCAATGCTTTAGAGGAAAAAGCATTGCCTGTCGGCTAATCTGAGGTCATGACGTGAGTTTGACTTGTCGCGCGTCAAAAAGACCGGTTTGGGGTTCTTGACACCCTTGTCGTTGAGCGCTTGATACGGCGGGCAAGCTGTGAGCGCTTGAGCAGCCATCGCAATGGCCCATCGTCTGTGGAGGAGGGGGAGAGTCGGTGCAGGGGTCTTCGCGTTCTTCCGTGGGTAAATCAGACCTTGCCCTTGAAAAGTGATAGGGTCGTGTTTTACGGAGGGGTAATAAGAGTTGTAAAATTCTCATCGGGTTCGAGCACAGAGGGTGTGTACATATTTAACTGGGATATATATGAATGAGAGGTTGTAGCCGTACACACAAAGAACACATAGAGCGCGCTGGTCCAAGCGCGACGCGACAAATAACGATGGGATGAAGAGATAACCAGGCGATGACTAACAACGAATGACACACCGAGGAGGGGCCTCGGTGTGACTGGAGATCACTCACTGGACCCCAGCATTGGATCATGATCGCACTTTCCTAAAACAGACCTTGACCCTTATGGACGACGGTATCCGAGTGCTCTCGACGGAGTAATCCGAGAACCAAACCGGATTGGGTGGCGGGTCCCAGTCTTCGAGGACAAACAGCATGATCGGCTGCAGTGATCTCAGCATGCATTGCGATCCCCAGAGTTGTTATCCCCTCCAAACGGCCGTGGTTTTACAGCTTGCACCCGTGACGACTTTCTATCTCCACTGCGGATGAGACTTCGACGCGGTTCCAGGCCTCTCTGAGGCACGGGTCGCGCCCGACTAGGTGACCGTTGCAACAGCTGATGTCTTGAATCACTCCCGGCCGCCATGGTTAATCGAATTCACAGCTCTTCCGTGCCCATATGACATGGTCATATGTTCGCTTCGAGGATGCTGTAGTAAGTAGGCACAATACTATCATTGACCCACTTCTGCAATTGCACCCTGATCTGCAATCCGTGATAAACACACATTTCCTGGGCTTCCACATCCCTCAACGTGTCCCGGATGGACTCCCAGAGATTAATATATAGCTGTTCAATGCTCCTGTAAAATATATACATTCCATACTTTGAAATAATTACACCCGAGACCATAAACCTAATTTTATAACACTTTTTTGCTTATCTTGACTCAGAGATTTCGGATTTCGATGCGGAAAAAAGCTCACACCCTTAGATTTGCTACTGGTAACGCATGGTTGATATATCCTGAGTCCAGTCCTTGCAGTTCATGAGAACGGAGCATGCGTGACAGGGGCCATCAATTTTCAAGTCCCGCATACAATAACCGAGACCCGCCTCCAGTCAGGCCGCATCATTGCCGAGACGTGCCGGATTGCATCAAAGTGTGACCCCGTGTGACAAGCGATTGCAAAAGGGGGGTCAGCCCCGCCAAAAAAAGTGATCGTTTCGGCAACTGCGTGGCTTCATCCTCTGCGCACAGATAGCGAGTAAATTTCATGAAGACAGTCTCAAGGGTTCTAACTTTATTATCCTCAATTTTATTTTTTCTCGGTGTGTGTTATGCAAGCTAGCGAGGCCACCATCAAAGTGATTGCAGAAGTGGGTCAATGATAGTAGAACACACTGTTCAACAGGACCTCTGATTATACGGTCAAAACTTAGCCACTTTGTTGGACAATTTTAGGCAAAATTTTCTGAAACACTTAGCCCAAAATAGGAGGGCGTTGGACAAAAACTGGGGTCTTGCGGCGTCGAACTTAGTCTGCAATGTTGGACAAAAATGGTGCGATGGGTCGATGGATACTGGTCAAAGTAGCTACCGGTGGCCTGTTATGAGGTCATGAGTTCAATATTTTGTCGGAACTCATCTTGTTTTGTTTCAATTTGCGCGATTCAGAGGGAGATCAACGATCAAGGCGCCATCAATTTTCACCGTCGCTCCCACTGGACTGCTCCTTGCCAATGCAGAAGCGCAGCGCTTCATAAGTATGACTCAAGGTCATGCACACTTTGCAAATGCGATGATGAACCTTAAGAGCCGGCAGAAGAAGAGTGTGGAGTCGGACATGGAGGATTCTGATCCCGAGCGCCTTTAGCTTACCCAAAACAACATCTGCGATGGCCTAGATGGGCGAAAATTGGATTTTTGAAGTTTCTACATATGTAGATACGAAAAATAGAATGTTCGGAACTTATGTACATGTTGGACAAAAATCTCGGGTTCAGCCTCGATTTGCGTTGGACAAAAATTGGCCGAAAGGCCCGACATCCGGGCTAAGTTTTGACCGTGTAATCAGAGGTCCTTGTTCAACCTATCTCACCAGATCTCACCCTGATGACAGCCCGTGGGAGTATTCTCACGCTCTCGTCGGTCAGCACGTGATGCAGCTTCTTTGATCGTTGCGGCTTGCCACCCCCCGCTTCCGATCGTCCACTCCAAGTTCGAGTGACGTATTTGCGCGGTGATCACCACGAATCTGTAGTGCATGGAAAAGATAACCTCGGCCAAGGGGGTAGGGAACTCGAATTTGTCCTTGGCTCTAGGTGAAGATAATGCTCGCTGCGGCCGAACGTTCCGAAATGTTCCCAAGGTCGAACTTACTCGTTAGGCCTCAAAGGGGTTAAATTATGGGCTGTGGCCGGTTCAGATCGATTGTTCTTGCCACACAGCGGGGAAGTCTGTCTGGACTACGCATGGTTCCCCGACGGTTCGTGCACGGGCACAGTTACGTTCGGCTTCCCAACGCCGTAGAAATCTACACCATATCTGTTCGCAGCGATTATCCGCAACATCAGACCCACAAGCCACTTGGTAAAGCACAACTTTGAATTGGTGGGAATCTGTACAGGAGGCAAGATAAAGGTTATTCGTAATTTCTCTTCTATTGGATTTCATTTTGGCTGCGTCGTACTTTACATTTGTGTCCAGTTACTGCGGTCATCTAGAAGCTAACACATCCTCCATCGATCTTGAGGAACCCGCCGGTCATGAATTTCGAGTCGTCCCCGAACAGGAAGCACACAACGCCAGGGATGTCGTGCGTCTCCGCGAACCGGCCCAGCGGCATCGCCTTCTTCAGCTCCGCCATCTTCTCGGGGCTCCACGAGTTCTGGAACATCGGCGTGTTGACCCCGCTCGGGTGGATCGTGTTGACGCGGATGCCAAACGGGCCGAGCTCGCCTGCGGCGGTGAGCGCGAGGCCGCGCACCGCGAACTTGGACGCCGAGTACGGCGTCATCCCGGGCGTGCCGCGCAGCCCCGCGATCGACGAGGTGAGGACGATGCTGCCGCCCGCGCCGGCCTCCTTCATCGCCTTGCCGATGTGTTTGATGCCCAGGAACGCTGTGGATCGGGTGGGTCAGATGAGACACGCGCACTGAGAGCAAGGTCGCATCGAGACGGACGCCGACCCGCCACTCACCCGACGTGACGTTCACGCGCATGATCTTCTCGAAGCGCGCCTCGGTCGTGTCGAAGATGCTCGTCGCGGGATCGTTGATGCCCGCGTTGAGGAACGCGCAGTCGACGCGCCCGAACTTCGCGACCGTCTGCGCGGTGAAGTCCGCGACGGCCGCCTCCGACGCGACGTCCGCGCTGACGCTCAGGATGCGCGTGTCCGCGGGCTCGTCCGGGGCGAGGAACGGCGCGAGTTTCGCCACGGCGGCCTCGAGCGCCGCAGCGCTGATGTCGACCAGCACGAGGTTCGCGCCCTCGAGCAGCAGGCGGCCCGACGTCTCGACGCCGATGGCGCCCCCCGCGCCGGTGACGATCACGCTCTTGCCGAGGAGGCGTCTCGACGGGAGCGGGGCGGAGGATGAAGCGGCAGTGTCGGCCATGGCTGCTGGATTGCCGTGGAGGAGGAGGAGGGGGGCTTTGGTGTGCGGCGCATTTAGTACTGCTCGTGGTCAAATAGGATCGATGTGTTGGGTCACTACCCCGCGTGGAAGATGGAGAGCACAGCCACCCTGCCAAGGACTCGGCCCGCTGTCCTTGATCGAAGAGAAAAGGGAAAGAAACTTCTACTTAGGAGCCGTCCCTATCATCCGACTAGCAGTGGCCAATCATCGACTTCCCAACCCAAAGATCGAGACAATCCAAGTATTTTGGCTGAGCGCGTTCGACCTCCAGTTAAGCCGTCCGTCGTGCGAATTTGAACTCGTTCTTGCGCCCGATCTGTTGCTCGACTGGTTCTGTGTGCTCCTGGTTAGAATATTATTGAGAAGCCAAGACAGTTTCGAGCCCCCCACCGTCGGCCGATGTTGTTGATTCCGTGGAGGCGCCCGAGACATTGCGGCGTTCCCGGGCCGGGCCGAGGATGCACGGCCACCCAAATTCTTGAGAGAAACGCCGCGACGATCAAAGAAGCACCGTCCCTTATTGACCGATGAAAGCGTGAGAGCGTTCACACGGCTGTCGACCGGATGCAGGTGGGATAGGGGATGCGGAGTTCTGCGTGCACTGGGGCGTTCCGCAGAAAGCATCTGACCAGGTCATATGGAGATGGGCAACTTGGGACCTTCATTGGAGAACCAATGCGAGGAAGCATGGAGATGGCGCGAAATCTGATCAAGAGACGTTCCATGGCAAATCTTTCCTGCGCGCCCAAGTCGCAGCGGACCGAACCAATCCGATCTGACGACACTTGACGATTCGGCGCTGCTATGCATGCGCTAGTTCACGTGACAACATCGGAATCCTACATGTAACTCCCCAAGACCTGAACAGGTAATATATTGCTCAACCCCTCAAGTCCCCACTCGCAGAGGTAGACGCAACAGCAAACATGGCTGCACCATCTCCCAACATCAAATGGGCCGTTGCGACCGTCTCCCTCGGCAAGCACGCGTCGCACACCCTGGACCGTAAGCTCGCGGCAGCCGCCAAGTTCGGTTTCCAAGGGATCGAGCTCGTCTACGCCGACCTCATGGGCTACGCGGCCCAGAACCAGCTGCCCCCACTACAGGCTGCGGAACAGATCGGCGCACTCTGCAAGCAGCTCGGGCTGCAGATCCTCAGCCTCAACCCGCTCAAGAACTTCGAGGGCAACCTCACCGTCCCGCTCACCGAGCGCCTCGCGCAAGCCGCGGAGTGGGTCGACCTCGCCGCCGCAGCCGGCGCGCACAGCGTACAGGTGCCGTCGCAGTTCGCGCCGCACTCGACGGGCGACTTCGCGGTCATCGTCCCCGAGCTGCGCGCGCTCGCGGACCTCGCCGCCGCGCGCGGCGTGGGCGTCGCCTACGAGGCGGTCGCGTTCGCCGCGCACCACGCGACGTGGCAGGACAGCCTGCGCATCGCGACCGCCGTCGGGCGCGCGGGCTTCGGCCTCTGCCTCGACTCGTACCACATCCACGCGCGCCTGTGGGGCGACCCGTGCGCGGCGGACGGGCGGCGGCCCGGCGGCGAGCGCGCGGTGCGCGACTCGATGGCGGAGTTCCTCGCGAGCTGCCCGCGCGAGACGGTGCGCTACGTGCAGCTCTCCGACGCGTCGCGGCTGGACCCGCCACTCACGGACGACTCGCTGCTGTTCGACGGGCTCGAGGTTAGGGACCCGCGCCTCGCGTGGTCGCGGAGCGCGCGGCCGTTCCCACTCGAGGCGCCCGGGTACCTTCCCGTCGTCGATATAGCGCGGACGTGGCTGATCGACTACGGCTGGGATCAGTGGGTCTCGCTCGAGGGGTTTCTGGCGGAGACGGAGAGGGAGGAGAACGGCCCCGAGGTCATGGCTGAGCGAGCCAGGAAGTCGATCGACGAACTTTATAAGCGGTTGTGAGGATCTGGGAATCCCGTTTGTCTCATAGAGGGTCAAGATATCTATTCCCGCATATGTTGCGTGGTGATGTATGTATGTACAAGCTATCGAAGCCATGGGCGCAATTTACATGCACTACACAACATTCCTCAAACGTGCTCCTGCTCGGACTGAGCGGGCTTCTCGTCAATTGATGCAGCGTCGTTCCCGGTTTTCGCCGCGCGATTCTCGTGGACACGAGCCATGACGACGCCATGCGCCTTCCAGGGCTTGAGATCCGACGCGAACAGCTCCTCCATGCGCTCGAGCGGGATCTGCTTCGTCTCGGGCACGACGAACTGCGCACAAAGCCGTCAGCGTACGGGGCACGCAGGGAGAGGGGCCACGCACGATGACAAACGGCACGGAGAGGACCAGCAGCGAGGCGAAGAAGAGATACACGCCGTAGCCCATCGCCTGGAACATCTGCGGCGTGAAGCGCGCGATGAGGAACGCGCAGAGCCAGTGCGCCGCCGCGATGCACGCCTGCGTGAACGTCCGCAGGTGCTGCGGGAAGATCTCCGCGCCGTACACCCAGGGCGTGCCGTTCCACGTCGGCCCGTAGAAGATCGTCCACACGTAGAAGAACGCGATCGCGCTGCGCCCGCCCGCGGAGATCGTCGGCGACGGGTGGTGCGTGGGCTGGGCGATCGCGATGTAGGAGCCGATGTAGTACATGCAAATCGACCCGCCCACGGAGCCGATGATGAGCACAGCCCGCCGCCCGAAGCTGTCCACCAGGTACAGCAGCCAGATGAGCGCGCCGGTGAGCTTGATGAGGCCGTAGACACCGGTGGTAAGCAGCGAGGTGCTGGATCCCGTGATGCCGATAGACTTGAAAATCGTCGGCCTATGGCAAGCACGATCAGTATTGTCTACAAGACACAAGCCAGCGCGTATCTCACGAGTAGTAGTTGATGGCATTCACGCCTGTAGCGTTCTGCCAAACGAACAGGGAGCATGCCAGAAGGAGCCTGTAGATCAGAGCAGGGCTGCGGAAGACCGAGAACATGGGCCCGAAAAAACCGGCGCCGGCCAGGCTCCGTTCGTGGACGATACCAGCCTCGATCTCCGCGAGCTCCTCCACGACGTACGGCGCATCCGCAGGGAGGTTGCGCAGAACGCACAAGTTGCGTAACGCTTGGCCGCTGCGGTCTTTCATGGCAAGCCACCGGGGAGATTCGACTAAGAACAGGGCGCCGAGGAAGAGGATGCCGCCGGGCTGGAGGCGTGTGAAAAGAATATTGATGCGCTTGGGCAACTGCACTTACGACGAGCTGAACGGCAAACGCGATCAACCACTGCTTGCGACTGGGCGGGATATGCTGCGTGACACCGTAGTTGATCCAGAACCCGACCACACCACCCGTCTGCCAGCACAGTTCGTACAGGCCAATCAGTCGCCCACGGATCGCAGGGGGCGAAATCTCAGCAATGTAGATCGGCTGCAGGGACGCGATGAGTAGGCTACGCGCGAACGAGGAGATTCAGTCCGGACGCACAGCGAGGTTGGACGCAATCCCGACACCGACACCGACGATGACGCGGCCGGCGTACATGAGCCCCAGACCGGTGGAGGAAGACGCGGCGCATTGCAGGGCGGCGCCGACGATGAAGATCGCGCTGGCGATGATCAGGCCGATCTTGCGCCCCAGGAAGTAGCCAAAGCCGTAGCCGGCAAACGCGCCGAAGAAGCATCTGCGCTCAGAGGACTGAGGTCGCAACTGTGTGGAGAGCAGCAATACGAGGGACGACGCACCCCGCTTGGAAGACGGAGACGATGTTGGCCGAGATGAGGTTGAGCTCGGTCGTCGACTTGTGCAGCATGCCGAACTCGGACTTGAAGCTCGTCAAGCTGATCGAGGTCCCGATGAAGGCCGAGTCGTATCTGGGCAACTCAGAGGATTAGGTCGTGTACATCAGACATCATATACAGACGCACCCGGCCCTGGAAAACGCATGGGAAAACGACGGTCAGCAAAGTGTTCCCGCAGATATGTCTGAAAGCCCTCACAAACTACGATTCAAGTAAGCCAACACACTAAAGAAAAGAGGACAACAAACGACTCACACAGCACCCCACGCGGCAATAATAGCATTGGCATACACCCGCCAGTTGTACACCTCCTGCGGCGTCGGGCGGTCTTCAATGCGGCGGAGGTTGACCATGGCTGTAGCTTTGGATGCACGGACGCACGGACAAGATCCTGAGTCTTTCCCCCGCTCTCCAGATAGTCTCTTTATACCCCCGCGCACCCCCACAGCAGTGGCAGTGCTGTGGGGGGTCTGGGGGCAGACGCCCGCGCCAAGACTCGAAACCAGCCCCTGAAGGACGACAGCGTGACCTGGCCGCTCAAGCAGTGCTTGGTGAAGGAGCGTGATTGGTCGGGGTCTGTCAGCTGAGCCGTAGGTGTGGGATGTATTAGCGGCAACGGTGTACCTACCATTAGTGATCGCGTTGGCTCTTCTCAGAGGGGGCGAGGGTAGGCGTCGTTATCCACAAGCGGAGCCGGGTGCCCGTCCTTTGAGCATAGAGGAGTGGATGGAGCAAGGGGCGCCAAATACGCCGTGGATGGGGCGCTCTCCGGAAGGATGTGTGGCTCGGAGCACCCGCATTCATCCCATCTTCGCGAGGTCATAATGTGGGCGACAGAGGAAGCGGCGGGAAGAGACTGAGTGCACATCGACGCGAAGTTCGGGCTGGATTGGCTTGGCGCATGCTCAGCGTCAGCGAAAGAAAAGGGATCTGGCATCCACGTGATGCAAACACGTGATATTCATGTGATCTCGAGCTGTGGTGGCGAGGGTGCATTATGACTGCGCCATATGTTATCCGGAGATTTATTGGGATGAGATCACAGGTCCCCTGACGACGGGGGAGACGAAGGACGCGGGAGGCACAGATGAGGGGCGGTTTACTTGCGGGGAGATGAAAGACTTGGCTGTGGAGTCCGCGACGGATTTGTGGCTGTTCCATAGAGTTGTCAATTCCCGGCGGAATGCCGCTCTCATGGCGGGGGCGAAAGAGGAACAAGGGACAGAGACACGGATCAAGCCGATCACGTCATTGACGTCGAATGAGTGCTATTTCGGGAACAGATTGACGGCGGCGTTATACATGCGTACTTGCGGCTTCTCAGTGGATACGGCTGACAGCAGCGCTTTGGCAGCGGATTCACTTTATTGTCCGCGTTGGGACGTGTGTATTCGATGGCTGTCGGGAATCTCCAGGAGGACCTCCCGCTGCTGGGTTCCATCGTCTACCGCTGCTGGTCCCAATTAAACCTACCTGTGTGTTCGATCTTATCTATCACCTCGGAAAGTCTTGGTTTGTGCCCTTTGTCAAGCCCCCATGAGACGCGCTGAGTATTTGACCAGCAGCACGATGAGGGAGGTAAATGGGAACAAGCCGCGCGACATATGTATGGAGAGGACTGTGCTCCTGAGTCTGCAGTGAAGTTGCGTGAGCCGTGATCGACGCGATTTGTTCCCAACGATGGCTCCGGATTAGGCAAGCGCGCTGGAGGCATCCCGAGGCGCGCGGTGTGTTCCCACCGGCCTGTCCAAAAAGAACAAGGCAGAGCGAGGATCCCCCACCGTCGAGAGTTGAAACGCAGGCATGTATGGGACATGTCAAGATCTTTTGCTTCCGTCCGGCTACGAGGACAGGCACGTGATATCCCCATAAGGACAAGTTGTTGTACTGCTCACCCAGCTAGCAGCAACCACGGCCGTGGGTGATCCCGTAACGGTGAGGTAAACTGCAAGCGATCGCACTGAAATAAGAGCTGCTGCTGCCTGACGGATCGGATGGCCTTCGGTTCCACTCACCCCTCCCCCCGCCCCCTCCGCCCCGCACATGCCCCGATCGGTCCTCGACATCCCGCTGGCGGAGAAGCCCCGCGCCGCATCCGGCCGCACGCTCTGGAAACGGGCGAACGGCCGGGACGAGTCCATCTGGTCGCCGTCGCTCGAAGCCGCGCTCGTCGAGGGTACGTCGCCGTGTCCCGGAGCCATCCGGAGCCGCGCCAGGGATTGAACTGATCGGCTCCGTGTCACAGCCCTCGAGCGCTACGAGCCGCTGCCATCGATCTCGCCGCGGAACCAGATGAAGCGCCCCCTGCAGCGCTTTCCGCGGCGCAATCAGTTTATCTCGGCGTACATACTCTCCGTCACGGGGATCCTGCGCACGCCGAAGCAGGTCGGGAGCCGTCTGCAGCAGATGAAGGACACGTGCCGGGACCCACATGGTGAGTGGCTGCACGTTGAGATAGGGTTTTAGTCTGATCATGCGCAGTTCTGAGTTTCCTCAGTCCGGGTGATCAAATTGTCAGGCAGCCGAGGCTGACACGGGTGTCTTCCATGTGCTCGCCGGCTTCGTCGTCGAGCTCCACCGCCTCATCGAGTCTGCCCTCGAGCTCCGGATCGTCCTACGCGTCCAAGCGGACACACATCAACATCCGGCTCATCGTTGCGGGCGACCGGCCGACGCTCGAGGGCCCAGTGATCTCCTCGTCGGACCACCCCGACCGCCGCACGGTGTCGCTCAACGCGCCGTCGGACATGGACCGCGACGAGCCCGTGATTGCGTTCAGCACGTCGCACATCATCTCGACGGCGTATCATTACTCGCGCTTCCGTGTCCTGTTTGGCCGCGATCTCGTCCACGAGGAGGAGACGGAACTCGTCGAGGTGCCCGGCAAGAGCTGCGCCTACAGCACGCGCCTGCTGCCCAAATTCTGGACATACCTCTGTCGCTCCTCACGTGAGTGGTCCCCAATGATGCTGGTTCTCAAAGAACGCTGAATTTTATTCCCGCATTTGTTTCTAGGATTATCCGACTGCATTATCGAGCAGGACATCGTCCGCACGCGATTCCCGTTCAGCTGTGCGCCGAGCCGCGCGCAGCACGACGACCAGATCATCCGCGCGATCGCCTACTCGTTCACCCTCCACCTCGCTCCGCAGAAGCCGCCGCCCGAGCCCGCCGCCTTCGCGATCTATCCGTCCGCGGATGTGCATTCTCCCGTGCCCGCCTTCGATCCGTGTCTGCCCCCCGAGTTCCCCGCCATGCCCACCGCCGGCGTATACCAGCCCCTTGCGGCTCCCCTCAGCCCGCTGCAGGCGGCGTCTATGCCGCCGGCGGACGCGTGGGACGGGCTGCCGTACTACGCAGACCCTGCTTATGGTGGAGGTGGCGGTGGTGGCACTGGGCATGATTTGGCCCCTGCACCGGAACTGCCCGCTGATTGGCTGGACGAATGGTCACGCGTCCAAGCGGCCTGCGCCATGAATTACGATCACCACACATACTAGGTTCGATTTACTGTACATTTTTCAGCCCACTACTGCTACATACTTTTCGGCGCCACTCTTTTATGAACATAGCTCGGATCTTTATAATGCACACGTACATAGCAATTGTAATGTTGACAAACCCGCGGATAATCCAGCGTATGTAAACCGGGTTCGATGCGTGACGGGGAGCCACATACATGGGTTTATCTTCTCGCGCTTGGATCGGCTCTCACGTGACCGCGTCTCCTCGGCGATTCTTGTCTTCGGCCCGGTGTGCCCTTATAATGGACTATGCCCCTGCGCATCCGAATTCGCACATCCACAGCGCTTGCCTGCCTGCCTCATCGACCATGTCTGCTCCCACCACCGAACCCGCGATCCTGGCTGCCCGACGCGCGCAGCAGCACACGATCGACGTGTCCAAGCTGCCGCAGAACCTCGACATGTCGGCGGAGAACATCACACAGAACGTGCTCGCGATGAACGATAACTGTGCGCGACGACTGGCGAGATCTTGCGCATGTGTACTGACGGAATAATTCGCAGGCGGAGATCCGCGGATGAAGTTCGTCATGACGAATCTGGTGCGCGGCCGCGGCTCTGGTCGTCTTCTCTGATCTGGATGGAGTGAATGACCGTAGAATGCCAGGTAAAGCACCTGCACGACTTCGTGCGCGAGACTTCGATCACGACCGAGGAGTGGATGTGCGTGTGGCACTAGCAATTCTGCGCGTGTGATTGGCTGAGAGAAGCCCCCCCCTCCGAAAGGACGGCGCTCCTTTTCTTGACGAAGACCGGGCAGAAGTGCACCGACATCCGGCAGGAGTTCATCCTCCTCTCCGACGTCCTCGGCGTCTCGGCGCTCGTCGACTCGATGAACCATGCCAAGCCGCCCGGCGCGACCGAGTCCACGGTCCTCGGCCCCTTCTTCACCACCGATGCGATGGACTGTCAGTGAATTCGTGCTGATGGTACAGCTTAGCTCACCACCCCGCAGTTGAGAACGGGGAGAGCATCGCGTCGGAAGGAAAGGGTGAGTACATGTGGGTCGAGGGCAAGGTCCTCGACACCAAGGGAAATCCGATCCCCAACTGCATCATCGATACTTGGGAGACGGACAGCGACGGGCTCTACGACACCCAGGTGCGTCGGCCAGATCCGGTGGACTCTCCGCTCCCCGCTCACGTATAGCTGATGCCCAGTACTCCAACCGCGGACGCCCGGACTGCCGCGGCCGTCTGCGCACCACCGACGACGGGTCGTTCTTCTACCGCGCGGTCGTGTGAGTAATCCACGCGCCCTCTCGCTTCATTCACATACCCACGCCCACGCCCGCCCAGCCCCGTGTCCTATCCGATCCCGAGCGACGGACCCGTCGGGAACCTGCTCGACGCGCTCGGCCGGCACGTCTTCCGGCCGTCGCACCTGCACATGATGCTCGAGGTGTGTCCTCCCCGATCGTGCATAGGTGCATCCGCCCCAAAGTCTGAGCACCCTCCGCCCAGGCGCCTGGCTTCGAGAAGCTCATCACGGCGCTGTACCCCAGCGGCGACCCGTACCTGCAGAGCGACGCCGTGTTCGGCGTCAAGAGCAGTCTCATCGAGGTCCGTCCCCCCGTCTGTTACGTCCGTCACATGGCGTAGACACTGACGACGACGACAATGATGTCCTTTTCCCCCAGAATTTGACGACGGAGACCGATCCCGAGCTGACGCGGGCGCGCGGGTTCCTGAACGAGACCAGCCACAAGGTGCTCAAGCACAACTTCGTGCTGGCCACGGTGGAGGAAGGGATCCAGGCCAAGAAGCAGACTATGAAGGCCGCGTCGGGGGAGGTGTGATGAAAGAAACAAAACAAAGTGGAATACCTGTAAATGTATATCATGATCCGTTACGAACAGTCTGTCGGAATTTGAACGTTCCTGCTCTCGAGGACCTCGGCTGCCGCAGTCATCGTAACATCATAGATCCCATTAGGAAGGAGCAGGGCTGTGGGCAGTGGGACGGAAGCACAATGGCTCACGTGACTCTTCGGATCTGTTTTTTTTTTCGTGCATCCTGGAGAGTTTCAGCATTAACACTGTCCTCAGTGGGGCTCAGTATGACCATGAAAACTGGGCATCAAGTCAAATGAGCAAATCCCGATGAACTTACCACTCGATCGCCTTTTATGTTGGCCGGATGGCTGAGATTTTTGGTGCATATACTCAATGTACGAATACCTGGCGCTGCAGCCCGGCATTCCGGCCATTGTTCATACGAAATTGGGTGAGAAACGGTCAGATGTGGAAAGGCCTACATGATCAAATACTGTTATGCCGAAAAACTGAATGGTTGTTCGTGTTATCAACGGATCGATTAGATTCGCATCTTAAGCAGTAACCTTCTTCCATATAAGTTATCTCACCCCACTTCTACTACTCGCCCACACCCACTGGCCATGAGTTTCTGCAAGGACTGCATCAGCGGTGCGTACGGGACGCTGCCCTAGCGCCGTCTGGTGCTCAGCGGTCGTGCGACTGCAGGTGTCACTCACGAAGGAACGCCCGAGGGTATGATGGGAACTGAGCAGGAGTGAATCGACCGTTTCTCATCAGCGCTTACAAGGCAAGATCGAGACTATCGGCGGGATTGAGACCTACGTCTGCACGCCGACCGTCGACTTCCCCAAGGACAAGGCTATCCTCTTCCTGACCGACGTGTTCGGCCTCCCACTGGTCAACAACAAGGTGCGCCACGCAGATCGTGGGGCAGATATCCTGGAGCTGAAGCGGAGAACAAGCTCTTGGCTGATGACTTTGCGCGCAACGGCTTCAAGGTGAGTCGAGCGGACATCGCGCTGCGTAAACACGACCGAGCAACCCCGCAGACGTACGTGCCGGATCTGTTCGCCGGTGACTCCGTCAACCCCGATGCAATGACCGTGCGTGCCTCGCACAACCTTCCCCACCCCGCTGCCCGCCTGACCGATCCGCGCACCCGCAGACCGGCACATTCAACCGCGAGGAGTGGTCCCCGAACCACACCCAGGAGAAAACGCGCCCCATCATCGACAAGCTGATGACCGCGCTCGAGGCGCAGGGCGTGACCAGGTTCGCCGCGGTCGGGTACTGCTTCGGCGGGCGGTACGTGTTCGACCTTGCGTTCGACCACAAGATCGCCGCGGCCGCTGTCGCGCACCCATCACGGCTACAAACGCCTGCCGATCTCGAGGTGTGTTTCGTTTGGTTTTGTTCGCCGCGATGTGTCTCCTGATGTCTGGTCTGCGCCTGTGTGCGTGTGCAGAAATACGCCGCGACTGCGACGGCCCCGTTGCTGATCAACAGCTGCACGGTCGACAAGCAGTTCCCCGTCGAGGCCGCAATCCAGGCCGACGAGATCCTGAAGGGCTTCGCGCCGGGCTACAAGCGCGAGCACTTCGAGGGCTGCACGCACGGTTTCGCTGTCCGCGGCGACATGTCGATCCCGGCAGTCAAGGCGGGCAAAGAGGGCGCCTTCAAGGCCACTGTTGACTGGTTCATCAAGTATTTGTAAATGGCATGCAGGAAGGAAGTAAGGAAGAAATAAAGACTCAAGTGTTTCTATACATGTAACTGTGACCCGTACTACTCGAGTATCTCAAGACCACATTGCGCTTGGGAGATGGGCGTCGATCTGCTCCTCAGTCTCAGGCTTCAGCAGGGGACCATCGACGACCGCCTATTTTGGATGCGTGAGAAAGTTGTACAGTGCAAGACCAGCGATTCGTGAGCGATTCCACGGAATGATTGCCCAAAGCAGTGCAGCTGACAGCAATCAACGTTTCAACACCGGAATCTTGACTTCGGCGTTGATGCGGCCAAAATGTACGCATCTAAGACCAAGCCTTGTGCACTCTTGGAGCGTGCTCCCTCCACTGCCGGAACGCTGCTCACTCATCGTGCTCCAAGTACTCTCCTACGTTCCCAGTCCTCGCTCCTCAGATCGTGCCCCCCATGATGCCCCACTCGCTCCCGCCGCACCGATCAGTGCCCAACGTCCCTGTACGACCCATTGACGACTACGATGAACCACGGCGCGGAGTCCCCTTCCGTTCCGAGCCGATACGACACGAACCATTTCACGAATTCCCGCCGTACCCTGCGTACCCTGCGTACCCCGCGTACCCCACGCCAGGCGCGTATGGCGCCCCCGGCACAGTCCCGTTCTACGGTGCGCCTGTTCCAGGACCACCCGTGATCCCGATGGACCCCAGAACCCAATCTGCGCCCTACCCGTATCCCGTTCAGCCGAGCTACTACTACTCCACGCGGCCCGCCGGCGGGGAGGACGCGCCGTTCACGGCGGTGAACCCGTACGAGGCACGCGGGCGGCGGGGTAGGAAGACGCGCGCGGATGACGCGATGGCGGCGGACGGGCGCGATCAAGAGATCTATGGAGGAGTAGAGACGATGCAGGCGCCCCCGGTGCCTGCTACGTGGGGCTCACAGCTCCCGATGCCTAATCCCATCATGGTCAACCCAACCCCGGGCAATGAAAGACCGCATTGGGGCTCCGCATTGACCCACCTACATGAAGCGCAAGGCACGGCCGTGGATCTGGGGCGTTATCGACAGAGAAGCCGTAGCCGGTCTCGATCCCGGCGCCGCTCCTCGTGGTACTCCTCGCGGCCCTTTATCCCGATACCCGTTGTCCCGACCACAACGGTAATTGACATTCCATCGCAAGAAAGGGTGCAGCGCGAGCCTCGAGATGATGTTGAGTATGAGCGAAGCTACGCCAGCGCGGTGTCTCCATCTGAGGTACATCTTTCGACCAGACCTTGGGGAAACCGAACTAAGCCGCTTGCAGATCCCTCTGCCATCCTCAGATGCATCAGCCCGTTATTCTCCTCTCAGTCATACGAGGACGTCATCACATAGACACTCGACTGCGGAGCACTCGAATGGTGCGGTGCCCGTGATTGAGGCAGGAGATCCTGCTGAACCGGGGCGGGTTGTCGCTCTCCTTCCCCACGACTATTTGCCGGCCCCGATATCCTGGTCTCCAGCGCGCTCCGATGTGTCTCTCCCTCCACAAACTCCGACCTCCATTGCGTCTGAAACGAGTCCCACCGCGTCTCTGGCAGAATCTGCGCAGTCGGAGGGTTCCAGAAGATCATCAACACCATCCGCGTTTTATCGCATACGCAGGCCGTTGAGTAGGGCGGGATCGAACGATCGTTCGAGCGGGCGCCTGAGAGATGAGGACGTCGCAAACGCGGACGAAAAATTGGCGGCAGTGGTGGCTTCGCTAGAAGCTGCTCCCGAGCCGCAAATCGGAAGAATCAATCACCGCATTAGCCTGGATTATCCATCGGGACCACCGACGTCCGCAAGACCTCAATGGAGACAGTCGGGAGTGGAGCCGGTCGACCCCGAAAAAGGCCCAGAGTGGGTCTACCCCTTCCAAGATCCCCAGATCGGTTCGGCTATGCTACGGCCTGCAGGAGCCGGAGTGTCCCCCGCTCCCTCAATTCCGTTCCCAGTCACGACCGCGCAGCCGTCTTCACCTCCCAGCATGTTCAGCAACCTGGGCTCTTTGATGCTCGACGGCGCGTTCTTCGTCACCGACGTCGTCCCGCGGCAACTCTACCTGCACCTCCTCCTGCGGGTCCCCTCGTTGTACTTCTCGCGCGTCGCGCGTGTGTTCGAGGACGCGCGCCTGAGCTTGCCCGACATCAAGCGCATGGCACGGGCCAGAGCGGAGGAGTGGAATGATCCCATGGCGCGCTACCAGATGCCGGACATGCTTTGGCAGGGTTCTGACGCGGGCCCGCTCCCGGTTGCGCTGTTGATCTTCAAGGCGTCGTGGGAGGGGTTCATTGATTCGCTCATGAGGGAATGGAAGACGCTGAACATCATCTCCGTCTTATTGCTTTCGTGGGTTCTGCGCTCGGTTTTATGTGTCAACTGAACCGATTTGAACACAGCGCCATTTTGACTGTCCTCCAGATCAACGAAGCGTCTCATCCAATCACCCGAACTGCTGCCCTGTTCTCTCTCATCTGCGCCCTGATGAGTTTGCTCTTTGGCTGCATGTACATCATCCGGTTCGGCACTATGCGTAAGATGCACAAAGCGAGCAGCTTTGCAAACGAAGCGCAGAAAGGCACCGCAGGCATATGGTGGAATGTGTGGGTTATGCTGGCGCTAGTGCGTCATTCGCTTTCTCGAGCTTCAGTCCAACTGACTTCTCTACACAGCCAGCTGTCTGGTTATCCTGGTCCATCATTGCGTTCTTCGTCTGCATTTTGTCATTTATCTGGCTGAGCGGGTCGACATCTGATCCGACGGGTGTCCTGCTCTCGCCGAACGCCGCGTTGGGTCCCCGGATTGCTCTGACGGCAGTCTTCGTGCTGGGATTGGTCTACTCGTTCCTAATCATACATGAATTCCATCGGTACGGAGACCCGCTCGACCGCGAATGGTCGAGAGCGGTGAAAGGCTGGATAAATACATACCCGCGTCCGATGACTCCAATCATCGTGGACGATAGGTCTCCCGCTGTGTCCGTGTTTCGGCGTCCGGTCACAGTCATGAACTTGGGAGACTATGGTGGGGTTTCCATCGATCGACGCGCCCAGGGCCCACTGCTACCCGATGACCTTTGGGCTCAGTTTGCGCAGGTCTGTGCCATTTCTTCCTTCTGTTTTTTCCGGCCTCGGCTCATGATCTCAGGACGTCAAATCCGTTTGGGCAGAGGGAGATGCCCCCGAGATGCAGGCTACACCGCGACCGAACAACCCGACGCCCGTCTCGGAACCCCATTTCTACGCGACGACGTTCCTAGCAGAGAATGCCCCGAACGACGGGCTTCCCCCAGCAGACAGGCATCTCCCAGCTGACGGACATCCTCCGAGCAACCACCGCTCCGGTGACGACGTTTCCTCCGAAACTTCGTACGGGCAGATGCAGCCCCGTGCGTTTTTCGCCTCGGGCCAGCCTGATGATGAGATGACGGAGTGGGAAAGGCAGCGAGCGGAGGCACAGGCGGAGGGACGGGCGAGGGGCCTGGCGGAGGGCCTGGCGGAGGGTGCCGCAGCGATGCGCGGTGCGCAGCCGCCACCGCCACCGCCGCCAGACACCCACGCGTCGTTGACGGCGGTCATCGAGTCCTGGAACGAGCGGTATTTCCGGCCCCGACACGCGGAAGCCGAGCTGGTGCCGGTCGCAGATGGGCACTACACGTATTCGATCGCGGTCCACACCGATGTACCGTGGGGTGGGGACGGCGGATCGCCTGTGCTGGATGAGAAGACGTCCCGCTCGCGTTCGCCGCAGGTTGTGCCGACAAGCGCGAGCGTGAACCACCCGCCGTCGCCGACTCCGAGTCGACGGCGTCAACGGCCGTTCTCTAGGTGGCGGGATCGGCTTTTACGGCGTCGGAACTAGCCAGGAAGGGGCCTTGTTCACACGGATATGATTACATGCAGCACAAACACGCCCATCTTTTGCTTGCTCGCAAGCACTCCTGAATGAAATTAAATAAATAAGCTATGTTTCGTGATCTCTCTGTGCTCTTCCAGTCGATCAGTTATTCTGAAATATCCTGCGTAACAGCACAAGTTTATACTGTAGGCAGCGTCCTCGCTTCTCGGAAATTGAGAAGTTTGCCTCATTGCAGTCAACGTTGTTCGTGGGTGTTCGAGATACGGGATTGATGGCATCAAACGCGAGGCCTTGAACTGACCAATCCTGAACTTGCGATGTGCAGTCACCGAAGTCTATGTGAGCCACGCCTACGGCAGCGCAGGTCGACTGTAGCCGATATCATGTCCCCCTGCTGACAGACGTCACTCGCTGTGTCGCTAGCGCGCAGCGTGGCGATAAGCACTTTCCCTACTGACTTGAAGCCATGGACGACTTCCCGGACGAGCTGCTGGACGAAATATGCGCGCACATGGGCAAGAACGAGCTGCGCTGCGCGGTCCAGGTGTGCCGCAGCCTCCGCCGTGTCGGCGCCCGGCCCATTTTGCGCGCGTGGGGCATTCGGGACTCCCCCGCCGACCTCCAGAGCGGGGCGCTCACGGTGAACAACACGGGCCAGCTCTTCCTCGTTCCCCTGTACGCCTCGCTCGTCGGGCGCATCACGCGTCTCGTGTGCTTCGCGAACCCGTTCGTCACGGTGGACGGCCCCTGGCACAGTGTGCTGCGCCAGATCCTCGCTGCGCTGCCGCCGGTGCCCGACATCTTGGTGCACCATCGCCCCGACACGTTCAACGTCTATGCCATGCAGCTGGACCCGTATCCGTATCTGGCTCAGCTGCCGGCGGCCGCAGACAGGACGCTCGTCGTGGTGCACGGCAGTTCCATCGCCATCTCGAAGCCGCCGCCACAGAACAACTCGCAACAGTACGCCCTGAGTGCCGCCAGAGCTGATGAGAGGCTCAGACGAGACGTGCCGGGCATCGCCCCGGTTGAGTGGATCCGCCTGCAGATGCTCCCCGCGGTCACTCTGGTGACCATCGGGACTGTCATCTCCAGCTTCCCCATGCGCCGCATCCTCTCGCTCGGACCGGCGCTCGGGCTCGACCAGGCCGTGCTCGTCAGCATCCTCCGCTCGATGCCGTCGGAGGACATCATCTCCGGCCTCGCACTCGAGCCGCACCTCGCGCTGCCCGTGGCCGCGCTCGTCTCGTTCCTGCTGCGGCACCCGAATGTGCGCGAGCTGTGCGTCGGGCCCGGCGCGCTGTGTCTCGCTCCCGAAGACGACGGCGAGGAGGCGGACATGGGTGCGACCCACGCGCGCATCGCGTACCTCGAGGCGCCGGCGTCGTACGTGCCCCGGCTCTTAAGGTGCATGGGGCCCGCCCTTGCGAGGATCGGGGTTTCGTTTTCACAAGATCTTGACATGGCGGGGTATCGGGAGACGCTCGCCGCGATCGCACGTCTACCTGGGACTTCTGAGCTCTCGCTGACGCTCGCATTCCCTCCCGCAACTGCCCACCATTTCCCGTGGAACACAGATGCCAGTGACAAGTGTATACCAGCCAAACTAGGGCGCGTGACTGAGCTGGATCTGGTGAAGCGATTTCATACGCTGGGCGAGTTGCAGATTGTGGTGCGGTGGGTGGCAGAGCTGTTCCCGGCCGTCACATGCTTGTTCTTCACGCATGGTTCTGCGGACATAGAGCCGTCGTCTGAAGCGCGTTCGGTGTTTGAACGGACGGTCAAAGCGGCGTGTCCAGCCCTGGAATCAGTTCACTTTTGAGTGTGGGCCGTTGGATGTTTGATGCGTCATACAAGTAGTAAAATAGAGAATAGAATGGAGTGGCAATGCATTGATAAGATGTATTGAGAACGTTGCCCTGGGATCGTGAACGAAAGCGGTGGCGCCAGACACGATCAGGCACGTGCACGTCTCGGCAGCGTCTGCGCACGGACCACACCGGAATCGTATAAAGGCCACCGCTGAACACGATGAATCTTTACCACTCTGGCCTTTTGGCTTAGATCAAGTGTAGTATCTGTTCTTAATAGTTTAACCACTATTAGAGGGACACAGTCCCTTCTATTTGGTTATCTAATTTTTGCCGCCCTTGTTTTTCTGCTCTGCTTGCAACAGAAGGACGCGATGACCTTGCCGCTGCACTACTGGCTTGTGTCGTCGGGGGACCGATTTTTTTTGCATCCTCCGATGCGCTAACCCTAACCTTATAACCTTAGGATAATAGTCATTTCAGTATAGTCAACCACAATCATTTTATGGCAACTATTCGTAGATGAAAACCAAAGTATTGTCTTGATTCTTTCGCGCGTCGCAATGTGAATACAGGATCTTGGAAGACCTTGGATGTGGACCGTGTTGGACCCATGCACGCAAACATGTCATTGACCCGCTGTCCGCTTGTCGGAGGAGGACTTCACAGCCACCTGTCATTTCTGTCATTCTCCCTCACTCTATCTCCGCATGCGGAGCTGACTGAACCGACACGTGGAATCCTGAATACGCTCTCACACACACTCCCTCTAGCTGGAACGCCTCTCACCTCTCACTCTCACCATGTCCGATCCCGTCGCCGAAAAGTCCAGCTTCCTCAAGATGTACATGAGCAACCATCCCGATACGCTCGTCGCGTACGCCAAGTGGTACGGCCATGTCCAAGAGCCCATCACCAGCGCCGAGATGTCGGAGATCAGCACCAAGGTCCCCGTCCCCTGCGTCCCCGCGCTCCGCACCCGCTCGCTCACCGCTGCGGACAGAACATGCTGCTCACATGCACGTTCAAGGACGGCAGCAAGAGAGAGGTGCGCGTCGAGCTCAACCCGCCGCTCGCGGGGTACGAGGACGTCAAGCCCCGGCTGCTGGAGATGAAGGCCATTGCCCAGGAGGGGCTCGGCATGGTGCGTGTCCTGCCCGGCAAGCCCACCGTCTGGGTCCCCGAAGCTGCCGAATTCCTCTGCTTACCGTCTCCCGTACACAGATCAAGTCGCCCGTGCTGTCCACCTTCGTCTTCCCCCGCGACGCGCTCACGACGACGTTGTTCCCGATCCTCGCGCTCATCGGCTACACCTGGGCCCCCAAGGACAGCCCGTCGCCCGTCTTCGCCGTCGCGCGCCTCCTCCACGAGTGGGGCGTGCGCGGCCTCGTCCTGCAGGGGATCTGGGGCTTCCTGTGCGTTGCGCACAGCCTCGAGGCGATGTACATCTTCAACCTCGCCCGCAAGCACGCGGGGAACTTCGCCGTGGGGGTGAGCGTTGTCGTTCTCCTCCCTCCGAGTGCGACGGTCTGACTGGGCGATGCAGGCGGGGTATGTCTTTGGCACCCTGGTGTTTGGGTTCCCCTTCATGTTTGCGTTCCGGGGACGGATCCAGGCGGCGCGTATCGATTCTGTCATGAAGATCCAGTGATCCTTTCAGATGTGATCAGGTCTTGTATCTCAATCTGTCTCAATATATTCGCGATTCGAAGTCAGTCGAGCGACCTAGCTCGCATCGCAATTACGTGTCGCACGTACTCGTTCTCGATGGCCAAGTTCCCTTCGTGGAAAGTATCATCTCGTCCTTGAGGACTTGACATTGAAATTGGTGAAGGCTGTTCCTTTCTGATACAATGTATTCTCTCCACGTCTAGCCTCAGTGACCCATGCAGCAGTAAAGTAATCCATCTACTCATGCCGCTTCACAGCGGCATCCCAGGTCGGATACTGATATCCGGTGGTGAAGCGTTCATACAACAGACGGACATTCCACGTTCGCGCCGCAGATGTGCATCCTCAGGCCAGGATCCCTGAAGCTCCCAGTCGACCTTCTCAACCATCTCCCTATCTTGAAATCAAGCACCTGAACCACATCGCCTGCAGGCACAACCTTGCAGCGCAGACGACACCTGGTTCGTCACACGTACACATCTCACCTGTCTCACCCGTGAGGCTCCATACTACTCGGTATAACTTGCATTAAGAGTATGGGGTCTTGAGAGAGGTTGGTAAGCTTTGGAGATCGCGCGCTGACTGAGGAGTGCAATAATGGCCGTCATCTCTGTAAGATCGGCGAGGATAGGGCCCATGCCCGTGAGTGACAGACAGTACACAGACAAGGAGATCGCGATCACGTGGCTTAAGTCTTTACTTTATTCTGCGTGGTAGGTTTATGCGGAATTTCTCTGCGTTGAAGATACATGCAATTCTGTTACATTCAGTTCTTAGGAACTGTTTATCGACGTCAAGCCTCGGGAGCCCACCCAGAGAAGAACCGATCGATCTGCTCATGCCGGTGCACAGCATCATCCCAAGTCGGGTATTTACCTCCGGCGGCAAAGCTGTCATATAACAGACCGACGTTTTTGGACGGCGCCGGAGCCTTTGCGTCCCCAGGCCAGGACTCCTGAAGCTCCCAGTCGACCTTTTCGACTTTGTCTGTCTCGAAGTCATGCACCTCGACCACAATGCCCGCAGGCGGGACATGCAGCGAAGACGACGCCTGATTCGTCACGCGTATCTCGCCCTTCTCGCCCGTGATGCTCCACACGAGCGCGGGCTCGCCCGAGAACTGCGCGCCGCGGCGGAAGCGGAACAGTAGGGACGCGTCGCGCACGACGGTCGGCGACTCCGCCAGGCGCGCGGTGACGATGAACAGGTCCGGGACGTCGGCTTTGACGGTGTCGATGACGGTGTCGGTCGCGGGGTCACGCACGTTGTTGATCGGACGTTGCAGCTGCAGCTGCGACTTGATATCGATGGCCTCGCCCAGGACGGTCTGGATCAGGTCGAACGCTGCGAGAGATTAAGATTTGAGCATCTAAGGATATTATGACGACATGTCACGCACCGTGGCCTCCGTGGATAGTGACGATGTTCCCGCCGACCGAGCGCTTGACGAAGTACTCGAGCCCTTTGGGCACAGAATCGCGTGAATTGGTCCCGCCCGAGCCACGTACCTCCGTGCTCAGGACCTTCCCGATCCGCCCATCCTCGATCAGCTTCTTAAGCCGCAACGTCAGGGGGCTGACACGGCCTTGGAGCCCCACCAGCGTCCGCCCACCACCGTGCCGCGCGACGTCGGCCAGCTCCTTCGCGTGCTTCGTATCCTGCGCTAGAGGCCACTCGACATATACGTCCTTCCCAGCCTTCGCAGACGCGAGCACGGTCCCGTAATGCTTGTCGACACGCGTGCTGCACACGACGAGCCGGACGTCCTTGTCCGCCGCCAGTTCCTCGGGCGAGCCATACGCGCGCGTCTCGGCGGGGAGATTGAAGTGCTTGACAGCAGCGAGGGAAGATTCTTTAGACGAGTTGAGCAGGGCGACGATGGTGTAGCGCGCGCGTCCGTGTGCAGAGAGCAGGTAGGGCAGGTGCGCAGAGGCACCCCACGACGAGGCTGAATTCGCCGACAGTCCAATGATTGCAGTGGGGATGGGAGCCATGTTGGTTGGTAGTAGTTACGAACGTCCCACTGACCTGCATTATAAGCAGAGAGTCCCTGAGAGAGATTGATAAGCCGATTCGATATGGGGCGTTCTGCTTACTGAGCTGCGCCATAAGCCCGCCATTCTGATACAACTGACGAAAAGAGGGAGAACCCATGGTGCTCGTCCGGAAGGGTGCAGTGCAAGCGACTTAGTCACTGCTCCTTTGTAACAGTGGCCAAATTAGCCGAAGGCTAGGCTGACTCGGTGGCCAGAGCTCTCAAAATTGCACAATGGTATGTTCAACAGAAGCCAGACTTCACAAAGCAGAAATCCCTTTTTCGAAAAATGATTCACAAGGCTGCTGGACGTCTGTGTATTTCTCTCTCTCCATTGTGACCAGAATCTTCAGTTGACTGGTAGTCTGGTACAGACTTGGGGAGCATATTGCGATGGAAATCTCTCCAGACAATTCCCTTTAAGCAGCGATTGACTTCAGCTCCAACTGAGAGACCTGGACTCCCAGCGGACTCTCTGAGTTGCAATTTAGTGCAGGGGGACGGGTGGGCTTCAAGCCGAAGCAGGCGATGATGAAGTAAATTACAAGTACGGTCGATGTATTCAGTCCTTGTCCTCACTGAGTAGGACAGTCAGCTTCAATGCTTCACCCCTTGATAGGTTGGAATAAGGTCTCGATGAGCTAGAGAGTCGATCAGATGACTGAACAAAACGAGAAGATGAGAAGCTTGCCCAACGATCCAGATCGCCCTCCCTCTCCTTGAAGGCAGCCAATCTCTCATCCAGTTGGTCTATGACAAATTCAGCGAGGTGTTGATCGTCTCATCCGGCTGGCTTACCTGAAGTCACGAAGACCGTGTCTGCAATCTCGGCATTCGTTCCCACGGCTTGAAGGAACTTGGTCGCCGATTCAGCCGTGCCGATCTGGCCGATCACGAACTTGACGCCTAGCACAGCCTCGTTAATGCAGCACGTCGAGGGCCAACGCGGATCCACTCACTGGCACGTGGAAAACCAGCCTGCTCTAGCTTCTCCCCGCACTCCTTGATCGCCTCGACGAATGCCTCGTCTTTCTCCCTCGACGGCATGCCATCCGTGATGACAGAGACAAGCAGCGGGCGCGCCAGCGTCGGCGGATGCATGCGCAGCTTGCTGTAGACCATCGGCTCGAGAATCTTGGCGCGCAAGTTTGTCCCAATAGCCGTGTCACCTCCAGGCTGCCAGGACATTCTGTCGATGATGCCTCTGAGCTCCTGCAAAGCGAGCGTATCCGAGCCATTTTCGACATCCTGGTTGATGAACCGCAGAGCCACGCCGTCGCCTTCGGGCAGGATGCGCGTCGTGATCTCCGCGATCCTTTTCACCAGTTGGACCTGGCCATCCCAGCGGCCAGCGCGCTTCATCGATGAACTATCGTCTATGATGTGTGAGTGGGCAGCGGCCCGTGACACGGGAACGCGGAATTGCGCAAGACATACCACAGTAGATGACTTGCTGATGCAGTGTCACTTGAATCGTCTTGGGCAGCAAATCGGGCTGTCCGAGTGGCGTGCTTGGGTCATCCTGCAACGCTACCGCCTTCTTTGCGAGCTCTTGGATGTACGTCGGATTGCCTTCAAAGAATCGTTCTAGCACGGGGTTCCCTTGGACGAAGGTGTCTATGTTTTCGAGAAACTGGTCCTTGTTGGGGGTCTCGCCATCGTTGATGACCTGCGGCTCCGCATGAGCAGTGGGCACCACCCACCACAGATGTACTCACCTGGTCCATGTTATCATTCTGCACGGGATCCAGACCAAACAGCCGCTTCATCACGCCGTTGGCTGTCTTGTTGACCCATGAAACAATGTAGGACAAGACAGAAACGACGATCGCAGCAAGTTTACTGATTCCTGATCGCTCCTTCTCGGGATCCAGGGCACGCTTCACCACTTTATCGGAGGTCAATTGCTCCGCAACCAGACCATTATTCTCTGTGGCACTGAGATTAGCGCCAGCGCCGACGAGCAATCTGATGGACTCGGAGTCTTGTTTCCGTCGGCCGGAGTAGTTGCGTCGATCAAGGTCGAAGACATCTTCTGGAGAAGGAGCTGGACGATCCGAGGCCGATTGTTCGTCGTTTCGCGAGTCGCAAGTAGCAGTGAGGTCTCTCCCTCGCGAGAGAGAGTGTCGGCGCTGGCGCCCCTCTGGAGGAGCTGCTTGACCTGATCCGCAAAACCAGCCACGACGGCGGTGGCTAGCGGCACACGGCCGGTGGCAGGATCTTGTTCTTCGAGAATGTTTGGGTTGTCGGACAGATAACGGGTGAGCGAGTCCCCTGTGAGGGCGCCCTGTCTTGCGTCTTCGTGAATGCTCATGGTGTGTTCAGGAGAAGTGAGATGGGTAGAACAGCGTTAAGAAAACCTGTTTATACCATCTTACGTCCCCAAACCACACCGGCGCCTAAAGGTTTGTTTCCCATTCTGTCGTGGACGAACATTTGATATGTCACCAAGACTCTGGATATGAACCACAAGCACCCGTAGTGCTAGGATTTAGGCTAATGCCATGGCTGTAGCCATGGAAAACCTAGGCTAATCCATGGCTGTAGCCATGGCATGGCTACAGCCATGGTCCCAAGGCTAACGGATGCCATCAATCATACATGGCATGTGACGAAAAATGTCAATCAGTACATAAGTATTTATGAAAGACTATTGATGGAATGATTACTCTTGCCTCTATTGCTTGTTTTGTGTTTGATCCTGCTTGTCAGAAATCGATTTTCAGCAATAAAAATGGATACCATAGATATTATACTGGTGTGACAACTTGGCTTCAGTCTTCCCACGACTGTGTCCCTCCTTCTCAGACTTAGGACAGGTTTGGGTTTGGGCTAGGGTTTGGGTTTGGGATAGAGCTTAGGGTCCCAAGAATCGTGTTATTTTTACTGGTTAGTGGTTTGGGTTGATGAAAGGTTAGTCCCAGAGATATTATTTTTTCCGAGTTAGGGTCAGGGCCAGGAAGCAAAAAAAAAATGTGTTGTAGGCTCAGTTAGGATTGGTTAGGGTTTGAACCATTTTTATTGGGTTGTTAGGGTTTGAAATGTGTTAGGGTTTGAAATGAACAGTACTAGGATAAAGCTTTCCCTCCACTTAGGGTAACCCGCTTGCGGGTTACCCTAAGTGGAGGGAAAGAATGGTCTGATAGTATCAGCAGCTTGGCTCACTGTGCTAATGTGTTGGACATGGATAGTTTTTGGGAGGTCACCTGTTCGACTCCCCCATTAAACCCCATTTAACATTTAGCTACGGAGCAATAAAAAAATGACCCTAGCCATGCATGGCTACAGCCATGGATTAGTCTAGGTTTTCTATGGCTACAGCCATAGACATTAGCCTAAATCTTAGTGCTATGGCTCCCACAAGAACATTCAATAGAGTTGAGCAGCAGGACAGCTCACTCAGCGGCATGCACAAGAAGCAGACAGCAGGAATTTTGACTATTTTGAGAACGCAAATTCTCGATTTGCAGCCCTCTCTTTCTCTCTTGACGCCATGACTAGAGCGCATATTCAAGCCTTCAAAGCTGACAAAATCCCCGTGTTCGATCGCGGCGAAGAGGAGTACGAGCGCTCGGTCGCAACGCCCAACCTACTCTATAGATTTGCCCGACCCGAGTTTGTCTTGCAGCCAGAAACAGCCGCCCATGTACAGGCGATCATCCGCCACGCACGATCCAGGAATCTGAAACTCACAATCAAATGCGGAGGCCACTCGTACGCAGGCCACTCGACAGCCTTCGAAGGCGTGTCTCTCGATCTGCGCCGGATGAACAAGGCCAAGCTGAACATAGGCTCCAAGACGATCACGTTCGGCGCTGGGTGTCAGTGGGGACATGTGTACAAGACCCTGATCAATGGCCGGCATGATGGATTCGTGATCAACGGCGGCCGCTGCCCCTTCGTCGGCGTCGGTGGATTTTTGCTGGGCGGCGGGCTCGGGCCTTTCTCTCGCAGCATCGGCATGGGCAGTGATACAGTGAAAGAGATTACGATCGTCACCGCTGATGCTAAGCTGCTCACGGTCAAGGACACAGATCGCAGAGACTCCAACGAAGGGCGCTTGTTTTGGGCGCTACGTGGCGCAGGAGGTGGCAACTTCGGCGTTGTGGTGGAGATGAAGCTGTCAGTCAAGAAGCTGCAAGGCCCGGGTGGAATAGTCGTGGCGGGCCGATATCAGTGGTTTGCAGACAAGGAACAGAAAGATCTGTTCGAGCAGGAGGGCTTCATCTCCACGATGAACACATTCTACACCGCCAACTGGCCGGAACGCATGACGCTTGACACCACGTGGATTTGCGACCTTCGCCAGAGTTCGGGGAACGGGGTGCGTTTCCTGGCATACTTCGACGGCAGCAAGGAAGACTTCGACAACACCATCGACAAGTACATCAAGCACGAGGAGCTAGCCAAACAGCTTAAGCGACGGGCGCTTCCAGAGAAGTCGACGCGGTTCCTGCACGAAACACTCTGGGCACAGTGGACGGAGGAAACGGTCAAGGCGTTCCCTACGAACAAGAGCTACAGCATCTACAGCTCCTTCGTCTTCGGTAATGACCGCCCCACGATCGAGCGGGTCACAGCAATCATCAACAACAGAGCATCTGCGTTCCGCAAAGCGTTCCCCGGCGAACAGGTCGAGTTCCTGGCTACCTTCATCCACTCTGGTGGCAAGATGGGCACCCCGAGCCCCCGCGACTCGGCATTCTTTTGGCGCGGAGCGATCTATCACATGTATCTGACGCTGGAATGGGATGACAAGTGGATGGAGTGGGAGATGCGCAAGTTCTTGAGTGATACAAAGGCGGAGCTGCGGCCGCTCTCGCTCCAAGGGGAGGCGGCTTTCATCAACTTCCCGGACGGCGCACTCCGTAATGCAGTGCACGAGCGGGCCTATTGGGGAGATAATCGCGACGAGCTGCGGCGTGTGAAACAGATTTGGGACAAGGATAACTTCTTTCGATCAGAGCAAGGCGTGCGCCCCCCTGCCAAACCCGAGGGTGTTCCAAACAGCGGAAAAAGTGGCAAGACTAAGGGACCTAGCGACGGAGGGCAAACGGAGGGCTCGGATGGTCAAGACAAAGACGAAGACTTGACGGATTCGCTTGCAAGCAAACAGTGGGAGGCTTACGAAACGAAGGACATCTTGAAGGATCTCAAGGAACTAGCGGATATGGGATTCTAAAGAACTTCTGAGTAGAGATAGTTGGCCAAGTTCTTCAGATCGGCTCTTCTGGACATAAGCAGTATAGCGCGCACTGGGTCTGAATCACATAATCGTATGTCCTTGCAATCCGCGGGACTAGGGACAAGATTTTTCCGCGCTGAAAGAATTCAGGTGAATTTCGCAGGTCTCGGCATCTAGAGTGATTGAGTCAACTAGTTCATGGAAGAGCTTAGGCAAGCAGAGAGTCACATGTCACTGCCTATATTGGATCACGTGAAAAATGCTAAGAACGATCAACGATAGGAATTCCCAAGCAATTGCGATGCATGGTTGAAACCCATCCGTTTACCATGGCAGCACTAGATCCCAGGAAGCTAGCGCGCCTGACGCATTGATATGGTTGGTGGACAACGTCAAGATACCAGAGCGGATTCTAGCGGTGACATATCGCCGACGACGGAAACAGACAGACAGAGGAACGCTCTCCAGCCTTGAAGGCCTGGACGTGACGAACTTACATACGGCTCTAAGATCCCTCTCTGTTGGTATCGGCGACATGAGCCACAGCATGATATACACCTAGGCGCGCAAGCTCCACCGGTGCATGACTTGCAATTGTAGCTGGCTCGATAGTGAAAGGTCGTCAAGCAGCAATTTATACAGATGGATGCGGTGGTCGTACAATACACATGATGGATGTTAATTACCAGAAACGCTGGCGGGTGGCTCTACGAGTCTAGATTTCATTACATTTCCTAAACGTGCTCCTGCTGGAACTGCGTCGGCTTGTCGTCGTCGATCGACGCAGCGTCGTCCCGCGCGGCGCGGCTTGCGTGCACCCGGGCCATAACAATGTCGTGCGCCCTCCAGGGCTTCATGTCTGATGCGAACAGCTCCTCCATCCGCTCGAGCGGGATCTGCTTCGTCTCGGGCACGACGAACTACACACAAGGCAGGTCAGCGACGGACGCGGGTCTGCAGCGAAAAAAGAACGCACGAAGATGAAGGGGATCGAGAGAACCATGAGCGAAGCGAAGAAGAAATACACGCCGTAGCCCATGCTGGCGAACATCTGCGGCGTGAACCGCGCAATGAGGAAGCCGTACAGCCAGTTGGACGCAGCAATACAGGCCTGCGTGAATGTCCGCACGTGCTGCGGGAAGATCTCAGCGCCGTAGACCCAGGGCGTGCCGTTCCATGTTGGACCGTAGAAGATCGTCCAGAGATAGAAGAACGCGATGGCGCTGCGACCTCCCGGCGTGATGGTCGTGGAAACGTGGCTTTCCGGCTTGGCAATCGCGATGTAGGCGCCGATGTAGTACATGCTGATCGAGCCGCCGATGGAACCGATGATGAGGACACCCCGACGTCCAAAGGTGTCGACCATGTAAAGCAACCAGACGAGCGCACCGACGAGCTTGATGATGCCGTAGACGCCAGTCGTAAGCAGCGAGGTACTGGATCCGGTGACACCGATGGACTTGAAGATCGTCGGTCTATAGGGATCAGCGATGGACCCTCACAGTGCGAGGTTCGTGCTCACGAGTAGTAGTTGATGGCGTTGATACCCGTGCCATTCTGCCAAACAAACATAATGGAGCCGAGCATCAGTCTGTAGAGCAGCGCAGGGCTGCGGGACACCGAGAGCATGGGTCCAAAGAAGCCAGCGCCTGCAAGGCTCCGTTCGTGTGCGATGCCGGCTTCGATCTGCGCGAGTTCCTCGACGATGTACGGCGCATCCGCAGGGAGGTTACGCAGAATGCACAAGTTGCGCAGCGCTTGCGACCGACGGTCCTGGATTGCGAGCCACCGCGGCGACTCCACCATGATCAGGGCTCCGAGGAAAAGCATGCCGCCGGGCTCAAGGGACATCAGCACACAGATCTACGCAACGGCATTGCGCACTTACCACCAGCTGGACACCAAACGAAATCAACCACTGCTTGCGGCTGGGCGGGATATGCTGCGTGACACCGTAGTTGATCCAGAAACCGACCACACCACCAATTTGCCAGCACAACTCGTACAAGCCGATCAAGCGGCCACGGATAGCAGGAGGGGCGATCTCGGCCACGTAGATGGGCTGCGACAAAGCGATCAGTCGGCGCACGGGACAAACTCGGCGCTTCACAACAACGTACAGCCAGGTTTGACGCGATTCCGACACCGAGACCGACGATTGCCCGCCCGGCATACATGATTCCGAGTCCAGTAGCAGAAGACGAAGCACATTGCAGGGCAGCGCCGACGACGAAGATGCCGCTGGCGGCGATGAGGCCGACTTTACGTCCCAAGAAATAACCGAGCCCGTAACCCGCGAAAGCGCCGAAAAAGCATCTGCGCTCAGAGGACTGAGCTCGCTGTATGGAGAGCGACGGTACGAGAGAAGACGCACCCCGCTTGGAAGACGGAGACGATGTTGGCCGAGATGAGGTCGAGCTCGGTGGTCGACTTGTTAAGCAAGCCAAACTCGCTCTTGAAACTTGTCAGGCTGATCGAGGTGCCGATAAAGGCTGAGTCATATCTGCACAGGGATGAGCGCATGTGCGTGCTCCACTGCGGAAATACGTACCCAATTCTGGAACACGAATTGAAGAAAATGGGTCAGAAGGACGCTCTCGAGAGTAAGTTAAAATCCTCACAAGCTGCAAGCAAGTCTATGTAAGCCAGTGGACCTAAAGACAAAAATAGACGACGCGACTCACACAGCACCCCATGTGGCAACAATAGCATTGGCATACACCCTCCAGTTGTAAACCTCCTTCGGCGTCGGACGGTCTTCGATGCGGCGGAGATTGACCATGATAGTGAGAGGGATGCAGACAAGGCAATTTTGACTTGCGTGTTCTCCTTCTATATATTATCCAGAATCCCCCATCAGTGGCCGTGCCGTTTGCCATAAGTTCTGTGGGGTAAGCCTTGCCAAGGATGCAATCCCATTGGTCACGGGCCCGGGCGGGCTCGAGATAAACCGCCATCGCAGGAAGCGAGATTACGATGCGCAGAAGCCTCCACCTGATAGGCCAGCCTGCTGCTACCTCGTCAACATCACAATGTGGGGCGGAGGGATATCGCGGGCCACCCGGGGACTCATTCGGTCTTCGGTCCGCTTCGACAGTTGAAGGCGTGTAAGAAAGATTTACCACGCAGCATCAGCATCGAGATTTGCGGTATGTCCGAAGCGTCCAAGGACATGCAGGCCAAGTCCTCCCTCCCAGATCATACATATGTCCATCACCCGGCCCTGCAAATCGAGCTTTTTCTCCTTCGAGAACATGTTGTTTCCATCGCTGTGACAACTCCGCCGGAATCACATCCAGAGTGTCAGTTATCGTAACGAGTACGCGAATGACTGCGCATGATGCTGGGCAGGCGCGTCGCTGGTCGCCGTTTGGCGGTGTGAAATAGATCACACAGGAACGGGAAACCTGGGGTAGGTATCCGGTGTGTGAGAGCGTGTGAGAAGATCGAGAAGCGCGTCACTTTGGTCACTATCATTACATCACCGATGATCGCATCATGTTCGTAATTTCCATATTTGGAATGCTGGTTGGAGTGGTCGGAGGGAACATACCACCGCACGAAAGGGTCATGGCGATCCCCTCTGTCCTCTACAACCGATTTTTGTGACGTCTGGTTGCGTGATAACTCGTCTGCGACGATCTAAGTGCGGCCTAAAGTACAGCTTGATTCGCTCAGCGCGGCTCGGGTCTAGATAGCAATCTGCCATGTGTGTCCCCGCAATGTGCGGCCGTTGGTGACGGTGTCGTCTCTAAAAATTACTTCAACTGTCGACGTGCGCTATTTGGGTCGAGATTTCTCACCCCGCATCTCCAACGTGTATGCTTCAGAGCTTAATATAGTAGAACTTGCTGATTCCCATGCGCAGCTGTTATACTATTAGTAGCTGTCAAGACTATATTTGCAGGCTAAGAATCATACGGTATTCACATGTCGGCAACTCTGGAGAAAGCCCCGAAAACGTTGCCAGAATCCCCACATTGACCTGATGACAACGACTTCAAGAATTGTCCATTTACTCGAGTTCGCCGCACCGTTCGATTTCTATCGAAAACGCGAAGTATGACAGGCTTTTCTTGAGATTGGTGCCACATTCATTGCGTCAGATGACCCCCAGCTCCAAGTAGCCCCAGCTGTTGTATTTTATCTCCGCACGAATCAACTTTTGGAACGTTCCAGGTCCGCTCTGGGCGTCGGAGACTTATTTATTATCAACAGGTGGTGCGAGACTTATTAATACCCAACGAGCACGGGTCTCCGTCGTTCCTGGTTGACCCTCTGACACGGTCATAGGGCCTCCCCAACGGCTGAAAGCGCCGTGAAGCAGGGAATTCCCGATCTCGCTGTGGCAAACGCCGCCGCCCAGCATCCCGTGACAGGCGTGGCAACACTCTCACGCTTTCATCGGCCGGCACGTGACCGCGTTCTTCTATTCTCGGTCCGGGCCGGACTTTCCCAGCGCCTCTCAAGGTTCGGGTGGCGAATGAGAGTGCTGCGCATCCTTGGTCCGAGCCGGATCATAACAAATGGCCTCTTACGCCACGGAACATATCCTCTGCTGAGCCCGCGCGCCGCTCGTGCGCAGGAACACGGTATCGTAATGACCAAAGATCGGGCTGCCGGGATTATGACGCGAAAATCATTTTCCGTGAAGCGCGATTGTACGGAGACATCCCTCCCAATGGGTGCTCTCCACAATCTGAGGTCCCACTGGGCGTGGCTTAGGCGGGAGCAGAAGAATTTCTCTGAAATGCTTAGGGCGTCGCGATCGCCAACTGTTCTCTGCGTCTCTGATTGATGACAGAAAGACAACGCTCAATTGCGAGATGTGTTCTGAACGGATGAGCGTATTCGCGGCGTGCCAAGACGGGCAAGTCCGAAGGACGCATTGCGGTCTCCAACGAAGCCCGGCAACCCTGTCAAAGATTACAACGACGCCGGCCGAGAGTATACCCTGCGCTCAATTGCATTCTGCTCCCGTCGACGATGCCAAGTTTTCCGGCGCGACGGGGTGTGGATTCGCTTTCGCGCCTTCCTGACTGCCGAGGCGTTGGATTGTCAGATCAGACCCACATTGCATGCCAAGCATGGAAGCTTCGCATCTCAACGTTGGCTCCTTACGCGACAGCAGGAGTGCATCGCACATGTGCGTGCAGGAGAAGAAGACCATCGAGCGGCAGTTGGCGGCGGTTGCATCCTTGATTCCGGGAGACGGGTGGAAAAATAACGGCAGGTAGGGTGTTGCCCTGATCGCAGGATAAGCCTGGGACTCATGGGCCCGCGTGGCTCCGAGGGATTCTCTTCGTGTTCGTGTTGGGCCTGACTGCCGACGTCGTCGCCTGTCCTTCTGCGATCGAGTGGTACAGCCATTCCTGAAGTCACTCGAACATCTTTTCGGAGATGAGATCCTCCTTGTATTCGATCGGTGGACGTCTTATCCAGCCATCTCCACATGTCTGTACTCTTCTAATCTCGAAATCTGCATACACTCGGTTCTATCGTTTCTATCTCTTCTCGAGCGAGCGGCGCTTCGTCTTCGTCTTATCTACCACAATTGCTGTCAATTTGACCTTCATTGGCACCGAGACTCGATCAAGCGAATGGTGCAAACCGAAGCAGATCCAGCTGGGCGGGCTTCCGAGTTCTCAAGCACACCGGCTTGGCCAGTCAAATTTATCCACCACCAGGCAAAGTGATCTCCTCCGCTATCCACTAGTGTGGCCTCCGAGTCCTGCGGGATTATCGGCCCAGATTTCCGGCCCCCCGCTTGCACTATTGTCCGAGTTATTGATCTCAGCGAGCATCGTCTGGGCTCCGAGCCCTGACGGTCTCAATCCCGATCCCGCAGACTCCACGGTCGACGTCGCGGATGGCGCGAAGACCGGTTCTGGTGTCCGGGAGTATCGACAGCCGCCGCCCTCCGACGGCAGGGACTGAGAAGCCCGCCAGGCCCAGTCGTCGTCGTCGAGATCTGCTCCAGGGAAGTCGCGGCTCGTGCCCCGGTCTGCACCGGATCCCGTCAGCGAGGACGGAGCGGTAGGCACCTGGAATTTGTGGTGGAACTGGGCTGTGCTCTCCACCTCGTCGTCGGTCATGCGCGGAATCAGGCGGACCTGAGCGACCGGCGCGAAAGTCGTGCGTTGTTGACGTCGTTGCGCTGAGGACGCCGCGTTTCGGTCCTGAGTTTCGGGATGCCCGGGGCTGCACGGCGGTGTTGGTGGGGCGGTGAAACTCTGCTCAGCCTCGGGTGTCGGTGACCTGGTCGGCTGTGGATTCAGTGAGCTGTGCGTTCTGCCGCTGGGCTGGTCCGGGCGCGTACTGCGGGCCGCTTGGCTGAGGCACTCTTTTTGTTTTGCATGACCACCTCCTCAGCGGGTATCAGACTGGCAAAATGCCGTTTTTCTTGAGCTGGTCGGTCGAGTGAGGCGGCGAGAGGGCGACCGGTCAGGAGCCACCCACCGATCCACCACGGCTCAGGGACAGCCTCGAAGCCCTCATAGTCGGCCGAGAACGCTGCGTGGCCAACAGCGTCCCAGAACCTACGCAGCAGGTCCTCGCATGCAGTCAGAGTCGAGGCAGGCTCCCAGCTGATCGGGCGAAAGCTTCAGCTAAATGAATGGGCCAGACGCGTCTGAGTACCTGTCATGTTCATCTGTAAAGCCAGCCCACTTGGCCGAGGTCGGCCTGGGGTCGTCGCACAACCTATTAACTAGACAAACCTTGACCAAGTATTCCTGAGGCCAATCGTGTTCGATGAATGCGGGATAGAGTGATACGATGTCGCGACCCACCCACTCAGCTGCGAAGGGATCGAAGGACTTTGTGACGCGGTCTTGGCGTGTGCGACGCGCTTTCACCACCAGTTCTGCAGCTGAATTGAGCACCTGCGTAGATCTCGACCTGCCTGTTGACGGGCTTACCTACAAACCATTCGGACTCGTCGCTACTTGACATCAAGGAGCGGAGTGAAAAGTCGCTCAACGCATTGTGTGTCAGTGCAGGGTCGCATAAGGGAAAGCCTGAGCGCAGATCAGGGATGCGGCATGTGATGCCTGGAATAAGACGTCATCCAGCTCCCGAACACCGAGCTACGATGATTGCGCGGTAGACAGTCCTAGTTTCCAATGCGTTTGCAGAGTTGCGCGCGGCGCTATAGTGGGCTTCGGGGATAGTGATCGCAGTTGGGGGGTTGGGCAGAATGTTCATGTGACCTTCACGTGAGACGCGCCTGGCCCTCTGTACAGCCACACACACTCTTGCATCTTCTCTGCCTGGTTCACTGTCTGAACGATTCCAAATTCCGAATCGGTCCGCTGCAGATTCCTTTCGAGGAAACCTGAAGGTGGAAAAAAGGGGAAATTGGATACCGATGTCTACTCTCTGCATTCTCTTCCAGTGACATAAATGGTTCTGAATCTCCACGTCTTGGTGGGCGACGAAGTCAAAATCTCCTGACGCGCATGCGTATCCTTTTCCCTCCTGTTCAACATCCAATCCTGCTAAGGATCACACATGCAGTGGCTGTGTCGCGAGGTTCCTTGCTACATCAAGACATGCATCCGCTGCTGCGAGACATAAGTGCGGACGGGGGCGCCCCTAGCGCTCCAGCTTCTTGCTTTCTTCCACATTCGTCCTCTTCTCTTGTTTTCAACCTTTGCAATTCTGCTCTTCTATATCTGCTCTTCTATCTCCTTCCGTGGCTTTCACCTGCTCTAAACCTGTGCTTTTCCACATCCTCATGACTCCCCCGCTTTCTTCGAACATACCCGACCTTACAGGAGCTTCCGTCGCCAGGGGACGATACGAGCTCACGCGTCTCATCGGATGCGGAGCCTTCGGCAAAGTGTATCAAGCACTCGATACCTACGCCTGGCCTGCCGAACTGGTAGCGGTCAAGTGCCAACAGTATCTCGAGTCATCCACCCCGCTGGGCCAGCTGACCGACCTCGAATTCGATGCGCACGAGGCTCTCTCGCACGGCGACCGCATCGTGGGCCTGCGGCACTTGTTCTTGAGCGACGACGGGGAGTTGCTCTTTTCCGTCATGGACTACTGCCCCGGCGGCGATCTCTCTGAGGCTGTCCACAACGGCTCGCTCGTGGGGAAGCCGCGGCTGGTCAAGAGGATCATGCGGCAGCTTCTCGACGGAGTCGAGTTCATGCATAAGAAGAGAATCTATCATCGTGACCTCAAGCCCGAAAATATACTGATGTCGTCGGAGAAGGACGACCCGGAGCTGGACATCAAGATTGCTGATTTCGGATTGGCGACACGCTGCAACTGGAATGGTCAGTTTGGTACCGGCACCAAAACCTACATGAGCCCAGGTGCGCGCGCTTTGACATCTTGATCATGCGTCACAGGACTAACCCGTCTGTTGTCAGAGAATGTGGACAAGAGTCTTGCTGACGGGATCTACAAGGCTGCGGACACCGATCTCTGGGCCTGTGCAGTCATCTTCGTCATCCTCGCAACGAGCCACTTCCCCTGGGCCCGGGCGCACAAGCTGGACAAACGCTACGCCGAATACCGCGAAGACCCCAACTACCTGCACGAGTCGCTCCACCTGACGCAGGAGACGTCCGACCTCGTTGACTGGTGCTTTACGGAGGATCCAGCCGGACGACCGACCCTCGATGCGTTCCGCCGCGAGCTTGACAAGATCGACGAGTTCGTCACGGCAGTGGTCCGAAAACCCGACCCGAGTCCGTCCCAGTCTTCGCGTGCGGAATCCGTCCCTGCGCCTCCCTCGCCCCCATCGGTCCAACCATCCTCGATGATCATATGCGACTGCTCCGGGGCCTGTCCTCCCGCCGTCCCTCCTCGGCCGCCGATCCGCATCGATTGCGGGATGGACGTCGTGCGGCTATACGCGGACGACGTCTCGCTCGCCGACTCTCCGATGGAAGACAGCTCGCAGATGTATAGCCCGCTGTGCGACACGCCGGATGTGTCGATGCCGCCTTCGGACGGGTCGTCCTGCTCTCCCTCCCCGTCGACTTCGGCTATCGTGACGCCACCGGATTCGCACGCCAGCTTGGCTGTTTATGGCGTAGTGAACGTCGCTCCTGGGAAGCAGCCCGTCTGCACAGCACTTCCTGAAGAGGCTGTGACGTTGCCGGATTGGGGGCCTCGTCGGATGATGGCGCTGGGGTCGTGCGAGTTTCGGCTGTTCTAACTCGGCCTCGGCCGAGTCCGGGGGCGGGGAGGGGGACGAAGGAAATTCAAAACCAAGACATAAAACCAGGTAATTCGTTGAGCATCGTTTTTCTGTCATCGCTTTCGTTTGTCCTGTTTGGGATCACCGCAGTCAGAGAGAGAGAGAGGAATGGTGGCACGATATACTGACCCCGTGCTCTAGACAGGCGATGGTTCTTTTGGGCTCTCTCGATGGCTTGCGGTCTGGGAAACCCTCGTCCATTCTGAGCATGTCGGTGCCGAGACTTGCGGTCTGGTTAGCCCCTGTCTCGTGTCTGTTTTCGGACGGCACACCCGGGAGGCAGATGAGCGGACTGGCAATCCCTCGTCTCGCGCGGTCGGTCCGGATACTCTACTCCTCGCGACGAGCATCCCGCGTGGTGACGATCGCGTGCGATGCTCTTCTGGATGTGGATATCCGTTCCAGGCGGGATTTGGCAACTCCCGTCTCGGTGCATCGCATGGTGCATAGGATGGGTGTTTCGCGCGATGACGATTGCGTGGGATGCCTTGACTGTGTGGCGTCCTCAGGCGGGAGCTGGCAACCCTCGTCTGGGTGCTTGCGATGCGCTGAAACTCGGGGGCACCTGGTGATGATGATGGCCTCATGAGTGGGGTGCTGCGATTTCGTGTGTGTCTCGGTGCTCGTGACAGACGGGAGCTGGCATCTCTCGCTGCTGAAGACACTGCTGATGTTATGAGATGGCGGTGCTCGAAGAGTGGAGATGTTCTTGGGTGTCCGTTACTGACAGGGAGTGTTTGTTTCGTGTAGGAACTGGACGTCGACTTGAGACTGCATCGACGTCGATGGCCCAACAGTTTGTTTTATGCTCTGTATCTTACCAAGAATTCGGCTATGTATCGCATGATAACTCATCCTCGATAGCTCTTGGCTCATCGCCTATTGCTTGAGACGACGACATTAATCTTCGTCCTCTGTAAGGGGAGACTTGGGGCGTCGCGGGGCAGGATGCTCCTTGTCCCGGTCTTCGTGTTTACAATGCACGCTGTCACGTGAACAACATAGATTCCAAAACTCACCCAATCCATTCGAATTTCCTCCGACCAAGGCCGTGCGCAGCACGTCTAAATCAGATTTCGCGACATCTCGGGACTGGCTTACTTTCGTTCCCCCGCCGAGGTCCCAACACGTCGATCTCCATATGGGATGGTCATATGTCCTCTCCGATACACTGCATTGCGCTTAGAACACCGATCCCCGATCGCATACACGCCAGCGCCTGCATCCGGGTGACAGGCGTGGGTACGCTCTCACGCTTCCGTCGGTCGACACGAGGCGTGCTTCTTTGATGGGCGCGGCATCTTCCCCAGGCGCAACTCTAAAAGACGGGTCGGGTCTGGCCGTGCGAGTGTTGGCCTGGCTCCGGGCCGAGATCACCGATATGGGAACGAGCTGTTGGGATTCCGTTTCCGCAGAGCCAACTATACTATATCGGCCGGGAGTCGGGCGCCCGACGCTGTCTTGGCCCCCTGCACGTAAGTACTCTCAGCTCAAAGGAATGTGAGCCGAGATGCCGTGGAAACCCGCGAGGTCGGAGAGCCGGTCGGGATTGAGAAACGATTCAGATTGAGACATCAGATTGAGACAAGGTATGCGTCTAGAACGCGCGATTGGAGGCGAAATAATGCACAACAAGTAGACAGAGGATTCGTGCTAAAATGGAATCCAGCCCACAGTCTTATTATGAGCTCGAGAACCCCACAGTCAGAAATTTCTCAGAAAGCCTCAGGTGTTGAGCGGCGTTCCGTCAAATACGAGGTCAGCGCGACAGTGGCATGCAATCCAGGATGTGGACACACACTGCGGTCCAGCCTCGATCTATGAGATATTTTGTAATGTTCTATGGAAATACTCAAGTATGAGTTCGAATACAATTTGCGCTCCTTCACTCAGCGGCCCACCACGATGGTCAATTTCACTGGTCAGCGGGCTAGGCAGAATCTACTATGTGAAATTTGAGCGGTACCCCGACTCCAGTGCAACCGATCCTGAATCAGACTGCCGACGACGGACCTTGGCCTCGAACGTGAATGAAACATAACGTGCATCGATTTCATCACGTGAATGTCCTATTTCCCGGCCCTTTTTTCCTTGTGTCAGCGTGCTCACAAAATGCTGTGGTAAGCCTAGCCAAGCCAGCCAGCGGCCGAGGCGGAATTTCGCAGGTTTGTGTACAGCTCTTCCTGGGCCCTGAATCTTCCACTCCTACCCACGTCACAGCGGCTCCAAGTCGGGGCCCGGCGTCGTTCCACGCGCGCACTGCGCATCTCGCCCGGGGCTCTCTCTAGCCATTTGCGCTCGACACACACACACACACACAGGCACCCGCGCGCTGTGTCGCTGGTAAAAGGCACCGGGCGTTTTACGCTGAGGGGGATGGCATTGGCAAAATGATTTCGCGCTGTCGCGGTGCGGAACGCATGCCAACAGATTGCCCAGCTGACCGGCAAGTCACCGATCCCCGCTCCCCACATCCCCATAATGACAATCTCAGGAGCCCCCCTATCATCTGACGAGGAGCGGCCAATCAGCGTCCTCCGAAAAGTGATGGCGACAGCGGGTTGCGGTCGTTGTTTCTCAGGGGCTCAGACTTGGCGCCATTTACCCCAGACCTAGGGGCACTGCCACGGCCGTGAGATTGCGGAGGATATAAAGCGTGTGTGAGCGGGCGCATAAGTATCTCCCATTCTTGTCCGTGTCTGCTCCCTGCCATGGTCAACCTTCGCCGCGTTGAAGATCGCCCGACTCCGAAGGAGGTGTACAACTGGAGAGTCTACGCCAATGCGATCTTCGCCGCTTGGGCCGCCGTGTGAGTTTTTTTTTCGTCTTCGATCGTGGGTCTGGAAACTTACACGGACTCGCAGAACGTGAGGCTTTGGGTCTATCCTTCTGATACCACGTACTTATCTCATCTTCCTTCTTCGACTCTTCTTTTAGTATCGGGTACGTCGAAGCGCTCCAGTTCCCTCTTCCCGAGCTCATTCCCGCGCCTCCACCACCAGTTACGACTCGGCTTTCATTGGCACGTCGATCAGCTTGACGAGCTTCAAGACCGAGTTCAATCTGCTGCACAAGAGCGCGCACGAGCTCAACTTCATCTCCGCCAACATCGTCTCCGTTTTCCAAGCGGGGTGCGTTTTTTTTTTCCGGTTCTGCCAGGCACGAACGATGATGCTGACTCATCCCGACCCAGATGCTTCTTCGGCGCCTTCGCCGGTTACGGCCTGGGCTACTACCTGGGGCGCAAAATCGGCCTCCTCGTCGCCAGCTCCATCTTCATCGTCGGCGCCGTCATGCAATGCGTCGCGACTGGGTCCACCGGGCTCGGGCTCATGTATGCGGGTCGGATCATCGTGGGTCTGGCGGTCGGAATTGCGTCCAATCTGGCTGTGCGTTCCCCCCCCCCCCCCCCCTGCAGGCTTCTCCTGTTTTCTGCATGCTGATTGTGCCTTCCTCTGCAGCCGATTTACGTCGCCGAAATTGCGCCGCCTGCTATCCGCGGCCGTCTGATCGGTCTGTACGAACTGTGCTGGCAGACGGGTGGTGTTATCGGCTTTTGGATTAATTATGGTGTTACGCAACACATCGGTCCGAGCCGCAAGCAGTGGCAGATGGCCTTTTTCGTCCAGCTGATTGTGCGTGCATTTTTGCTGCGCCGGGTGGTCTCAGCTGACGCGCCGTCATCCAGCCCGGTGGGATGCTCTTCATCGGCTCGCTATTCATGGTCGAGTCGCCGCGATGGCTCGCGTCCAGGGACCGCAACTCGCAGGCCCTGCGCAACCTGGCCACGCTGCGCAATCTGCCCGAGGACGCGCCCTACGTCGTGGAGGAGCTGGCCGAGATCGAAGCCGGGATCGCGCACGAACGGAGTCTCGCTGGGGCCGGGTTCTTCGGGCCCCTGCTCACCGTCTTCCGCAGCAAGGCGCTGATGTACAGGCTGTTCATTGGATGCATCATGTTCGCCTGGCAGAACGGCACGGGTATCAACGCCATCAACTACTACTCGTGAGCACGAGCCTCGCACTGCCAGGACCAGCTGCTGATTTCGCACAGGCCGACGATCTTCAAGTCTATCGGGATCACCGGAACCAACACGAGTCTGCTCACGACTGGCGTGTACGGCCTCATCAAGCTGTTTGGCGCGCTCGTCTGGCTGCTATACCTGGTGGACACCTTTGGCCGTCGCTGGGTGCTCATCGTCGGTTCCGCCGGAGGGGCTGTCTGCATGTACTACATCGGCGCGTTCATCGCTGTTTCGCAGCCCACGCGCCACGTGACGACCACGATCGGACCGGGCGGCCGGAGCGCGATCGCGTTCTTCTACCTCTGGACGATCTTCTACGGGCCGACGTGGAACGGCACGCCGTGGGTGTACGGCGCTGAGATCTTCCCGCAGCACGTGCGGACGTTCACGCAAGCGTGCATCGCTGCGTCGAACTGGCTGTTCGGCTTCATCATCGCGCGGTTCACGCCGCAGATGTTCGCGACGATGGGCTACGGCGTGTATCTCTTTTTCGCGACGCTCATGGTGTTTTCGATTCCGTTCGTCTACGTGCGTGGCTGTTCCTTCCCTGCGCGCTCATTCTGATCTTTGCGCAGTTTGTGATACCCGAGACGAAGCAGATCCCGCTGGAGCGGATGGAGGAGCTGTTCGCGCCCGAGCTCAAGCCCCGGAAAGCACACGGCATCGTCATGGCGCGCGTGCACGAGACCCGGGCGCTGCGCGACGAGAGTCCGCGCTCCGTGTCGCTCGACGAGAAGTCGGCGCAGATCCAGCGCGAGAATGTGTAAGATGACGATTTGGGATATTTCTGCTCGGTTAACCTCATGTATAATGTACGCTACGACGATCTACTGCAATCAACTCTCCGGTTGGGACTATTTTGGTCGGATCACCTGGCTATAATTGGACTGCTGCGGTTTTGGATCTGGTCAGCCTCTCTTCCTTGGATCAGGTCAGGTGCCGCACTTGGTCAGCTCTCAGCGCCGTGGAAGCTATCCGAAAGATGTTGCACAAGCATCGTAAGACAGTCAATACTTTGCGGAGGCCTCGTAACATCCTTTATCCAATCACGGTGCCAGTTCAGCCGCGTCCAGATTTACCCACGGTCCATTGCCATTTCGCCATGTTCAGCCGCCTCCCCACCCGGGTGCAAAATTCCGCCGGGCGGGAACTCACACGTACCATCGGGTCAACGAGGTCCTGCGTCTCAACCGTGCAGAACCGGAGCCAGGCTCTCCCTCGCTGTCGGAACCAATCCGGATATGCGACGCCGCGAACGGCGAACATACAGCACGTTCGTAACCACAGATGACAATACACCATCGCACAGTCCAATAATCATCCGTGTTATCAACAGATCGATAAGATTCGCAGCTTAAATAGTAGCATCTTCTCAAGTCATCTTACCCCACCTCTACTACTCACCCACGCCTACTAGCCATGAGTTTCTGCAAGGACTGCATCAGCGGTGCGTAATAGGACGCTGACCCAGAGTCAGTTGGTGCTCAACAATCGTCCAATCTCAGGTGTCACCCACGAGGGAACGCCCGAAGGTATGACGGCAACCGATCAGGAGCGACTCGGCCCTTTCTCATCAGTGCTCACAAGGCAAGATCGAGACCATCGGCGGAATTGAGACCTACGTCGCCACCCCGACCGTCGACTTCCCCAAGGACAAGGCTATCCTCTTCCTCAGCGACGTCTTCGGCCTCCCGCTGATCAACAACAAGGTGCGCTGCGCAGATCGGATGACGGATGTCCCGGGACTGAGGCGGAGGGGCAGCTCTTGGCCGATGACTTTGCGCGCAACGGCTTCAAGGTGAGTCGGGCGGCCATCGCACTGCGTCAGCATGACTGAGCGACGCCGCAGACATACATGCCGGATCTGTTCGCCGGGGACTCCATCGGCGCCGATGCCATGAGCGTGCGTGCCTCCCACACCCTCCTCCTCCTCCTCCTCCTCCACCCCGCACCCGCCCGCCTGACCGATCCCCGCACCCGCAGACCGGCAAATTCAACCTCGCCGAGTGGTTCCCGAACCACACCCAGGAGAAGACGCGCCCCATCATCGACACGTTCATCGCCGCGCTCGAGGCGCAGGGCGTGACCAAGTTCGCCGCGGTCGGGTACTGCTTCGGCGGGCGCTACGTGTTCGACCTCGCGTTCGACCACAAGATCGCCGTCGCCGCCACCGCGCACCCGTCGCTGCTGCAGAAGCCTGCCGATCTCGAGGTGCGTTTCGTTCCGTTTCGTTTCGGTTCGGTCGCCCCCGATCTGTCTGTTGCGCGGTGTCTCATCTGTGCTTCTGCTTCTGCTTGTCCGCAGAAATACGCCGCGACTGCGACGGCGCCGTTGCTGATCAACAGCTGCACGGTCGACGAGCAGTACCCCGTCGAGGCCGCGCTCCAGGGCGACGAGATCCTCAAGAACTTCGCGCCGGGCTACAAGCGCGAGCACTTTGAGGGCTGCTCGCACGGCTTCGCCATCCGCGGCGACATGTCGATCCCGGCCGTCAAGGCGGGCAAGGAGGGCGCCTTCAAGGCCACTGTTGACTGGTTCATCAAGTATTTGTAAACGGCGGGGAGGAAGGAAGGAAGGAAGGAAGATGCAAGTGTTTGTTGTATACATGTAACTGCCATGACCCGTATCTCAACACGGCACTGCGCTTGAGAGAGAAGCTATTATGTGCACAAGCTGGTGGCATATATGAATGATCGCAGTGAACGACAATACAATGCCAGGGATGGTCCAGGTCAGGCTATTGGAGGAGGGTTCGTTCCATCCTCAACCCCAGCTCTTGAGGGCCCTCGTTGGTATTCAACGGGGACAGCCCATGCGGATTCCAAGAATTGGTGATCAAGCCACGGTGCCAGGTGGTCGAACTCGACGTATCATCCCAACACGCGCGGAAAGAGCTGGAAAGAGGCGCGTATCAAGCAATCTGACGCGAAATCAATGGGCACGATCGAGAGAAGGCGCTTACATAGGTCCCGCGGCTCAACTCAACAGTGTTCAAGGGTGCATAGAATTGATTATTCAGTGGCAGCTGTTCCGAGCCGTCCTCCCACAAACCCGGTCCATATTATCGTTATCAGAACGAAGCTCATCATCGCGGGCGCGAGCGGCTTCGTGGGCAGCGAGCTCGTGCGCCAGTCCCTCCGGCGCCCCGAATTCACCTCTGTCATTCAAGTTGCACTCGCGCGGAAACATGGATCCCCCAGCCGCGCGGCGAAGTGGAGCCGCCGGGGAAGTTCAAGAGCGTGGTCGTGGCGGACTACGACCGTGGTGATTATCCTGAGCAGGCCCGGGAGGCGTTCGCTGGGGCTGACGCGTGCATCTGGTGCGCATTGGGACCTCGTTCAGCAGCCTGATCTCGCGTCGACTCACAACGACGCTCCGCCCAGGCCGGTCGCGATTACGCACTCGAAATCCAAGATGCACACACCCGAAGAGGTGCGGCGCTCAAATTCACGGTCGGCGTGCCGAGTATCACGGTGGAGGACGTGTGCTCCGCCATGCTGGATCAGATCCTCAACGGATTCGAGAAGGAGCCATTGACGAATGAAGACCTGCAGGCCATCGCCAACCGGGTTCGGTCCCAGTAGGCATTTCGACGTTACACAAAGCGTCATGGTAGGAGTAGCACCCACTCGGTTGACCGTCATCGTCGAACGTGTTTGCAAAGCGCAGATGTAAGTACGCATTACGACTCGAGGACGCCTTGTACGATATTCTCCTGCATCCCTAGCCAAACTCCGAACGTCGGTGTCCTCAACCACCGCTGGTAAAACTCCTTCCTTTTTGCGGTGCTCCTAAACGGTAAACCGCTGTCTCCTGTACTCTTTAGCGAACCGAGAAACGTTGGCACGCTGAAAGGTCGCATGCGCAGCGGTTCTCCCGAAGGGGAAGCAGCCGCCCGTTCGGCCGGCGTCGGAATCAGGGTATTCAGATACCGAGAAAGCGGAAGCAACATCTCTGTTGTTCGCGCATGGAAGTGCTGTCGGAGCTCCAAAGATGCATCCAAACCTGATTATAGACGTCAACAAGGCGCCTCAAATGGCGTGGAAGTTACTGAGGCTTACGCTCGGATTCTGTGCCACTGGCACAGATCTCCTCCAACCGCCGTAGCAATGGCCTGTCTTTGGAGACATATCGTGAGTGTGTCCGAGTCTTCCATCCAGGTGCGGGTCCCGCCCGTAACCGTATCTGCCCAGCAGCTGTTTTGGATCTAGAAATATTGATCAACACACATATCCAAGATGGGAGAAAAGCCACTCACAGTGCATCTTTCCCAAGACTCAGCGTATGCGGCCAATGAGCGCACTCGCGTTGGAAAACCGGGTTCGTCACCCCCAAAATCCTCCCGGGACTCGGCGGCAATCGGCCCGCAAGTGTCGCGTAGTCCGCATCGTGGATGGTCAGGTATGGGCGCAGGTCCCCTGTGCATGGTAATGGCCGCAGGAGATCACGCAGCCACCAGACAGCTTGGCTGCTTTGCATCGGCGACCTGCCAAACACGAGTATCGGCTCGCAAAGCACCAGACATTCCCATAACGACCACATTTGGGAGAGCGCCGCCTCGAATAACAGGATCGGCGGGGGCGTCATGGGTGTGGATGATGCGAGGATCTGGGTGGTAGATTAGATAAGATGAGTGATTTCAGAGGCGAACAGTTGTGGCCTACACGTTCACGCGATAGCATTGATAATTGCTGTTGCTCCGGGGAAATGGGGAGCTCTGCGCTCAGTACTGTACCGAGGAATCCGAGCTCCACTGTCGATCCGGGAGTAGGGTCCGACCTTTTCTTTGGCCGTGCAGTCAGCGATAAGTCAAATAGATATTATCCATACACACCAGCCCGCAATATTATGGCATGCAGCTTCCAGCATCGGCAGGCCATGGTCCTGGAACAACGGCCCGAGGATAGAAGATATCCGCGTGTACAGTGCCGGGTAAGGAAGATGTGTCAGTATGACAAGAGACCTCTGGACGGTGGTAAACAAGACAAAGTTGCGTGAAAAGCAGTCCACGTACCTGCTCATATCCTCTCCTCAAAGAAGCATCCTTCCGTTGCGAGAAGTACACAAAACCATATATGAACCCGTCCGCAGCAACAGGCCGCCGTCCACCCAACAACGGCACATTATTACTCTCTTTGATACAAAACGAGTGGCACTGCGCTCCCTCTTCGAATTGCGGGGAGTCCGGGAAGGCAGAGAAGGCACTGGCTTGACGTCATCCATCTACGCGGTCGTACGACACACGCGCACGCACATGTTATCCGCCTCTGAGGGGAGCAAAAAGACCGGAGGGTAGACACCAGCCACGAGCGGCCCTTCATCGATGTCGAAGTCCACGACAGCGACACCCAGGATCCACCGCCGGATGCGCAACAGCACGTCCGGCTCGACGGTCAGTGCATCGATTTCGGACGCCCGCTGTCTTCTCGTCGGCGGCTTCAACTGGAGATCCGGGACGCATGGAGCGGTGTGGGAGCGAGAGAGGCCGCGAGCGCGGAGAGTATGGCCGTCGAGGCTGGTCTTTCCGATGAGGGGAGGTGCGGGAGCGGCGGACAGCGCGGGTGATGTGCCCCGGGAGGATAGCGCCGACGATGAGAGAGAAAGAGAGCTGAACTGGCTGTCGGCGTCGGCGATGTCCTCTTCCTCCATCGATGCAGACGAGGACATGAGGCGAGAAGAAGACGCACAGCTCGTTACTTCTAAATCAGGAGTCCCCGGTTCAAACTCCGATTCGCGATCACGTGGTCTGAATTAGCCGGGCCCGGGTTTAAAACGGAAGTAAAATTCTTCATTTATTTCAATTATTTTTGCACTCAAGATCTGATGAAGTTTTACAGGTATACCGAGAACTAACGATACAAATCCGGCCACGATGTGTTTTCTACTTGGGCATCTCCAATACGACACGCCCGGCAATTTGACCAGACGCGAGAGCTTGATATGTTCTAAGTGCACAAATTCAGCCTCAAACCCGTAGAAATGGGACAAAGTTCACTTTTGCAGCTCAGAGAGTGGCTTGAGCGCGTAATAACAAATGACTTGTCCCCGTGCAGCAATGTCGATGGCTTCTTTGGCATCTTGGCGGTTGCCTACATAGGAGCCAAGAATGCTGATGCTCTGGATAACGATGAGTAAATAAGTAGAAAAGAGTGATCCAAGATACCTTGAACACTGTGAAGAAGATGGGCGCGTCGAGAGAGGCATGTCCTGGCAAGCCAACAACCATGAGAGTTCCTCCCCCGCGGAGATACTCGATTGCTTGGTGATATCCAGAACTCTGCAGTACGTTAATCGAAGACGAAGCGCTGGAGATACGACATCAACGCACGCTGGCAGTGGTCACGACAGCAGAATGGGCGCCGTATCCATCAGTTATCGAGCGAATCTCAGCCACGATATCAGGGCACTCCTTGAAATCGATCCACTTCTCTGCTCCTAGTTCAAGGCAGAGCTTCTTCTTATCGGCACCAGTGTCTTCATGAAGACTTGAGTCGAGTGGAGATCACTGGGGACGGCCGGCTCACCGATAGCAATGACGCGCAGCCCGGCGACTCTCGCATATTGGATTGCTGGCGTGGATTAGGACCGGGGATATGGACACCCAAATAAACCATACCGAGATGACCGAGTCCTCCTCCAGCACCAGGGAGAACTATCCAGTCTCCGGGGTTGGTCTGGCTGTGTTTAATGGCGCGGTAAACAGTGACGCCCTTGGGTACAGTGAGCAACATCATCAATCAAGGGAGCAGCACTCCACCCACGGCACAGAGAATAGATGCAGCAGCGAAGCTGTCGAAACCCTCCGGGATCGGAGTAACGTGATTCACAAATGAGACCTGCACACATCGATGAAAGCGTCCTTCGGGAAAAGACGACAAGCAATTACCACATATTGCTGGAAAGTTCCATCGACATTGAAGCCGCTCAATTTGGCATCGAGGCAGACTATGAGGGGATCATGTGAGTGATAAGGCGTGGAGTAAGGGTGCAGCAGTACTTTGTTCGAGGCCTTTACGGCACTGTTCGCAGTTGAGACATCTGCAGCCCTATCGGGTGAGATCGTTGGATCACGCCGATTCAGAGAAGAGGACTGACGAATCGGCGAGCCATTTGATGCCGACACGATCGCCCACTTTGACAGGAGAGCGACTTGTGTTCTGACCAATTGCGACAACAATGCCGACACCTTCGTGTCCGCCGACCAGGGGCGTCTTCGCGGCCAGGGGCCAGTCGCCTAGAGCAGCATGCAAGTCCGTATGGCAGACCTGAATTCATGTTGTATCAGTCTTGCACGCACAAGAAGGGCCGACGAACTCCGGTGCAGATAAGTTTGATGAGACACTCGCCAGGCGCAAGATCCTCAGCGGCTGTGACAGGGTGGTCCTCTCGAACCTCGATGGGAGCACCGCTGCTAGCAACAACAGCAGCCCTCTGAGTCTTCGGGATTTCGATAGAGGACATTCCGGCCAAAGATGACTGGTGAAGCTCAGATGGTCAGTGGGGACATCCCCCATGCTTTTATATCCTCTTGGCTGAGGGTTGCGAGGAGATAGATCTCGATCGCAATAATGAGACGATTTTCTGGGAGAATTCGTTGTGGGGTTTGCACTGTTAAGCCTAGACGCTGTTCTCAACCACTGAGAGTTGAGGCCAGACCACGGCCAAACACGGGTCATCAAACGCATCAAAGTTGCCTTGCTTGTCAAGGCACTCTCCACACTCATAATTCGCTCTTTTGATGGCCTTGTTGATCCGATGGCGCTGTTCCGTGTTTTTCCGAGACGTGCGTGGCTTACAATGTATACTCGACCACACAGTGGCACACACGCGTCCCATAAATGATAAAGCATGCTCTGTCCTTTTTTGTTCGTGCACTTCATGTTTGCATCTTCAATATAAACATTTTAAACAGTTATAACCATCTTTATTTCCGTTTTGTTTAGGGCATGGTCTACACAATAAACAAAAATTTAGTAAATGTTTAAATGGTTTCTTCTCGGGGAAACTGATTCTGTATCTTAACTTCCCTGCACACTTGTCCCTAGTCTCTTTCACTAACTTCCCTCTCATACCTTGTTTGGGAACTTGTTGCACACCACTGCCACAGTTGAATTTAATTTACTGCTGAGTTGTTCCCGCTCACTGCTCATTTAATTGGCCCTGTGCACGCAGCTCCCCCTGCCTTGCTGGATTGCTTCAGTCTTTGGAATTTTTAGTTCCCTCTGTTGTATTTGTTCATTTCATTTTTAATCTAGATCTATTTCCTCATTTAATACACCGCTGATTTTGTATTTTCCTTTTGCCTCAAATAATTAATCGTTTAAAAGGTTCTAAACAGTTTTTTAATCATTTGTAACCATTTTCATTTATTGTAGGGCTAGTGCTACGCAAAAATGAAAAGGTTGGAGCCCTATGTGATAATGTGTAGTTACTTATCATTGGCATGTAATGTCATTCGATGTTACTCAAGCAAGGCATTCAGTCGCCAAGGGCGACACTTTCTAGTTAAATACTGCGTATACAGCGATGGCGGTCGGGTAAATATAATTTCCATGCCCAATTCAACCCCGAGCGGATGACTTCCAGCCCTGAGACCTTCAATTTTGGTCATCCAGCAAGGCTTCCCGAGGCTCTCCGTCTCTATCATCTCCAACGGGCTCCCGTGCCGATCTAGTCAGGCGCCGCCCCGGTGCTCTCCGGACTTTTGCACGCGTCCGAGAACGATGCTGCACTCCCTCATTCGCTGGGAACCAACATATCGACCGTGACCTCGCGGTCCATCCTTCCCGAAGATGTAATCCGGTGGGATTATCCGCCAGTTGCCTCGATCTAGGAATTCTCAGTGCTGAACCTGTGACACGGCTGTGGGAATGTTTTGGGACCTGCAGACCTGCAGACCTACACGTCAGTGCGAGGGCCGGGTCTACGCCACCTCTCCCAGCTCGAAGACGTCTTGGTGTTCCGCCTGTGCTCAAACAGCTCTCCCATGGAATACTTGCATTCTCTGTTTTGCACTGGATTGACTGTAGTGGATCGTCTTGGACTTCGGATCCGGGCCGCGACTGAGGGGAGGCGACCGTAGAGATACTTAGTTTCAAGGCAATCTCATTGGGTGTGGACAGGGGGATGAGGCTGCCGATCGCAAGGCACTCTAGAGCTCACCTAGAGCTCCCTTTAGGTTTTCGAGGAGACACATGAGATGGATGTCCCTCAGAATCTATATTTCTTCTAGCGGCAAATGATCGCCGACGGATATCGTGCGGTCTAGACTTCGCACACAATTGAGAGCTTCTCCCAGCAACCCCTCCGCTTGCCAGTGCCAATAGAGATCGGCCATGGCAGTAGAATCGGTTGGTGCATATCTGAGACCCGGGTCCTTGGGAATCGGTTGCGGTAGCATGTGTCTTTGTCCTTGTTGTGTGTCCAACGCGCAATCCTCATTGTTTCACATTCCTGACTCGCTGGGCACTGCTGGGCTCGTTTGGGCCTCGGTAGATGGCTCTTTTCCTGCGTTCTACCTTGTTATAAACCTTTCTTCCATCGCTCTCGCCTAACCCGCCCCGGATCATGGAAGCCAAGCCGCCCAGTGCGACAGCCGGGGACGAAGATTCTGTCCGACCGCCCCATCCAATGTACGTACCGTCGCTAAGCCAGTGTACCATGCCACCAATCCGTGTCTTCTCTGCCCAGTGAACGTTCATTGGATACTTTGAAAGGTGTTGCATTTGTCCTTTCCTCGGGGACGCCGTAGTCTCACCCAGCACATCGCAGATGACATCCTAGAGGTCCTTCGAAACGACACGTCCCTCCGGGACACAATAAAGAAACTAGAAACCGAACTGTCGGTTTATAAACGCGCTTTTGCCGATGTAGAAGGCGAGCTCAAGAACTCTCGGCTCGCGTACCTCGAGGCACAGTCCGTGAATCGGAAGCTGAAAAATGAGTTCGAGGCGTCAAAGAAAACGTAGAAGGTGCGCGCTCACCAGTCTGTTCCGCATGTACCCTCATCGTATCAGGGCAATCGTGTTGTCATCCTGTTAGACGGCGACGGAGCCATATTCTCCGGCCAACACATCTCCAAAGGCCGTGAGGGCGGTCACAAGGCTGCACAAATCCTCTCCGACGCGACACTGCAATGCCTCGCACAGAACTTCGGCTCTCGATCGTTCCAGCTCTGGGCTTTCGTCTTCTTCAATAAACGCGGCTTGGTGGACACTTTCCGGCGAACTGGCAAAGGGACCTGGGCGGCCAATCTGGACGAGTTTGTTCTTGGGTTCAACCAGTCGACAGAGAGGTTCGTCATGGTCGACGTGGGCGGGATGAAAGAGGCTGCAGATGCGAAATTAAAGGGTGTGTGCCCCCGTACAAGCGACCTCAGAAGTCGTGCTGATTACGTCGCAGCGTATCTGGAGCACGAAATCAGACTGCCCGAAACGTTTAAAGTCGTATTTGGTGGTTCGTCCTACTCACCCAAGCGTTCAGGCCCACTGCTTACCTCGTGCATGCAGCATGCCACGACAATGGTTATGTTGCGAATCTGCATTCGCAAATCACGGCTGGCTTCAAAGAAAAACTCATCTTGCTCAAGAGCTATACGGAAATGGCAGCGGGGATAGCGGCACTAAGCCTGCCTACGCTTACCATTGAAGATCTGTTCATGTTAAATAAGATCGGCGACGCGGTGCTGCCCCCGTCGCCGAAATCGACGACGTCCTCCGCCTCCTTGAAATCGCCTCCTTTGAGTGGCAAAGTTAGCCTCGGTCTTGCGGTCTCTCGACCGTTGAACCCAGAGCTAGTAAGTTCGTCATCCTGTCTTGAGCACACACCAACTGAATGTCTCTAGCCGTTAACGAAACGTGGGACATCCGCTGACACTTCGCCCTCGCCGCTGACACAATCTGACCTAACAGAACACCCTGCCCCGTGTACAAGTCATTACTTGAAGAACAGCTGCCCATTCCCTCTGGACTGCCGCTTCGCGCATGATTACGTCCTCAGCACGGCTCAGGTTCTGGAGTTGGCCAAATCCGCGAAAAGGGCCCCGTGTCCTACCGCTCTCAAGGGTCAGTCAATCCACCCTGCTCTGCGGTTACCAACACGCTGACACGCGTTTTGCAGGCAAGAAGTGCGAGAACGATGAAGATTGTATTTATGGGCACGTTTGCCCTGCTGGGGCCAACTGCTTCTTCCAGAGTGAGTGGACTGGCCTTTCTGCACGGCACATCTAACCTCCTTGATGTCTAGAGAAAGCCAAGTGCAGATTCAAACATGGTCAGTTTTCCTCTTTGAAGTCTAAGCGGATGCGGTTGCTGACGATGTTTCTAGCTAGTATGCATCCTGCGTAGTAAGCAGCGTCGGTAACAGACTTGGATCGCAAGTGGACCACAGGAACATCATACAGAGTAGTGAAACTGTTGCTGAGAGTTCTCGCGTTCGGATGGTTTACAAGAGCGGGGATATATGGATACAGAAGGTCATTAGCATCACTAGTGTGTATGTACTATGTACGGTATTTATTACAAAACAACTTTTGGCGCGCCGACGGAAGCTCAAGGTGTGTATTCAACGACACCGCCGTCAGCATCAAGTGCGCCGCGCTTGACGGTTTCACCCCGAGCGCGGAGCAAGTCCTCTACTGTCCTCAGCTTCCCTTCCTCTGTGCTCTCTTTGAACCAACCGATATGGTCCGCAATGAGATGCCTGCGACGAGCAAGGATTAGGACCCAAAAATACAGCGCTGGGCAGCTAATCCGAAACGCACCGAGTATGACACCCAGGACACTGAACGAGCACGATCCCCTTCTCGTACGCGTGCTTCGAGAACTCATGTGTACTCCGCGTGGTGCAGTCGCCGGCCGTGCACGTGAATGTGATCGACAGCCGCGGCTGGATTCGTGGTGGTTCGGCCGCTGGAGAGTCTGCGTTGGGATTCGGTTGGGGGAGCGCGGGAGCGGTCGAGTAGGGTGATCGACGCGGGAACGGATTGGGTCGGACGCCTTGTCTAAGACGCACAGTAGCCCGAAGCGAAGAATACGGAGTGGAAAAGCTCCGCAGAGGCATCGAGACGCCAATGTTTCTAAAGATGCGCAAAGGGAGCATGAGGACGTCGTGAAAAGTTGGTAGAAGGAAGAGAAAGAGATGATGATGACGTCAGCAGGAAGCTGACTGATGGACCTCGACTATATTATCTACATATAAAAAGTACAGCGACACATCATGCGTAATCCAGTCTACTGCAACTTGACGAACATCGCTTTGCTCAACTCAAGTGTGGCCAACTCAGCCTCGATCGTCTTGCGCTGCCAGACGAGTCAAGGTCGGTGCCTACAAGAACAAGTTGCATGACACACCTTCTCCGCATTCGCTTCCCGAACATTCTCGGGCACCGTAGTCTCGTAATCAGCCTGGGACTCAACCTTGGCCAAGCGCTGCAGGTTGTTGCGCACGACATCGAGCTTCTTGTCGCATTTGGCGATCTCCACGTCCAGATCGACGAGCCCACGGACAAGCGCGTGGACGGCCACGCTGGGTGTCACAACAGCTCCGCCGCAGCCTTCAGGGATGTCCTTGATGTCACGCACGACTTGGGCGCTCTTGCACCCTTTGGTCAGAGAAACGATCGTTGAGGCCTGGGACTCAAAAAGCGCGACTTCCGACTCGGTCTGAGCGTGGATGAACACTGAAGACTAATCAGTTGTGGATCGGATGATAAATGCTCGCTACTCACGTTGGATGTTACTCTGCAGGTTGTAAGACGACGCGAGCGAACGACCTGTTTTCAATGCACTGAAGACGAGATTGAACTGTCGATCGGCTGACTCGAACACATAGTCCTCAGTCTAATGCACAGTGCTCAGAACACAGTAATCTGTCAGGGCAACGCACTCACAAACACAGGATATGCGGCCAGCATGATCGTCGGTGTCGAATCATTGGGCCTGCGGGGAAGTCGCTGCCATAATTCTTCTGTCACAAACGGCATGAACGGATGCAGCATCCGCAGACCAAGATCCAGGCACGTATACAATGTTTGTTGAGCGGATAGACGCTGTGATGCAGGTGCTGCCTCGTCCGTCATTGGTTTCATTGCTTCCTGAAAGAGCATGTGAGAACTCCGCTAACATCCACACGCAACCGGAAGACTCACAATATACACATCACAGAGCTCATACAGCCAAAAGTTGTATGCAGCCGATGTGGCCAACATGAAGTTCCGCTCAGCGAGATGCGTGTTGATCTCGCTCGCAGCAATGTTGAGCTTATGCATAATCCACTGCTCGACCAAACTCTCCCTGCCTGTTGGCTTAGCCGTCGGCTCCGGAACAAATTTGTCATCGAGCTTGAGCATTGCGAATTTGGTTGCATTGAAGATCTTGTTGCAGAACTTGCGGTATCCTTCTACACGCATGATCTCCAAGTTGATGTCACGACCTCCAGCCGAGTAAGCGCAGAGCGCGAACCGCAGCGCGTCGGTGCCACACTGCGGAATGCCCTTGGGGAAATCCTTCTTCTGCCCGGCAATAGCTTTCTCGATCTCCTTCTCGTCCAGATTGCCTTGACGCAGTTGGTCGTGCAGCTTCTCCAGAGACACACCCTCGATCACGTCAATCGGGTCGATGACATTCCCGAGGGACTTGCTCATCTTGCGGCCGTGTGCGTCCCGGATCATTGCGTGGCACAGCACCTCGTGGAACGGCACTTTACCGGTCAGCTTGACACCAAGCAACACCATACGTGCGACCCAGAAGAAGATGATATCCCAGCCTGTCTCGAGCAGGGTATTTGGGAAGAATTTGTTCAAGTCGGGGGACGACTGCATAAATCAGCACAACAACAACCGCAAAAACGAAGGTAACGCACCTCATTGGGCCAGCCCATGATTGAGAATGGCCACAGGCCGGATGAGAACCACGTGTCCAGCACATCTTCGTCTTGGTGCAGAGTGAAGCTCAGACCGCCGGCGAGGGCAGCGGCGCGCTCAGTGGCCTCTTCCAAAGTCCGCCCCACCACCCAATTCTTTCCATCATTTCGCTGTGGATGAGTGCTCAGTTGCAGTGGACGCAAGAACGGGAACGGCACGAACATCACGATTCTGGCCGTCAACGTCCACAAAGTAGGCGGGACAGCGGTGTCCCCACCAGAGCTGTCGTGAGATACACCAGTCTTGAATGCCTTCCAGCCATCGGTACCACTCGTTCTCAGACTGCTTGGGTGTGATCAGAAGTTCACCAGCCCGAGTGCGCTGCGAGACAAGATCAGCGTGCAGTCGCTAGCCAACGGCAACAACTTGCCTTGAGAACCTCCTCTGCCAGGGGTTTAGAGTCTACCCACCACTGGGGCTTCAATATAGGCTCGACGACGTCACCAGATTTGCTGCGGAAAAGTCAGCAAGTGGGATGGTCGCTGGTAACCAGGACCGCACCTGCACAGAGGAATTTGCATTGGGTTATCTTTGGTATCGACGTACAGTCCCTCGTCTTTGAGCGCCTGCACAACAGCAACACGTGCGTGGAACCGCTTCATTCCTTTGAAGCGCTCGCCCGCATTCGCGTTGAACGTGCCGTCGTCGTTCAAGATGTTGATGAATTCCAGATTATGGCGCGTGCCGACCTCATAATCGTTCGGGTCGTGCGCCGGCGTAATCTTCACAGCACCAGTCCCGAATTCCATGTCCACGATGATGTCGTCAGTCACGATCGGGAGGCGGCGGTTAGGCAGGAAGGGGTGTATGGCAAATTTGCCGTGAAGGTGGGTGTACCGGGGATCGGCGGGGTGAACGGCGATCGCAGTGTCCCCAAGCATAGTCTCAGGTCGGGTCGTAGCGACGGTGATTGTTTCGTCCGAGTTCTCGATCTTGTACTTGAAGGACACAATCACACCAAATTCGAATCGTTCGTTCGGGCCGTATCCCGGTACGGTGAGCATTGTCCGCCCGTTCAATTGTTTCTGGTCGACCTAGACTCGCCAATGAATATGAGATGTAAGGGCACTCAAGTGGAAGCACCTCGAGATTGGAAAGCGTTGTGTTCATCTTCACACACCAGTGAACCAGACGGTTGGCTCGGTAGATCACACCGTCTTCGTGTAGGCGACAGAAAGCCTCGATCACAGCTTTGTTGCGTTTCTGGTGTGTTTCGTCACGGAAGATAGAGTGCGGACGGGATGAATCCGAACCTCGTCCATGGTGAAAACAACGCGGTCCCAATCGTAACTGCCACCAAGTCTATGCAGTTGTCGTGTGATCCGGTTCTGGTAACTGCAGTAGCACTGTGAACGGCATTGCAAAGTAGACACGGGGAAACCACACTGACTCATTCTTCCAGTCCATGACGGTCTCCAAAAACCTCTCACGTCCGAGATCGTGCCGCGTTCGGCCAGTATCCTTGAACAAGCGCTTCTCGACCACAGACTGGGTCGATATACCCGCATGGTCAAAGCCCGGAACAAACAACACGGTTTTGCCCAGCATCCGATTCCTACAAACAAATGAGAACCGACGACGCGTCAGATGCGTCCACATCATCAGGATGGTGCCGCTGACCATCGCACAAGGGTGTCTTGGATAGCTGTCGTCAAGCCGTGTCCAATGTGCAGACTTCCAGTGACGTTCGGCGGCGGAGCAGGGATGACGAAAAGACCTTCGGGCTTGATTTGGCCATCGGGAGTGAATTGAGGTCGGAAGAATCCTTCTTTCATCCACCAGTCGTACCAAGCGGCTTCGACCGCGATGGGATTATAGCCGGCAGCCATGGGCTCGTTGGTATCTGCATCGCGAGTGGGATATCGAACTAGATCGGGTGCAATCCGGCACGTACCCTTTTTCTCTCCGGGGGGTGTCTTGTTCACGAAAGGCGGTTCGACATCCTTCTTCTCCTTCTCCTTCTCCTTCTCCTTCTTGTCTCCGGCTGCAGGGGAGGATGCAGCAGCAGCTTTGAGTGCGTTCTTGGCTGCAAATTTCGCGGCCTTCTCTAATCGTTTCTGCTCGTTCTTCGCTGAGTAGTGGTGTGAGCTGGCTGTCGTCTGGCGCGAAATCGGAGCGCGGAGCGAACCTGCGTTTTTCGAATTGGGCGCATCGCCAGCGGGTGCAGGAGATGAGGACATCCGGCGCAGAAGGATCCCGTGGGTTCGCGGTATTGGGAAGAGTGCAGGAGATTTGATCAGTTTCTGAAAAGCGCGCATGCATGACTCGATCCTGGGCCCGTGACTGTCAAAAGTTTCGGCTATCTAATCTAATCTACTGAAGTTTATCGAGTTTGGTGTTCGCTCAAGCTAGCTGGTAGGCAACACCTGCCAGATTTTATGACTGAGAAAGGAGCTAGGTACCATTTGCGTCCCGTGAAAACTTCCACGGGAACGGCTTCAACGGTTTCACTCAATTGTGAAGGGAGATGGTGGGACCCCCTTCCGAGTCAAATTCTATCCGCAGGTGGCCGTGCAGTGAGAAACAGTGAAGCTCCTCAGCAATTGGCGGGGGGGTCCAATTAGCTCAGGAGCCTGGGTTGTTCACTCAGTTTCTACTACTTCCGCTCCGTGCGAAGCACTTTACTGCTCATTCGGAGCATGACTTCAGTTCTGCCACTCTGCCGAGACTGGTGCCCAATTGCGCTTCTCCCAAGCACAATCTGTAGATGGTGCACAGTAGTATCAAGTTTTCAAGGGCTGAGGATTTAAACGCTGCGACAGAGATTCAATATTGTCGTCGTCCTCTCTGCCGGCTTTAATGGAAGATTGGTCAGAAGAACGGCCGGTTTGTCGAAGAAGCTCCAAGTTTTAATGGCGACAGAAGACTGTAGGAGCCTCCCCACTTCAAAATTGGCCACTTGCAGTGATTAGGTCTGGATTTGCCCAGTTATTACAAACAAATTATCATGATACAAGCGTGGAAGTGGTTTGCAAGTGCTCCCGTTCCGGCATCCGGCTCTTTCTACAGAAGGCACTCAAAGTTGGAGAGTGTTGCGCGCAAAGAAACGGCTGGAGAGGGTCAGAACGCGGGAGGGGCGGGTATGCGAATGTCCCACCTGGTAGAACGCTGCTGGACATCGCCATCAAAGTTGCCCTCAACGTCAGCACCAGCGTTGGCGCGGCGGAAACGGAGCATGCGGCGACTGGGAATGTAAGCATAACTCAATAAAAAATGGAACGAGACTCACGCAGCGGTAGGAACGTCAGTGGCGGAGGCCGCAGCAGCAGCATCAGTCGCAACGGCAGCATCGGTGGCAGCAGCAGCGTCAGTGGCAGTAGCGTCGGTGGCAGTAGCGACATCAGTGGCGGCCGCATTGGCGGCACAAGGGTCGGTGGCAGTGGCGGCGGCCGTATCGGTGGCAGAAGCGTCGGTCGCGGCGGCAGCCGAGTCGGTAGCGGCGGCGGCAGAAGAGTCGGTAGCAGTGACGTCGGTGGCAGTAGCGTCGGTGGCAGAGGCGACATCAGTAGCGGCCGCATTGGCGGGACAAGCAGCAGCGTCAGTGGCGACAGCAGTAGCGGCCGCGTCGGTTGCAGCAGCTGCGTCGGTTGCAGCTGCGTCGGTTGCAGTGGCAACATCAGTGGCAGCAGCGTCGGTGGCAGCGGCGGCGCCATTATCGACAGCCGTGGCGCCGGTATCGACAACACCAGCACCAGTATCAACGACACCGGAACCAGTATCGACAACACCAGCACCAGTATCGACAACACCAGTGCCAGAAGTGATAGCACCAGCCGCAGCCGCAGCGGCGGCAGCAGCAGCAGCGCCAGCATTGATTACGCCAGCAACCCCAGAGCCGGTGCTGACAGTTCCAGCGCCGGTATCAACTACGCCAGACCCGGTACCAACAGCCCCAGCACCGGTGTCAACAACCCCAGATCCGGTGCTCACTGCTCCAGCACCGGTATCGACCACGCCGGAACCAGTACCAACAGTGCCAGCACCGGTGTCAACAACCCCAGATCCGGTGCTCACTGCTCCAGCACCGGTATCGACCACGCCGGAACCAGTACCAACAGCGCCAGCACCGGTGTCAACAACTCCGGATCCAGTACCAACAGCTCCGGCGCCAGTGTCGACAACTCCAGATCCAGTGCTAACAGCTCCAGCACCGGTGTCGACCACCCCACTGCCAGCACCAGTATCCACAACACCAGTACCCGCACCAACAGCTCCAGCGCCAGTGTCGATGACGCCAGTACCGGCATCGGTCGCGGCGGGAGCGGCTGCGGCTGCGGTGTCAGTGACGGCGGCAGCAGTGTCGGTAACAGCAGCGGTGGCAGCGGCGGTGTCGGTCACAGCGGCGGCCGAATCAGTCACGGCAGCGGCAGTAGCAGACGCGGAGGCGACAGTGGCAGAACGGGAGGCGGCCGCCGCAGAACGAGAAGCCGCTGCTGCAGAGCGGGAAGCGGCGGCTGCAGAACGCGTTGCGGCGGCAACGGCAGAACGGGAAGCAATCGCGGCCGACCGTGAAGCAGCAGCTCCCGTGCGGGTGGCGGCCGCAGCAGAACGAGAGGCGGCCGCGGCCGAACGGGAAGCTGCAGCTCCAGAGCGGTTCGCTCCCGCAGCAGAGCGGGTCGCGGCGGCAGAACCAGTGGCAGCAGCCTTAGCGGCGCTCTGTGAACTGCATTAGTCGCGTAGACATGCAAGGCAAACGCGCATACCTTGCCAGCGGCCGAAGCGGCAGCGCCCTTCTTTCCGGCTACACTCTTGCTGGACGCCGTGCTCGCCTTGCCGGCGGTCTTGCTGGCTGCTGCACTAATCTTCGCTCCTTTGCCCACCTGGGAAGCCACGGTGGGTTTCGCAGCATTGGAAGTCTTGACGACGTTGGTCGTTTTCGCGCTCTGGGTTGCCTTGATGGCTTTGCTGGCCGGAGCTGCTTTGCTTGTTTTGGCTGCGTTGGCTGCGCTGACAGCTTTGGTTGCTTTGGCCGCTGCGGTAGTCTTAGCCACATTGGTGGCCTTGACTGGCGCAGATGCTTTGACCGGTGCGGGGGCTTTGACCGGTGCAGATGCCTTGACCGGCACGGGGGCCTTGACAGGTGCAGGAGCTTTGACTGGTGCGGGAGCCTTCACTGGTGCAGGAGCCTTGACCGGTGCAGGGGCCTTGACCGGTGCAGCTTTAACCGGCGCAGGGGCCTTAACCGGCGCGGCTTTTACTGGCGCGGCTTTTACTGGCACGGCTTTGACTGCTGGCCTCGCTGCTTTCCTAGCAGCCCTGTTCACGAGGTCCTGGTCCTCGGCAGTGCCTTCGGCATCAGCGGCATCTCCGGTCGCTCGTGGGGAGTGGACAGTGATGGTGATGGAGGCATCTGCAGCGGGGACAGCAGCAGCGTTGGGACTGCCGCCCGAGCTAGTCAAACCCCGACCCTGAATGAAAGGTCAATCACGTTGAGGAACAAACAAAAACCAACATACCAGGTGCAGGCCCACAGGCGCCGCGACGACAGATCCGGCCAAAGAGGCAATGAGAGGAAGCGTTGCGACGGAAAAACGCATGGCGAACGCGAACGAAGGAAGGTGTTCGGTAAAGTTTCAATGAAAAAATGCGAAAATGTGCGCTGCACTGGAGGGCTGGAAAAAGCAGTAAAAAGCCTGCGGCAAAAGCGAAGAAAACGAAGATGAAGAAAATCCAACAACCACAGGCTGGAGGGAAAAGTTGTAATGAAAGGGCAAAAGAGCAGACCACAATACGGTTAGGTCGGTTCGCCTCGCCTTATATACCCGAGCAAACCCGAACGCGGAGCGTAACCCATGATGTTCGATGATCGGTCCTTGGCACACACCGTCTGGCCATGAATGATGGTTTCAACCCTCTCCGCACGACACCGGACGTCTCTAGAGTGAAAAATTTGTTGCCAACCACTGCCGATGGGAAACTGGATGAGAACCACGCATTCAACAGATCTTCGTCTCGGTGCAGAGCGAAGCTCGGACCACGAGTTAAGGCAGTAACACGCTCGGTGGCACGTTGCGAGTTGCATCCCACACAGTCCTTGCAGTCATTTCGTTTCGGAGAAGTCTTGGATTTCACGACACCTTGAACGTCGCGAGTCTTCGCGTAACCGTGTCCAAATTAGGCTGTGTTCCGGTGCACCCACGAAAGCTGTCGAGAGAATCTTGGATCCCCGCCAGCCATCAGTGCCACTCGTTCTCGGACTGCTTGGGTGTGATCAGAAGTTCACCAGCCAGAGTACGCTGTGAGACAAAGCCAGTTTGCAGTCGCAAGCCTACAGCAACAAATCGCCTCTTCCGCCAGGTTTTAGGGTCTAACCGTTACTGGGGCTTCAATATAGGCTCAAAGATATCATCAGATTTACTGCAAAAGAGTCAGCGAAGGGATGCTCGCTAGAAACCAGGGCCGCACCTGCACAGAGGTATCTACATTCGGTCGTCCTAGATATCCACATGGTCGGCTGCAAGCGATTGGGCAGAAAGGGGGTGGATCACAGATTTACCATGCAGGTGCGATGTGCCGGGGATCAGCGGGGTGGACGGCGATTACAGTGTCCCCGAGCATCGTCTCGCGTCGGGTCATAGCGACGGTGATAGTTTCATATGGGTCTTCGATTGTTGTGCGGCAAGGAGACCAGTTAATCTTCGCACGCAAGTGGGCACGTCGGCTGGCGAGGTAGATCACACCCTCTTCGTGTAGGCGACAGCAAATGTCAATCACAAATTTGTTGCCTGTGCACAATTTGCAGTGGGTTGTGCCACGAACAGTGGAGTGCCGATAGGATGGACCCGAACTTCGTCCACGGTCAATACTACGCGTCCGTGATCATAACTGCCACAGCGTCTCTGCAGTTGGTGTGTGATTTGGTTCTGGTCACTCGAGTAAAATGGTGAACAGGACGACGAAGTAGACGTTCAGACCTTTGCACGTGAGCTCAATCCTGCACACGCCCGTTTTCGCCCCGGATGGCGCCTTATTCACAAGAGATGGTTCGACATCCTCCTTGTCCTTCTTCTCTTTCTCCGTCTTTTTCCGGCCTGGAGGTGCAAAGGATGATGCAGCAGCAACAACAACCTTGACAGAATTATTTGCTGAAGATTCCGCGCCGTTTTCAATCTTTCCTGCTCGTTCTTCGCTGAGTATTGGTTCGAGCTGTCGTCTGCCGCTAAATCGAAACGCGCGGCGAGCCAGCGTTCTCACAATCAGACACATCGCGAGAGGGCACAGAAGACGACCACATATGGCGCAGAAGAACCTTGTCGGTTCGCTCAGAGAATCGAGGGTACCGGTACTTGGCGGTCTTGACCAGTTGACAGCGCCTGTATGTGACGGACGCGGGCCTGTGACTGTCGAAGCTGCCACAATCTAATCTAATCTATTGAGGATCCCTCAATTTCCGTGTTGGCTTGGGGTCAAGTTTTACGGGCGACATGTCAGTGAGTTGCTCCCTGCACATGTAGATAGGTTAGGCATCAATTCGAATGGATACGGGAGTCGGCATGTATAAACACCGTCTTCCGCGTCATCGTCCTCGATCAGTCTTATGCAAAAGAAATTTCCGGGCAAAACGACAGCTCCAAATGAACATGGCGAATCGACGTGAAATCCATGCATCTGAGGCTCAGAGCATCGAGTTGGGGAGATTCACAGCAAGTGCGCCAGTGCAGGAAACAACACCAGCCAAGAAAGGTCACCCAACACCCAAATCAGGCGAGCGATAGGGTAGACCTCTCCCGACTGAGTTTACCTAGCGAGCAGGCAGCTTCAGACGTTTGATAATTGGGTCTGAATTTGTCCAGTGATTACAAGCCAACTGTCATAATACAGGCGTCGAAGTGGCTAGCAAATGGTCCATGTGAAAGCCAATCCAGGATCTCGCCCTTTCTACGAGGAAAACACTCAAAGTTGGAGACGGTTGCGCGCGATGAAACGGCTATAGAAGTGTTCAGAACACCTATCAGGCCGCAACAGGGGCGACACTCACCTGGAGGAGCGCTGCTGGACATCACCGTCGAAGTTGCCCTCGACGTCGGCACCGGAGTTGGCACGCTGCTGGACATCGCCGTCGAAGTTGCCCTCAACGTCGGCACCAGCGTTAGTGCGGCGGAAACGGAGCATGCGGCGGCTGGGACTATTAGCATGACGGAATATCAAGCAGAGACGACACTCACGAAGCAGAGGCATCGGCAGGGTCGCTCGCGCTCGAGGCACCGGACAAAGCTGCGGCAGTGGCAGCATCGGCAGCGGAAGCATCAGCCGCGTCGGTAGAGGCAGCGGCAGCAGCGGAGTCGGTGGCAGCAGCAGCGGAAGCGTCAGTGGCGGCGGCAGCGGATGAATCGGTGGCGGCGGCAGCTGCAGCAGAGTCCGTAGCAGCAGCCGCGGAAGAGTCCGTAGCAGCGGCCGCAGAGGAGTCAGTGGCAGCGGCGGCAGCAGAGTCGGTGGCAGCGGCGGCAGCAGCTGAGTCGGTCGCGGCCGCCGCCGCAGAGTCGGTGGCAGCTGCTGCGGACGAGTCAGTGGCAGCGGCAGCAGAGGAATCCGTTGCAGCGGCAGCGGCAGCAGAGTCGGTGGCAGCGGCGGCAGCAGCTGAGTCGGTCGCGGCCGCCGCCGCAGAGTCGGTGGCAGCTGCTGCGGACGAGTCAGTGGCAGCGGCAGCAGAGGAATCCGTTGCAGCGGCAGCGGCAGCGGAGTCGGTGGCAGCAGCAGTGGCGTTGGAGGCGGCAGCCGTGGCGCTGGAGGCAGCGGCGGCGGTGGCGTTCGACGCAGCGGCGGCCGCAGAGTCCGTGGCAGCAGCGGCAGCGGCGGTGTTCTGCACAGAAGGCATCAGCAATGGGCACTGCTTGAGCATGAGCGCAACATACGTTGGAAGCAGCAGCGGCCGCGGCGCCGCCATTGTTGTTGTTGTTGGCGCCCTTGTTCTTGTTGGCAGCCTTGCTACCCTTCTTCTTGCTAGCCATCTTGCCCTTCTTGCCACCCTTGGTCTTCTTGGTGCCCTTGCCCTTCTTGGCGCCTTTAGCCTTGGCTCCCTTGCCTTTGGCTGTGGCTTTGCCGGAAGCAGCAGAAGCTTGCGTGCTGTTGCCGGAAGCAGCGGCGGCCGCAGAAGAGTCGGTCGCTGCAGCAGCCGCAGCGGAGTCTGTAGCCGCAGCAGCAGTCGAGTTGGAGGCCGAGTTGTCGACAGCGGATGTCGTGGCGTTGGAGGCAGACACAGTCGAGTTGGCGGCAGAGGCAGCAGCGGCAGTGGAGTTGTCCGCAGCAGCAGCAGCAGTGGAGTTGTCCGTAGCAGCAGCAGTGCTGTTGCTGCCGACGGTGGCCCCGGTAAGGGTTCCGACGGCGGCGGTAGAACTATCCTTAGCAGCCTGGTCGAATGTTGTCGAGCTAGTCAGAGCCCGGCCCTTGAGTGAAAGTTTAGTGAAGGGCCGCAAGAGAGATCGAAAACATACAAAGTGTAGGCTCACAGGCGCCGCGATGACGGATCCCGCAAGGGAAGCAATAAGAGGAAGCGCTGCGACAGAGAAACGCATGGCGAACGCGAACGAAGGAGAGTGTTGGGTAAAGTGTCGATGAAAGGATGCGAATGTGTGCGCTGCACAGGAAAGTCGGTGAAGGCAGTTACAGAACGCGGCACAAGCGACGATGAAGATGAAGAAAGTCCGACAACCACAGGCTGAAGGAAAAGGATGTAATGAAAGGGCAAAAGACCAGACCACAATGCTATCATTCCCGTGTCGTCGCACTTTATATACACCCAACGCACCCCAGAATCCATCATGATCGGAGATCGTTGATTCCTCATTGGCAAACATCGGCCGACTTGGCTGATGGTTTCTCTACTTCCCAGGCAACCCCAAATCTAGAAAGAAAATCTGTTAGCAACCACTTCGCCGGTGAGAAGTCCGTTCCGCAGCCTTCTGCAGTCCCCGAATAATTCATCTTATTGTGCGCCGCGGGAAGTCTGAAGGCACAGTGCGCGAGTCGAGGTGCGTGACCTCGAGCAAACCCAGAGCAGTGGATTCTCGCCTGACGACGCGTTGCCAAGTCTCACCACCAAGAGTTGTAGCAAGCCGAAGCTGTCACCGCCTGTGCCCGTGCTTCGACCCAAACAGGGTTCTTAGGGCCTGGCAACAACTCCCCCTGCAACGCTCCAAGGACTCCACGGATGACGAATTCACCCAGCTGGGGCGCTGATTCCCGCGTTGGAGAGTGGAGCACGATGTCTTCTTCGATCCACCGTGAACATTGGCATCGGTGCAACACGCGAAAACTCGCACTCCAAAGTTGGTCGTTACGTCTAATCTCAAGGTGATCTGCCAATTGATGTGCACAGAATCAAACGCGGGGAAGCAGATCATACCGATGGACACCCTCGCTGAAGTAATCTGCTTGGCCTAGGCCCTAGATCGGAAATCAGGCATTTGACCACCATCTTTGCCGAGTATTCAGTATGTGTGAAGTAGCAAGTCAGACAATTATCAATGATTTTGGGTGTTCTTGTTATCCTCCCTGTATCCATTGAAATTTCCAAGCATTCCCTTGCAGCAAAGCGCTAATTTGGCGTGGACGAAGACACCTGTGTGGACGAAGAGTGATCGGACATCACAGACTTCGCCGTTGATCGGGAATGTTCATCCGGCGAAGTGACACTGACAGGTCGGCGACTGCCGGTAGAATCAGTCGATACCAATGCCATGGTTTGAGTCGCAACAACCGAAACCACGCGGTCTTCTAAATGGCCTTCGAGAAGAATCACATCACGGAACCGTCTATTAATGGACCTCACCAACCAGAGTGCTCCTGATGTGAAGTGCAATTCAAACCCACGTCTTTTAAGTAAGAGCAGAAACAGATAATGGCCTAACCTGTAGACAAAGAACGCACCTTCTTCAAGTTCAAAATAATCTCAAACCAGGATCGCGTCCAGCCGAACAAGAATAGAATTCAGAATCCAGATCCGAGACCCCGCGCTTAGGGTCTGAATCGAACGGTAAGCATCCGGCGTACGACCACGAGGCTCAAGCTGCCTGTCTTGGTAACTAGAACTAGAGTTTGATCGCTGCAGTGATTACAGGAAACGCTAAACTTCCAAAATTCTGCCGTCGTCGTCAGAGTCCTCGTCGTTGTCCGCGTTACCCAACGCCAGTCGACCGACGGATCCTGACAGCTGTTGCCCCATCCCTGCGCCAGCATCCTCGATCTCGATGCCCTCTGACGGGTCGACTTCCGGTTCTTCTCCTTTGATCAAAGTGACTAGCCGCTCGATGTGCTCTGAGATCTGCACATCCTTATCGTGAGCAGCCGGCGCAAACATGCCTCCAGAGACGCACCTTGTCCACCTTCTCGGCCTCATGGGCGGCTCGCACAATCTGGTAGACCCCGTGCTCTCTCTGATAATCACGCCCCCAGCGGGTGTGACACAGCAGCAGCAGCGTCTCGACGAAGATCAGCCGAATTGCCTCATCCGGCTCGCGTGTTTTCGTTGGCGGCAAAAACTGCACTGCATCTGGAAGTGATTCCTGGTCTTCTAAGTCCAGCTCTTCTGGGCCGGCGAGCGGAAGAAGCAGATACGGGAGCGCGTCAATCCCAGGTGCTTCGTCCGTCGACGGCGGTACGCAGATCGTGGCCGAGTCGGGACTGAGAATCGCTTGATGCCCAGCGCTGTTGAAGGCACAATTTCTGGGTAATTTAGATTCGCGAAACCTTCAGCATGCGATCGGCTCACTTCAACAGGGACGCCACGCCACCCCTGCGAATAGTATCCCCATGCCCCGTGAACACCACGAGTTTCGCAAGCGGGTACTCCAGCTGACCACCACTCTTCTCCTGAACCCCGAATGTCCGCGGTTGGAGAAAAAACGTGCGCCCTGCAGACGACTGATTGAATTATTATGAGCATGGCAGCAACATCATGATTATCAGCACTCACCATCGACAGATTCGCAAACACGCTGGCCAGGAAATGCACATAGCCTTTCCGGGCTCGTTTCGACACATCAGTCTCTTCATCAGCCCCCTGCACGAATGCGTCCACTAGCAGCGGTAGCGCAAGGACGGACTTCGCCGGCTCGTCCGGGTATGGGACGGGTGCTGGTGCCGTTGCGCAGCGCGACTGCACCGGGTAGAATCCATTCGGCAAAGATGGCGCCAAGACGACATCGACCGACATCGTGAGTACAGCGGCGCATGCAGAGGAAGAAGCGGTGAGATTGGATAGCAGCATTGATGCGAGGTCTGCCAGTACCGACTGAGGGTTCTGCAACATGAGATTAGACAAGAAGATGGTGTAAAAGATCCAAGCGCACGATGATATAAGATACTATGAACGAGAGGAACGATGGCTCGGACAGTGTCGAGGCCAGCATCGGAGAGTCGGAAAGGTTGACCAATGCGCGAAAGGCGTCATGAGAGACACTCTGCGGGTGCAAGATTAGATAGCCATTTGGACGCATAACAAGCATTTACAAGCTGATCCCGACAAAGCAGCTTCAGGTCCCGCAGAATCTCATTATCCTGCTGTTTTTTCAGACCGCCAACCTGTGCGCCTTCGAAGAAGATGTTTCGGTGCGGGGATCCCTTGGGCGTCTGGGGCAGGAGATTGGACAGTGCGATTTGCCGCACTTGCGGGTTGCGATCACGGAGGAAGGGGATAAGCTGGAAACTTGCGGACGTTCATTAGGAGGGACACCGAATTCGATCTGCGACTGACTGACTTCTCGTAGTTGGGCCTCCATGGCTGGTCGAAAAAGAGAAATCGATATGATGGGACGTGGGGCATCTGATTGCCGACATGATTGGCATTTTGACAAGCGGCGCCAAGTCTCATCTTGGACCAGACGACTTGCCTCGCACCTCCTCGCACCGTTCCACTCCATGCCAAACGATGCCATAAAGCACCAGCCTCTCTGTGCTATCCCTCATCCACGCCTTGCACACGATGGCACATCGCCCTACAGTATCTTTCTCTTCAAGCCTCAAACTCTCGATCAATCCACCACACTCGACAGTTCGGTGATCCGACTCTCTGAGGGCTATGTCTAGGCAACTGGCATCGACGTTGGCCTGGTGAACCACTGCCACCGCTCCCCTATATATGCGGCTTTCCCCCGTCAGAGCAAAGGTTTCCAGCTGAGCTCGCCGGCCTTCGTGCCCCCTTCTTCTTTTCTACATTTCCAAACTTCCAGTCACTCGTTCACTCCGTTCCATATTCTCGCTCATCATGGTCCGAGTTTGCTTGCATTCCCAGTCCATCTTCTTGTTTTTCTTCCTCTTGCTTTCAATTATCCCCTTTTCGATGGCTTTTCCGGTGCTCGGCCGAGAATCCCCGGGCTCTGTTGCGCTCAGACGGGTGGGTGCGAATCAGAAACGACTCGCCGAATACGGGTGCGTGATCATCCGTATTATCCCCTGTCTAATATGTTCTGACAAACAAGCCCTTCGCTAGAGATTTCCGTGAACACCGTATGCGCGCGCAGGCTGTTCCGGAACCCGTAGCCCCCATCCGAAAACCCGTGATCCGGCGAGGGACTGGTCCGAAGGGGCGTGCCTCTGCGATTATCGCTATGGGCTCTGATTCGTGAGCTTTCCTGGCCCTCGGGCATGTCTGTCTATCTAATTTGGGACAACTGCAGCCTATGATCCTAGCGCTTCGACGATCTCGTCTGAAGGCATTCCACGCCCCGGTCTTCTTCGAAGTTGCAGATGCACTTAGACCGTGATGAGATAGGCCATGTACATTCATCTGTCAAGGATCCCTTCCTCCCGGCGGTTGACCGGTCGGGTGCCAACATCTAGACCGTTCTTGCAGGCTCCAAACATTGATAGCCTTGATATAAATAACGGACAGTGTGGTGCTCAGCAATTCTTCGACATGTCCGTCATTGATAGTCCCTGTTGAATTCCTCGTCCCGCCGGGTCCTGAAGCCTTCCTGGATCTTCGAACGTTCCAAGTTTGATTCCTGCATCGCAAGTCTCCTATCATGTGACTTGTGCCAGTCCTTTCAAGCAGCCAGGGACCGATACTAAAACCCAAATCAGCTGCAGAGAGAGATAAGCTACCGTGCATGTGTATGTTTCAAAAGACAGTTATTCCGAAGAAATGCAAGGATAATCTGAAGTCCAACAAGCACCGCGGGCTCAGAGTTATGGAATAGTGACATTTCCAACCTGCCATGAAGATCACGAATGCTGTGATCGAATTCGATTGAGAGTGGACATGGATAAGGTCCGACGGGTCTTACCCGTATTGGACCCTCGAAGGTCTCTTTCAAGGCTTAAAAGGCCGTTCTGTCTGTGTTCAACAGCACAGAGACTCTCTACCGCTCAGGCTCAAAAATACCCAATGCTTTCTTGGTTATTTCCCGTTTGGGCATCCCCATCATCTGCCTCTTCTGCACCGCGGCTCGCGTCCGAACCCAAGCCGGACGCGTCAGTACCGACTCCTTCATCCTGCGAAGACATCCTCAGCGACCCTCTCGAGCACCCCGTCCTCGACCGCTTGCGCGCGCTCATCGCGTCCGGCGGCGGCGAGTCCTGGCCCCCGCGCGCGTCCTCGCACGACACCTGGCCCACCCCACTCCGCGCATACGACACCGTGTACCGCGCCGTCGCGCCCTATTTCCCCACCCCCGAATCCTCCACGGACGATGCGCACAACCGCGCGCTGATTGACGCGTACCGGGCGCGCATGCGTGCGCAGCTGGCGGAGCACGTCGACCTCGCAGACGTGCGCGCCGCACTCGAACGGGCGGCGGGGCCTGACCCTGAGTCCTGCACACAGTCGGCTTGGCTTGGGATCTGGCTCGTGCTCTCGTTTCTGCGGCATTCGTACCGGTGTGTCCGATCACTCGTCTTCTCCGCCGTAAATTGAATCTTGGTTAGCTGGGGCGTGACTCCGATCGTGAGTGAAGCCCAGAACGAAAAGTCTGTCGCGTTCCCGGCAGAACTCGACGTCTCGTGGAGCTACATGCAACAGCATTTCGGCACGACGTCGCCCGGGGGGTGCATGACCTCGCTCATGTACGCGAACTTACGGGCCGACGACACGTTGGAATACAGCGTCACTGCCGGGCTCTCCCCCGAGCACCGAAGCACAGAGCTATGGAACACCAGACTTCTTTGTGGGATGGACGAAAGGGTTTGTTTCTTCGGCTTGTTTTCTATTCCCCTCGCTGATGGGAGGTGAACAGTTGCTGCCCATGTACCACCTATTCGCGCACTCGATTGTATATCTTGAAGGCGGTGATCTTCTTGCTGCTCATTCAGCCTTGCAAGCTGCCAACCAGGTGCTGCGAAATGCGTTCAAGTTTTTCTTCGGCTCGATGGTAAATGCGAAACTGAACCAACAACTATGGCTCGCCTACGTCCAGGGCTACCAAGGCTGGACGCTGGACGGCATCGACGGCATCTCCGGTGGCCAGAGCCTCGCATTCCGCACCCTCGACTCGTTCTTGGGCGTCCGACCGTTTCCGGAACCGCACAAAGAGTCGCTCCACCTCCCAACCGCCCAGCGGGACTGGCTGAATTCCCTGAGAGACTACGATATACGCGACCGCGTCAGGGAGATGGGGGACGAAGCGGCCGGACTGAAGGAGGAGCTGGACGCGCTGGTTAAACAACTACGGGTGCGCTTTCTCACCTTTCGGGGCGGCAGAGAAATGCTTGCTGATACGAATGTCGTAGTTGTGGCGAATGGGGCATATGAAACGCATGGAGGTCTACGAGTCTGTGCGCAGGCCTGAACGGAAAACAATGACGGCTGGAATCTCTGTCGTCGATGCGGCCAGTGAGGATCTCATGATCCGACACCTCAAGCAGCAGCTGGGACAGCGATTGGCGCAGACGGTTTAGTTGATGATAATTGAATGTACACACACTGACATCTCTCACATACTTATACCGATCTAGACTAGCATAAATAGACATTTGTATCTTTGTATCTTTGGCACTGACTCGCATCGGATTATCAGATTATCATGAATCGGGGTTCTGACGTCTTAGGCTTCTACTTCAATTGCATCTCAAGGTTTATTGTTTGGTTTCCCATGACAACAAGTGACTAGTAGGCAGCCCACCCTCCATCGACAGGAACGCAAGCACCATTCAGCGGGCCATCCTCGCTCAGCGCGAGAACAAATTTGGCGACATCCTCGAGTTTATTCATTGGCGGCTCCATCGCCATCGTCGAGCGCAAGACGGCCATGAACTCCATATTCAATCCACCATTCGGGTCGACGATGCTCGTAGCCATACCGCCCGGCAGGATTGCATTGCAGCGGATACCCTTCTTGCCTAGAAACGCGGCCGTGTTCTTCGTCAACCCGATTACGCCGTGTTTGCTCGCCGTGTATGCTGCGCCGGCGGCCCCGCCTCGAACTGAGGCTGCGGATGCCACATTGAGAATGGCACCGCCGGCGGGGGACTGCGCCAGCATAGCTTTGACCGCCTCGTCTAGGCAGATAAATGTGCCGGTGAGGTTGATGCCGACGACGCGGTCCCATGTCTCGCGCGCGACGCTGCCCACGGGCTCGAAGCGATCCATGACTCCCGCGTTGTTGATCCAGACGTCCAGCCGTCCTGTCTTGGAGACGGCGAGATCGACGACGGCCTTCACTTGCTGCGTGTTTGTAATGTCCGCGACGATGGAGTGGGCAGTGGGGCCCAGCGCAGCGACCGCGTCCTGCAGCAGAGACGCATTGAAATCGCAGATGACCACTGTGGCACCCTCGTCGACGAACGCCTTGGCGATAGCTCTTCCCAGTCCCTGGGCTCCCCCGGTGACGACCACGGATTTGTTAGCGAATCGAGACATGAGTGCTAGCGGAAGGTCGGCTGAGTATAAGTAGGCAACCTTCGACGACTGCGAAAGCAATAGATTGCCGGATAGGTGCTTGATAAAACAATAACAGCTCGTCGGATTGTGCTTCTGTTCCGGATAGGGTGGCCATGCCGGATGGATTAGGTCCAATTACCCTCTACGAATGACGAATGCCAGGCCTGGTGGGTAGGCAGTTGTGATGCGTTTAACGAGAGTGAATAGATGACAGGTGTCTAATCTGATCCGGGTTCGTCACATGCCCTTACTCCATGTGCCCCAATTTTCAATGGCGATGCCCAGGCAGGTGATACTTAAGTAACGGTCATGTACCCGATGAGTGTGGCGTACCCTGACATATCCTACTGAAATCTGCTAATTAAATAAACAAAAATCCTTGGGATCCAACAGTGTTCAATGGTCAGGCAAATCATGTCTGCTCCTGAACCTCTGAGATGAGACCTTCCATGAGATACGGAAATTTACCATTGCTTTAGGAAATTGTGACCCATTTTCCTCGAGTGAATGTCACTGGAAGTGTTCTGGAGCATGGAGGTCGAATGAGGAAGCATACACCGGACACATACAGTGGAGCGTGGATCCAAGCTGTTTCTCATTGGGACCCTGTAAATCAACTTATTTACCTACTGCATCTACTACTTTAATGGATATGACAAGACAGCAAAATGGCTAGTAGGCAGACCATCCTCCATCCACCGGAACGCAAGCGCCATTCAGCGGGCCATCCTCGCTCAGCGAGAGGACGACTTTGGCGACATCTTCAAGTTTGTTTAGTGGCGGTTCCATTGCCATCGTAGATTGCAGGACGGCCATGAACTCCGTATCCAAAGCACTTGGGTCGGCGATGTTCGTGGCCATGCCCCCAGGCAAAATAGCGTTGCAGCGGATGCCTTTCTTGCCTAGAAACGCGGCCGTGTTCTTGGTCAACCCGATTACGCCGTGCTTGCTCGCCGTGTAAGCTGCGCCAGCCGACCCGCCCCGAGCTGACGCCACCGACGCCACATTGAGAATGGCGCCGCCGGCGGGGGACTGCGCCAGCATGGCTTTGACCGCCTCGTCTAGGCAGATGAACGTGCCCGTGAGATTGATGCCGACGACGCGGTCCCATGTCTCGCGTGCGACCGTTCCCACAGGCTCGAGGCGATCCATGACCCCCGCGTTGTTGATCCAGACATCCAGCCGTCCTGTCTTGGAGACAGCGAGATCGACGACGGCCTTCACTTGCTGTGTATTTCTGATGTCCGCAACAATGGAATGGGCGCTGGGGCCCAGCGCGGCGACTGTGTCATGCAGCAGAGACGCATTGAAATCGCAGATGACCACTGTGGCACCCTCGTCGACGAACGCCTTGGCGATAGCTCTTCCCAGTCCCTGGGCTCCCCCGGTGACGACCACGGATTTGTGAGCAAATCGAGACATGAGCGTAGTGGGCAGGTCTGCTGGGTACAAGTGGACAGCCTGAGACTGCGAAAGTCATATGTTGCGGGAAGGACAATTGATAAAACAATGATAGCTTGTCACATTGCGCTTCTCTTCCGGTTAGGAGGGCCAGGCCGGTTGGATAAGGTTCAACGAACGCCGGGCCTAGCGAATAGTCCGGTGAACAAATGGATCGGAGTAGATGAGCGGTTACTAGGAATGATTGATCATGCACTGTCGGCATCAGGTGAAGGTTTCCGCAGTTGGCTATACCAGGAGATTCGCAGCATTTACAAGCCGACGCGCAGTCCAATGGATGTGAAGTCGAAGTCGAACCCGAAGTCGAAGGGACGAGCCAAGGGGCTGGAGAAGAGTCACGATGTCGTGATTAATAGGAAAACGTGACCTGGACGGACCCTAGAGCAGATTGGAACAGTCAAGATACCAAGTTGCTACATTATTCGAAGCAAGTCCAACAAAGAGGAAATAGATCATAAGGTATGGGTCGTAAAAGTCATCATTGAAACACACCCAAAAACGATCGGTACACAGAAATCCAAAAATACAAAAGGGTGACTTGAACGCGGATTAGAGATGTGTGCAAAGCAAACAAGGATGTTTTGTTCAGCAGTGGTATATATGCGACAACACAGATCGGGTCTAGAAGGGCGACTCGTCCCAAGATTCTGAGCAGCGGGTCAGAGAGCGATCATAAATCGTCATTACCACTCACCCTCAGTGATACTCTTCCACGCCAAGTACAAGACGCTGACAGCAGCAGTTTCAAGGATCGTGGCAACAAAAGAGCCATCGACTTTGGCCGAGGAGCCCTAAATGACATGTGAGTCGATGCTTGCGTAGATATCACAAGATCACAAACCTTGCATATCACCTTGCTCAGGAGAAAGAACGCAAGCTGGCTCAATACGAAGAGCACCGCGGACAGCACGTAGAACCACATGGGCCGCAACTCATTTAGCACCGCCAGGACGATGTACGTCATAATAATGAAGTATATGATCACGGCGCTGATCAAAAAAGTCAGCAGATATCTACGATTAGCACACAAGAGAACGCACACAGCAGGCCATATGCTTGTTAGGACGAACAAGGGGATGCTGTGGAGTGAAGACAGAGGATTCGAGGGGCCGAAGGCGGAAGTGATGTGCAACGCAATATCGAAAGATATGTATGTCGTCGCAGCGAAGAAGAGGAAAGATATGAAGTAGAAGGGGATAAGACTACTGGGCGTCCCGTCCTCGACGACCTGCGTCGCTACTAGACCGTTGGCCAGCAGCATCCAGAAAACAGTGGCAACGACTCCAGCGTGTATGGCCGTAAGAACAATCAAAGCTGTGGAGCCCTGCTCAAGAAAAGAACCCGTGGTAACGAGCTGGAAGGGCAAAGATATGAAGTAAAGCGAAAGTAAAGCCCGCAGCTCGAGGCGACCTGCAAGTAGCGATCAGCTGATTGGCAAGTTTGGATTGCAATCGGGCGTGAGACCCACCGACGGCGGCTTTCCTCCGGCTGGTTTCCCAGATGAGAACGGCGGTGAGAATCATGCTGAGGGCACACACGACAATATTTGCGATATTGCCCAGAGATCCTGCGTGGCCCATACGTGGTATCGCGCATGTCGGATTCACACCCAGACCTGCGGACGACACAGGGAGTGAAGCGTTGGTGAGCACGGTCGGGTCCTCATGTAGGATCTTTCGTGGACGTGCATGAGCATTGGATATGAGTGCTCAATGGTGCTGCGTACCTGGCGGTAGAACAAGTTACACCATGGGTATGACCCTGTGTTACGACAGAGGGTCGAAAAATCACCGAAACGCATTGCGCGTTAGACCGAGAGCGAGTTGCCTGAAGACGGGGAGTGGAGTCCTACGGACAGAGATGGGCCCTGGAAGCCAGGTGGACGAGGGGGTAGCGGCGGGCGAAGGCTGGTGAAGGTCTCCAAGGAAGGGCGGTGGGAGATAATTCACAACAATAGTCAACAATACTGGCGATTTGATCTGGAACGCGTGGGTCTACCCTTCAATGATACCGTGATCGAGGGCCGAGACCGACAAACCGTTCGTTGCCTTCGTGAGGTCCGTGAAGGTTTAGCAAGAGGTCGTGCGTATACAGAAAGTCGTGAGGGTGCTGAGAGCGTTCGGGGAGACGTGTGTAACAAATGTGAGCTCAATGTGCATGCCTAAATCTGTCCGACTTCCCGTCCCGGGCCGTATCCACTGGTCATAACGGGGAACTCAAGCGCGTCCTGTAGCGAGGTGATCGCATTGTGCTGGCTCTCCCCTTCCCCCTTTCAATAAACCTGTCTTACATGATTCAAGCATATCGACTGCGTCCAAGTCACTTACTCCAGGCCTTTGGACCTGTGCCCTTGACTCTGCTGTTCTTCCTCCTCATAGGCATTGTTGTACACGAGCGAAGGGTTGCCAGCTCTGTCGTTCACTTATGATGCCACCTGTGGGCTTTGTCTCTACAGCAAATGTACAGTTGGCAAGGCAGATTCAGAAGGTGGATACATCTCCGAGAGCAAGATCCGACTCGCGCGTATTCATGGTCCTGTGGCCATCGCTACTGACTCGTAGTCCGACTCTGTCTCCGGCATACTTCATTCGGGTTTCGACATATGCCTTCGCCTGCCTACTTCATTTCAAGCTTCCTCTCCGGAGCTCAACGGAAAATCTGAGCATTCTTCGGTGTGCGTCGTCCGGATAAAGGCTGGTGTTGTCTAGAATTGTGGAGGGGGCGCCTTCGGGTTCGTACCTCCTTCGATCTCGTGCCACAAATGTTACAGGCCTCTGGACTGTCGGGAATCTTTTCTGCCACCGTCTTTCGGGGTCGACTCTCTTGATGATACTTCGCATTGTTCTAGTAGAATGACATGTAGATTATGTGTGCGCCAATGAAGCCCAAAGGACAAAGCCATCGCATCCGCCTTGGAGATTTGTGATCGGTGTTTGCCGACACTATTTGCTGCGTCAGACATCAGAGCCACGCCAGTGTGGCCATAATCTACTTCGTCTCTACACCCCGTTCCAAAACACACGAGAGTTCTGCGTTAACGTCGAATCTTGTAGACGCTCAAAAATACTGTGCGATGACTTCTGTCGCTTTCTACCGTTTAGTTTTGACCTTGCTCTCTTTCGCATCCCCACGCAGGCCCATTTTTAGGGCTGCCAGACGATGAATCGTGGTCCATCGCCGATATTCGATGCACCCGAGTTCCCAACCCTTCGAAGAGTGAAGCCGCTGCCGAAGCGGAGGCGCACGGGCCCAGCATCCCACACGGACGGTGACGATCAAGGCGGCCTCCCATCGTTAAGCACCCTTGGCCTTCCCTTTCCTCTGCCAGGCCCCGATGCAACCGCCGAAGAACTCATCGCGCATGCCGAATCCCTGTCCGCTCACATGGCCCTCCAGTCATACTACATGCCGGGCTTGCAGGATATTTTTAACCGGAGTGAGCTCAGTGGCACAGGAAATGGGCATGTGGGCTACTCGGAGGCGGAGGAGGGGGATGACGGGGAGGAGGATATGTCGGATCACTTGCAACAGCCTGGAAACACAAAGAAGCGGAAAGTACCCGCGAACACGTCGGCGATGCCAGGTCATGATCCAGGAGATACCCCATCAGGTGGTGAGGAGGAGGTCTCTGAGCGAGGGATGCCGCCAAATAGGTCGGAAGAGCCCCTCCAGACAATCCCGACGCCCTCGTCACCCTATGCTGGGTTAGGGATCCGCAAGGGTCAGCCGCCACGCATCACGCAAGCGGGGCTGCAACACAAAGAGACACTGAAGAGTCGGAAGCGGCAACTCGCCGCTGTTCTGGGTGCTTTGAGCCACGGAGACACTCTTGCACTCGACCAGGCGCTTTCCAGCAGCTACCAATTCCCTGGCGCTGGGTTTGAGCCTGCGGATCTGCGGGTCCGCATCTCACATCGTTTCGGACCACGTCTGGCTCGTGCTGCTCGATTTTCAGAAAAGTTCAGGCATCCGGACAAAAGTGCGTTCATGGAGTCTGAATTCACGTTTGCGTGTCCCAGCACAAGTGAGTGATTGCTCTCGGGTCTACTTTCAATTTTATCTATCTCTGATCTGTAGCGGCGGAACGGCTTGTCTCCACAAAGGAAGAGGTCGCGGCTTTGCGGTCGCGATTTGAAGCTGAGCTGGCCAGACAAGCCGCCAAGGCTGCGAAGATGGCTGCTGCCAACAAGCTCATGTCCAACCTGCCCTCCAGTAAGTCAAGTAAACAGAAACGAGGCAGCAAGACGCAAACCCGAGCTCGACCGACAAATATCAATCAACCAACCTCGACTACGGCCTCCACGACCACTAATTCGCCGACGACAGAGAACGTTGATCCCGCAACGATGATGGGAATCAAGACCCGCGGGAAGAAGAAGAAACGGTCTGCGTTGGCTAACGCGTCGAACCCCCATCATTTGCGGAATTATGTCCCATCACGGTTGCCTCAATCGGGAGCGACCAACGGGGCGAGCAGCCATCCATACAATGGGCTCGGGCCGCTTGCCCTGCGATTCTTGTCTGCTGACATTCCTCCTCGGCGACGCAGAAATGGGAAACCGGTTCCCATGGGCGATCCGTCTGCGCTCACTAATCCGGCAGACGAGTGGATCTGCCCGTTCTGTGAACACGATCTGTTCTATGGAGATGAGCGAGAGATGAAGCGGGCTGTCAGGAGTCGGAAAAAGATCTTGAAGAGGCGGAGGAGAGCTAGAGAACGGGCCGCTGCTGCTGCAAGCGGAACCAGCACAGCCAAAGCGCCTCCCGAGAAGACGCAAGAAGAATACGAGATGCACCCAGGATATGCGCCCGGCGTCGAGGATATCGAGAACTTGCCGACGCACACCAAGTGGCGGGGTGATCCAGGAAAAGAGCTCCAGCGCGCTGGCGATATAGGATCGGGCGCGCCTGGATGAAACGGCCCATCGTGTTTGGGTGTTAGAATCTCATCCCATTTATAAGTCATTTCAATGTCTCCATGCATACGCATGTATCGTATCTCACACTCGTTTTATCCATCCCTGCATCACGCATCGGTCGACTTGTTGCGTGATTACGGAGGATGCGCGGCATCTTTCTCATCGCTGTCCGATGACGTCAGCGTCCAGAATCTAACATACTCAGACTGTAAGCACTCTCTGTCCGATAATGTGCAGGAGAATGGGCTCGGCGGAACCGTAGGAAAGCTACTATAAGGTAGGGCACTTTAACATTAGCCTAACTCTTCGCTCCGCCGTGGGACAACACCAGTTCTGAGAAGGAATCGTCTGATCCTTCTTTTTCCATGAGTGTTTCGCTTCATCCCTTCTCTAACGAACGCTCTTCGTATATATGTATGTGTACGTATGTACTATGTAAGAGTCGCAGTGTGCTTCGCCTGTTGAGTTGAAAGCATAACATTTTCCACTGCGTATCAATCAGGTGATCATAGTCCAGCCTGTCAGGCCAACACTGGCCGCTTACCCAAAGGTTACCACTCTCCACCATGTCGACGCCTGCGATGGCTTCCGGCGACCTGCTGGACCTCGTCTCGTCGTCAGGTGCGGCCACTATCTATCCTAATGACGACGCCATTCTCGCCGTCCTACAAGCCCGTTTTCGCGCAGACCTGCCGTACACCCGTATCGGCTCCACCCATCTGCTTGTCGTCAATCCCCTCAAAGCACTGTCCAGCGTTAGCGATGCCAGTGCCCGCGAGTACGAGGAACGATGCTACAAGGACACCAATCTCCCCGCCATCGACTCCCCAAAGCCGCTCCAGCCGCACATGTACGAGACGGCTTGCAGGATATATCTGCTCATGCGCCGTCGGGCAGAGCCGCAGATGATTATTCCTCGTGGAATCACGGCGTCAGGCAAGTCCGCCTCATTGCGTCTTCTCTCGAGTCAACTCTTGCGGCTGTCCACGCACTCACGAAAAGAGGCCAAGCTTGCCGACCAGCTCCGCGCTCTGACGACACTGGTCGATTCTTTCGCAAACGCTAAGACGCAAGCGAATCCTGACGCCTCTCGGCATTCCAAACTCGTCGAGATGCACTTCAACGAACGCGGTCGGTTTGCTGGTGCCAAATGTCTGCTATTCGGTCTCGACAAGTCGCGTCTGGTCAAGCTGGGTCACGAGGAGCGGACGTATCACGTCTTCTACCAACTCCTCGCTGGTGCCACAACAGCTGAGCGGGACCAGCTGTTGCTCGAGGATATGTCTGAATATGCGTTGCTGGCGTCGTCCGGCACGTATCGCCTTCCGGCCGGCCCTTTTTCGGATGACACCACCGGCATGGCGGACCTACGCGCGGCACTGCGCACACTTTCCTTCAAACACACGCCCGCCGTCCTCTCCCTCCTTTCCGCCATCCTTGCTTCCACTAACATTACCTTCGTGGCCGCGGACAACAACACCGAATCGTCGACGGTTGCCCCGGATTCCATCCAAGCTTTGCAGGTGACAGCCCGCTTGCTGGGTGTCCCTTCGGACGAATTGGAGAGTGCACTCACGAATCGGAGTGCCTATGTTAGGAAGGAGCTGTACACTGTGCTCTTGAACGAGCACAATGCCGTCAACCAGCGAACTGCGCTTTCCCGGGATCTCTATGCGATCTTAGTTGCGTTCGTCATGGAATCGGCAAATCGGCGCATTGAGCCGCCCAGCGGGACGAACGTGATTGCGATGCTGGATACCCCCGGTTTCTCGGCACCTGCAGCAGCCCTTGGCCCCGCGTCCTTCGAATTGTTCGCCAACAACTTTGCGGACGAACTGGTCCAGGGATGGGTGACGCAGGCTGTGTTTGCGAATGCGGAGGATGTTGTAGGCAATGAAGCGTGCCTAGAGCTGTTCCGCGGTGTGCCTGTGACAGAACCCGCTGTTATCCCCAGCAGAAAAGGAGACAAGGAAGCTCGTGGTATCCTCGGTGTCATCGGCCGAGCTAGCATTGCCTTCAAGACCGGGAAAGGCGCTGACCGGGACCGCGATGAGGAGCTTCTTGCGGAGATGGTCGGCCGTTTTTCGAGCCACGCGTCCTTCGAAACAACACCCCTGCCCCCATCTGCGGGCGGTGTTGGGACCGGCAATCTCACCGCCCGGCCACGAGCATTTGGAATCAATCATTACGCAGGGCAGTGTGCGTATGATGTGCGGGGCTTCGTGGCCGCTGATGCTGATCTGCTCGATGCCGCGCTCGTGACTCTGCTACGGGCATCAACGGTTCCGTTCGTGGCCAAGTTATTCTCGGGCCCCTCTCTTGCCGCCGAAAGCCATGCACGGGATGTCAACACCATTGTCCAGGCGCAGGTTTCTTCTCGTCCATTGCGGGGGCCCTCGCTCGGTGGAGCAGAGGAGCTTGCTCGATTCGACGCCTCCAAGACGCATCCTGCCATGGCCCAGCTCGATGGTACTCTATCCGCGCTCCTTCACGGCTCCAGGGACGGCCAAGCTCAAATGTGGACTGTCACATGTCTCCGTCCTAACGATTCCGGATCGCCCAACTCGTTCGACAAGCGGCGCATCCGAGCCCAACTCCGATCTCTTCTCGTTCCCGCTTTGGTTCAACATGTAAGCGGCGGTGATTACGTGGCAGAGATGGACGCGGATGAGTTCTGTGCTCGGTACGTTCCAACCATGCAAGGGGCACGGAGGAGCGCATCGAGCAATGTGCGCGGGCCAACGGCTGGCGCGAAGGTTCGGACTACCGCTTCGCTGCGGGTCGGATCATGCTCGAGTATGGCGCCTGGAAGATGGTCGAGGACGTGCTAAGAGGGCAGGAGAAACGGGGAGCAGATGACCAAGAGCCTATCGACGAGCCAGATGTCGACGAGACCACCGAATACACCCACGGCCATGCCTATGAGGCAAGCACCGAGAACTTTGGCTACGGCTCTGGCGGTCTGCAGACCCCCGCTGATCCATTTGCTGGCGGCATGCCTGCACCTCCACCGGGAAGCGGAAGCGGCTGGGCTGGCTCTGACTACAAGGGCAGTCCCATGGGAACGATGGAGGGATACCCCGATTCGCCTCTTCCAATGTCCAAGGACGACCACTCGGAGGTCACTGGTGCTGGCGCCCCTGCGACCGGGTTCGTGCAGAAAGATGCTCTGCTTGCCAACAACGAAATGGAAGAGATCCCGTCTAGTCGGGCGCGGCGATTCTGGCTCGGTGTTGTCTGGACCATGACGTGGTTCATCCCAACATTCCTGCTGTCTTCCGTGGGTCGCATGAAACGTCCTGATATCCGACTGGCCTGGCGAGAGAAGGTTGCTATCTTCCTGCTCATCTTCCTGCTCAATGGGATCGTCGTGTTCTACATCGTCGTGTTCGGTCGCTTACTCTGTCCTGAATTTGCCAAGGCCTGGGGAGTGAACGAGGTTGCTCAGCACACGACGACGCAGAACTACTGGGTCGCCATCCAAGGCACTGTGTACGATGTGACCAATTTCGTGCAAGGCGACCACAGTGATATCAATTCGGAGGCGAGCAACGGCCAGGATGTGCTCACTGTTCTTGCCGGTCAGGATCTCACGTACTATTTCCCGGTCCCCCTTGTCCTGGGTGCGTTGCTTTATTTCATTGGATGATCATATTGCTAACGAGCAATCGTTGGGTTAGGTTGTCCTACATTGGTGACTGACGGGTCCATGTTCTTGACGCCGAAGAACTTCACTCAAGACGAGCCTACTGCGATGCACACCAGCGGCCAGCTGCAGAGTGTGCCAAACTCAGCGTTGCACAACAACGATTGGTACACCGCCACATTCTTGCCCAAGATGGCCAATTACAGGAAGGGTCCTGTGGTCATCACAACGGGCACCTTGAGATCGCAGGCTGCTGATACAGGCATCGCCAAGTACGTCTCTTCGATTTCTTGTTAAATTGTGGGCTGAACCGTTCGCGTAGGATTTGGGGTCGATACGGCAACAACATCTACGACTTGACGGACTACGTCAACACGCTTTCGATCAACGTGAACAACAACGCCTATGCGTTCCTCGACAACAACATCGTCTCTGTTTTCAAGCAGCAGTCTGGCCAGGATATCACCAAGCCTCTGAATGCCGTCCTGGACGCCATGAGCGCCGATCAACGTGGATTGAATATGCAGTGTCTCAACAATGCATTCTATATCGGACAGTACGACTTCCGAAAGGATGCCCGATGCACCGTCCAGAACTATCTGCTTCTTGTCGCCTCTGGAATTCTGATGGGTTCGATGGGTCTGAAATGTGAGCCGGCTCTAAGTGATTGATCAGTGCGCCTTGCTGACGCGGCTTCTTCAGTCTTGGCTGCCTTGCAACTCTCCCCGAAGCGCAACCCTGAGCTCCAAGACAAATTCGTCCTGTGCCAGGTCCCGTGTTATACCGAAGGCGAAGACTCGCTCCGACGAACCATCGATTCTCTCTCCGCACTCAATTACGATGATAAGCGTAAGCTGATATTCATCATATGTGATGGGAATATTATCGGAAGTGGGAACGATCGTACGACACCTCGTATCGTTCTGGACATCTTGGGTGTCGACCCTCAGCTCGACCCAGAGCCGCTTCTGTTCAAGTCTGTCGGCGAAGGTTCAAAAGCGCTGAACTACGGGAAAGTCTACTCTGGCTTGTATGAGTACGAGGGCCATGTCGTTCCGTGCGTACCTGTTCTCGCTGGACACTGGATTGCGCTGAGAGTTTCTTCAGGTATATGGTCGTGGTCAAAGTTGGAAAGCCTACCGAGCGGGCGAAACCCGGCAATCGAGGAAAGCGAGACTCTCAGATTCTGCTCATGCACTATCTCAACCGAGTGCATTTCGATGCTGCCATGTCACCACTGGAGCTGGAGATCTATCATCAAATGCGGAATGTGATTGGTATCGACCCGGCATTCTACGAGTACATCTTCACGATCGACGCTGATACTGTGCGTGTCTGTTTCACCCTGCGATTCGCTGTGCTAACTTGGAGGCAGTCCGTGACACCCGATTCTCTCAACCGACTCGTGGCCAGCTCATCAGACGACTCTGCGATCATCGGCATCTGTGGCGAAACGAAGCTGCAGAACGAAGAGGATTCGTGGTGGACGATGATCCAGGTCTATGAGTACTACATCTCGCACCACCTTCCAAGGCTTTCGAGAGTTTGTTCGGCTCAGTGACGTGTCTTCCCGGTTGTTTCTCGCTCTATCGCATCCGGACAGCAGATAAGGGCCGGCCCATCATCATCTCAAACCGGATCATCGACGAATATTCGGAGCCTAATGTCGATACTCTGCACAAGAAGAACTTGTTTTCGCTCGGAGAAGATCGGTTCTTGACGACGTTGCTGATGAAACATTTCCCGACCTACAAAACCAAGTTCACGCCGGATGCGATAGCTCACACCGTTGCGCCCGAGTCGTGGAAGGTGTTGTTCTCTCAGCGACGTCGTTGGATCAACTCGACCGTGCACAACTTGTGTGAGCTTGTGCTGCTGCCTGAGCTGTTCGGGTTCTGCTGCTTCTCGATGCGTTTCTTCGTGTTCATTGATCTCCTGGGAACCCTGGTGAGTGGCCTTGCCTCATTATGGCTAGTTTTGGCTGAACTTCCCGGCTAGATCTTGCCTGCCACTGTCGTTTATCTATTTTACCTGATCATCGAAGTGGCCCTTGGGAAGCAGGCCGTCCCCATTATTGCCTTGGCTATGATTGCTGCGACGTACGGTCTACAAGTAAGTGTCTGCGGTATTTCTTTGTATGACATATTGATCTCGCGCAGGCCATGATCTTCATCCTGAAGCGCGAGTTCATGCTGGTTGGATGGATGATCGTCTATATCCTTTCGTGCGTCGACTTCTGCTCGATTGTGTGTTCATATCTTGACGACTCGTGCAGATACCCTGTTTACAGTTTCTTCCTGCCGGTGTACTCTTTCTGGTGCATGGACGAATTCGGTTGGGGTAACACGCGTTTGGTGATTGGAGAAGGCAAAGACAAGAAGGTCATCATCAATGAGGACGAGAAGTTTGACGACTCGATGATTCCGCTCAAGAAGTTCAGTGGTAAGTGCATTGGTGGATTCGATGCATTTCCTCCTGCTCACTAGTCGCGGCAGAATACGAGGCAGAAGCTTGGGAGACGGCAGATCGACACTCGGACGGCAACCACTCGGAATACAGCGGCAAGCCTCGATCGCGGTCGCGAGGGCCGTCTCCACGGCCGTATCAGGAAGCTTCTCAGGCGGGCGACTACTACCGGGACACGAATCTGACTGCTCCCCGATCTCGAAACCATGGTTCCCAGCAATCTGTGATGTCAGTTCCCCCAACTGCCGTACATGCCCTTCAACGGTGGCCCTGGGTCGGTGACGGGTTCAGACCACGGGATGATGGCGCCAATGGGCTACCAGAACACAGGCAGCATGTACGGGATGATGCCCCCGATGATGACTGGCATGCCGATGTACAGCACGCCGAGCCTCA